GCCAATTATAACGATCCTACCCTTCGGCAGTTGAGTTTTCAAGAGATTTGTCGTTCAGTCCCCTCTCTCTAGGTTTCTCCTCTCACTTGCTCACTCTCGCTCTCTCCCTCTCTATAGGTTTCTCCTCCCGCATGCTCACTATCGCTCTCTCCCTCATTCCAGGTTTCTCCTCCCTCAAGGTCATTGTTGCGCTCTCCCTTTCTCTGACTGTCCATCGCTCCCTCTCTGTTTATTCCTCAAAGAGTAACATAATGAGACCTCTGGTTTACATTCTCGCTTACCCTCAAGCTTGTCTGCGAAAGGAATTTGATTCACTAGCTCTTCAAACTCAAAGAAGCTCATCCATCCCCTTCTTTTCGTTTACCAAGATTCCGAACGATCTCCTTTGATACTCTCGATCGTGTGTTGGGGATCGAAATGTTTTTGTTTCCGTTTCTTGGACAGCGGAAGTATGATGCAAATAACACCATAAGAGAGAGAGGGAGAGAGGCAAGAAGAAGGAACACATCTATTTTACATGGTTTGGAGAAGCCCCATACGTCCATAGTCACACCTATATCTTCTGCCTTCAGGAGAATCATCTTACAACTCTCAACGCCAACACACTCACAGCCCACCTTTAGACGCCCTAAAAAAAGATGGCGGGTGTCCCATCAATCACAAAATTATGGAAAAATGCACAGGGGCCCGAAAGGAGTTAAATCCCCGTTATCACCGAGAGCCCAATAAACCCAGTAGGGGCCAATAAGGGATAATCCTCAACTCCAAGGGAAGCAGTGTCCCTAAGGGAAAGGTCTCAAGGGGGCTGGGGCGAAATCCCCCATAATTCTTTTTGATTTTCAAGGACATTTTTATCCTTTGTCCCGATGAATTTAAATGCTAATCATTTGTTTATGAGCGGAGACACCACCATCTCATGCAATCAGGGCGTGTGAAGTCATTTTGGCGCTGGAGGGCTGTAAGAGAGGATATCTGGAAGGGAGCTTGATCTGTGTACAACTATAGACGTAAGAGATTTCTCGAAACAACTAAGTCTTGTGTGCTCCTGTTCTCGCCATTTCCCATTATCCCTCTCTCATGTGCATTTTGCATCAGATTTCCGCCATGTAAGAAGAGGGAAAGGAAGACTCTCTGATGCCCTACAATCTTTTCATTGGACATTTCCTTCAGATTATACCAGCCTAAGGCATTTTCATCGGTCTGCGTCTATCTCAAGGACTGAATACTTCTTCCTGCTCAAAGATGCCGTTGATTGCTTGCGGTCTAATGGACTCTCCACCTCCTCTAGAGTGTGCTTTGGAACCAAAGACTGCTCATGGGATGGCCCAAACATGTGCAGAGCCGTCGGAACCTCCTTCATGGTCAGATGATCCTCTCCATTCACAACTTAGGAACCTATGAGCTCCGTGATCTCCCTAAGCGTTTCCACATCACCTTCCGCCGACACTTGTGGATCCAAAATGTTGTCCAGCTTGTCTTCAGTCAACAAGGAGATGAAGGTCAGAGCGAGGCCTCTCTTGTCTACCAGTCCATGGAGGTGGAGTGGCTTCCTTCCCATCAGAAGCTAGATGAGGACTACCCCAAAGTTGTACACATTGCTTTTCTCACTAGCAAGGTAAGTCTGTAAGTATTTAGGATGGAGGTACCTGTAGGTCCCCTAAACCACAATGGCGATCTTCATTTCATCCATCGATGTAAAATCAAAAGCCCCGAAATCCAAAATCTTTGTTCTGTAAATCTCCTCTAGTAATATCTTAAGGTCTTGTATAAGAATAAATATGTAAGCACAAAATCACAATAATAATATGAACTTAATTTTTAGATATCAATGAGAGCAAATAGAAGAGAAATCACTAAGTTATCAATAATTCTGATGAGAATAAGATTTCTATCAGACATCTTTAATTCATATATCAACGCCTTTGAAATAACTCACATATTGAAGATTTAATAATGGACTCTTATCTCCTTCTATAAAGACTTCACCTGTAATTGAATAGAGATAAGAGATTAAAAAAGAAGAAGAGAATTGACAAAGAGAGAGAATATAATCAAAGAAGAGAGATAAATCTCGTCATCCATCATACTCAAAAAAGGTAAAATATATAATCTATTTATAAAAAATAGGAAAAGATAACCATCCCCTAAAAAGAGGCATCTCAACTTATGTGTAAGTGAGCCCACACATATCAGAGGTGATTATTTCAACCTCCCTCATTTCCCACTCCCTCTTTCCTTACACAACCCCCAAACAGGTCAAAAAGAATGAGGTGACAACTGTCTCTCTCTCCCTGCACAACCCCCAAATAGGTCAGACAAGATAAGGTGACAACCATGTCACCACCCCTCACTTCTTACACATCTCTTGAGTGAGTCAAAGAGGAAAATGTTTCTTGCACATTTCTCGAATAGGTTAGTTGTAATGGGCTGACACCACCAACAAATTCCACTTTGTCAACCATCATTGCTACACCCAAAGTTGACGTCTGTCCATACTGTAAGTTCTCCACCTTCTACAAAGTACCTACAACATGAATCAAATTCAAATAATGTTTTAACTTCTCTAATATGATGACATTTGTTAACATATCCCTAGCATTCTTCTTTGGGTAAACTTTTCTAGAGACCATAGAGAGGACATATCCCTAGCATTCTCTTCTAGGTCAAAGTATATTGATATGCAGTATCACAATATCAAAGTGGATATAAAAGAATTAAACTTCTTATATCATTGTCTAGGTGACTACTGCAGACCGTAGAGAGGCCGATTTAGCTTGTAGACTAATTTATCATGTTTGGTGTCAACAAAGCCCTATAATTGAAGCATATATATTTCCTCTTCAAGTTCTCCATGGAGAAAAACTGTCTTGACATTTATTTTGTTCGAGCACATAATCATTATGAGTAGTTAAGCTAAGGATGTCATGAATGGAAGAATGTTTGACCACAAGAGGAAATATCTCATTATAGTTCACTCTAAGAACTTGACTAAAGCCTTTTGCCACTAGCCTAACTTTGTACTTAGGTTCTTCAACCCCAAGAATGCCCTCCTTGTACTTATAAACCCATTTACAACGAATAAGATTCTTGTTCTTTGAAAGCTCTACCAAGTCCCAAGTAAAATTTCTCCTTAATGATTCAATCTCCTCTTGCATTGTAGATACCCACTTAGATAGGCATTAGAGCAAATACTTTTTCAAAAGAAGTTGGTTCATCTAAACTATCAATTTCTTCAGCAACAGTCAATGCATATGCCACATAGTTTGCATGTACATACCTCAATAGAGGTTGAATCTTTCTTTGAGATAGATTCAAGGCTATAGAATAGGTCTATTGTTGCATTCCAACACCTTGAGTATGAGGAGGAGGTGAGATAATAGCCAGAGCATGTTGTTCTATCTCGTGACGTACCCGTGAGAATGAATTTGAAGTTTCAATATCAACCTTTTGATTCACCGTGGACTATTGTAGAGCATCTGTTTCTCAACTCATAATAGGTGGCTTCATAGTCGCCGCCACAACAAAGACAACATCTCTACTATAGATAATCTTTTGATCCTTAGGGTGATATAATTTATATTATTTTACTCCTACTTTAAAACCAAGAAAAATACATTTGATAGAATGAGGTTCAAGTTTACTGGTATTTATGCAAGCATAGGTAGGACAACTAAAGATCATGAGAGCAAAATAATCACCAAGAGAGCCAAACCAAACTTCTTGAGCAATCTTTTTCCCGATGGCAAGAGAAGGAGATATGTTAATGAAGTACACTACCATATTTGCTGCCTCAGCTCAAAATTGTTTTAGTAAAAAAACATTTGATAGTAGACAATGAACTTTCTCAAGAATGATTCAATTCATTCGTTCTGCTACACCATTCTACTGCAATGTGTGTCGGATTGTGAGATGTCTTAAGATGCCTTCAGATTTGTAGAAATCTTGAAATTGATTTGAGCAATATCTATCCCATTATCAGTTCGTAAAACTTTAATAAATTGATCAATTTGCTTCTCTATCATTATTTTTCATTCTTTAAAATGCTAAAGTGCCTTAGATTTATTTTTCAAAAAATAAACTCATATCTTTCTCGAGTAGTCATCGATGAAAGTCAACATATATGAGGCTCCTCCATGTGACACGACACTTGACGGCCCCCAAATATCTGAATGCACATAGTTTAGAATTCTAGTAGATTTATTTGTACTGACCTACTAGAAAATTGAAATGAACTTGTTTGTCATACAAGTAGTGTTCACAGAATTCCAAACTACTTGATTTTATTCTATCAAGTAGTCCAAATTTACATAATTCAGCCATTCCTTACTCGCCCATATGTCCAAGCCACATATGCGATAATTTTGTAGTATCTTCTGCAAAATGTGATGAGCTAGCCAGAGCCATATCACCTGTAATAATATTGCCTTCGAGAACATATAAATTTGTCATCTTTCGATGATCTTTTAATATAACCAAAGAGCCTTTGCAAACTTTAAGAATACCACCTTCTCCAATAAATTTATATCCCTGAGAATTCAATGTGTTGAGAGATGTGAGATTTCTCTTCAACTTAGGAACATATCTAACATTGCTTAGAGTATGAACTTTGTCATCAAACATTTTTATGGAAACATTCCTAATACCTCAACTTTGCAAGAGGAGTTATTTTCCATCAAAACGACACTGATGGAAGATGAAATAAGTGAAGTAAATGCCTCTCGATTAAAGCATATGTGAAAGGTACCAACAGAATCTAAAACCCATTCTCCTGATGCATTTGATTCACATTCTACCACAACAAGAATTTCAGCAGAATCAAGAGATGGGGTTATATTTGTAGCAGGTTGATCAGACGAGGAAGGTTGATTTGCCTTGGAGGTTTCCCTCTTCATCTTGTTTTGAAGCTTGTAACATCTTGTTTTAATGTGACCCTTCTTCTTGCAATAATTCCAAGTTCTGTCAGGATGGTGTGACCTAGATCAACCTCTTGAAGTATTTTTCTATCTCTCAAGATCACGTCTTCGGATGACAAGGCCTTCAGCTTGAGACAATGTAGTCATCTTTGAGAACTTGCATATGATTTCCTTGGATGAGAGAGCTTCATAAATACTCTCAAGGGATAGACCTTTAGACCCATAAAATAGAATATCCCAAAAGCCTGAAAAAGATGATGGTAGAGACATAAGAAGTAGGGAGCAAAGATCCTATTCAATTAACGTATTTACATCAAGAGCTTCAAGTTATGTCATAATATCCTTAAAAGTGGCTAAATGGGATTCCAAAGAAGTACCTTCCATCATCTGTAGATTGAATAGTCGTTGCTTGACAAGATTTTGTCGGGTGACAATTTTAACCATACATATCTCGTCAAGCCTTGACCATAACTTATGAGCTTTTGTCTCCTTTTGAACGTCCCTAATGATGTCATTTGTGAGATGAAGTTGTATTTGAGTTAGAGCCTTTTGATTTACCATTTTCTTATGATCCTCAGTCCATGAAGCAGGTATCGTTGGAAAAAGAGCATCTTCTAGATCTAGTTGCATAAGAACTGCCTTCATCTTGACTTGCCATAGCGTGAAGTTTGTCTTTTTGTCGAGCTGAAGAAGTTCCACCTTCGTCGATGCCATTAAACCTTCCACAAAGTAGTTCTGATACCAATTTGTTACAAAAGCCAAATGATGGCGGAAAGGTTGACAGAAGCATGCGAACAAAGACAAAGGAAATCCCCAAAGAAAAATACTCAACTAAAATAAACCTCTCAATGGGAGAGAGTCTACAACAAAACTAGAGAATAGACAACGAAAGTAAAACGCAGAATAAGATCAAGAAGGAAGAAGAGTAAAAAGTGGCAATGCCAATTCGTGTGCCTTCTACTCTATTTGTAACTGTCAAGATCAGTGTCAAAGATGGAAACTTCCCGTCCTTTGCTCCGATGATGGCACTCTATAGGAAACGGTCAAATTTGACCAAGTTTAACAGTTATCGCTGCAGCATGTGTAAGGGACGGTCTGGTTCTTCTTGGCTTCCTTGCATGTTTGACCGCTGATGGACCAGTCAAGAACAATAGGCAGAGTTTGTGTTTCTAATCTGTCAAAGCTCAGATCAGAGACACTGAAAGTGTATTGACCCTGCCCAGCCAGGGAAATGAATCCACAATGATTGAAATCCATGGAATAATTGTATGCGTAGTAGGTGCCATATCAATGGTATAGTTATTGATGCCCCTGGGAATTGAGACCTCGCAGCTGCTGCCATTCGGTATGTCCCTGAAGCTTTCCAAGCTCTCGCAGTAGGACATGCAGGCACTGCAGTAGCGCGTGCCGTGTTGGTCCCATATGTAAGCATCCGTGTCGCACCCGACGACGACAAACTATTTCCGGGTGTGCGATAACGTAAACGGTAGACTGGTAACATCAACCTGCGGGACGGAGTAATTATTGTTTCCTTTTCTATCATAGCAGTCGAACTTGATGCGGAGTCTTTCTCGCTCTCTCTCTCTCTCTTTCTCTCAATTTATCTATCTATTTATCTCTCTGTGTTTCTCTCTCTATCCTTTCATCTCTGTCTGTCTGTCTGTCTGTCTCTCTCTCTCTCTCTCTCTCTCTCTCTCTCTCTCTCTCTCTGTCTAAAGGACGGACACTCCATGGTAAAAAGCAACACTCAAACTAATCAGGAGACCGTCCTAGTCATTACTTAGAGCGGCAGCCTCTGGGAGTCCATCGGGAGCCAACGATGAGCCTAGCTTCCGACAGCGAAAGCCCAATAACTCGACTCCTCGGCGACCTTTTCAACCGAGGTCCTGTTGACTTTACTCTTCTTGACTTGGAAAGCCCACGCCAACTTGGTGCTCTCGCCATCACTGCAGGTGGACAATGAATCGATCTAAGATATCCCCAACGTCAACTTGCCGATGCGTGGGGCCTACGAACCTACCGACTGTTGGACTTCTTTGCCTTGGGGTTAGGGAAGATCCGGCGAAATCAAATGGTCAACGATCTCGTTGATTGAAAGAATATGGTGCAAAGCTTTGCGTATGTATAATAATGGACCTCCTTACGTCTTATCGAGGTGCCAGCTCTGCCTCATTTCCTCTACACATCCATTGACCTCGTCATCGCTCTCTTTCCACTTCAGGGAAGAATTAACCCTTATATGGGTTAATTCTTACATGGGTTATAGTCTTGAGAATTATTTTATAATTGACAGGAGATTACTCATGAAGTTAAAATTAGAAAATAGATTTATTTTGGATTTTTTTAGAAAATTTATGAAGACATTTATTCAGCCATTTTTCAGTAATATATAAATTATCAAAATAATGAGAACAAAATGCAGCGATTCATGGCGGCCACATAACTGGGAGGACGAGTCATGGACCAAGTCAGCATTTTTGGGCCACGTTCAACAATTACTGCCACGTCGTTCATGCACACGTCAAACATTGGGCGCTTGCGAGTTCGATTTCTCTTTTAGTTGCGTTTCATTTTGGTTCCTTCTTAATTCTTCGTTGGGTGACAGTCAGAAGACGATATTAAGGCCTTAATTCCTTTTTTTTCACCGCGTTTTAGACGATTTCGCATTCATGGTACTCTGTTTTCGGGTGACAGACGAGCGAAGCGACGGACGGTGATTGCGAATTAGATTTCCCTTTTGATTCGATTTTATTTTCGTTTTAGATTATTTCAACTTCTGGGTGACAGTCAGACGACGAGATTAAGCATTTTAAACCGTATTTTTATCACGTTTTAATCTCTTTTCTGTTCCATTTTCTACCGGGACGACACTCTGTTCCTCAGTGACAGACATGGACGAGTTCCTCGATTAATTTCATTTTTTTAGTTCTTCTGATTGATATTTTAGGGATTCTAATGAAATGTAACTTGCTTAAGATCGTTCAAATAAATTTATTTTCATAGTTTAGACGTGTTTTATACGGATTTGAATCGAAATTGTTTTCCCGTTTCACCGCCGGCGGTCGTATTTTCTCCTTCCTGTCCTGTTTTTCCCGATTTTAGGTATATTTTCCATCATTTAATTTTCTTTTATTTTTGCGATTTTCTCTGCCATTTTCTCTCGAAAATTTTGCAGCTCTCGAGTCACTTATCAATGCTGAACTTGGGAAAACATCAAAATTCGAAGATTTAGAGCTCAAGCAATTTGGAAGAGTTAAAGTGCGGAGAAGATTATTTTATTTAGTTATTATTTGTTATTTATTTTTATTTCACTAAATTGTTTTGAACGAAAGAAATTCATATCCAGATTGACCATCATCCCTGTGGACGACCGAAATTTAATTTTAATTCGGTTTATAAATATTTATTTTTTTATCATTTTCTTTACGATGTCCAAAGTGATATCACACGGTAGAAGACGATCTCTTCCGTTTTGCATCAAATTTCCGTTGCGCAAGAAGAGGGAAACGAGAATGCTCCGATCTCAACGTACATTTCAGCTGACGTTTCCTCCAGATTATACCAGCCTAAGACATGCTCATCGACCTGCCTCTATCTCGAGGATTGTATGGTTCTTACTGCTTAAATCCGCCGTTGATTGCTCGTGGTCTAACAGACTCTCCGCCTCCTCCGGGGTGTCCCTTGGAACCGAATAGTACGCACGGGATGGCCCCAGTAACTGCAGAGCTATCGAAACCTCTTTCATGGTCGGACGATCCGCCCCCTTCACGCTTAGGCAGCGACCTGCGAGCTCAGCGATCTCCCTCAGCCTCTCCGCATCACCTTCCGCCGTCACTTGTGGATCCAAAATGTTCTCCAGCTTCTCTTCGCTCAACAAGGAGCCGAAGGTCAGGGCGAGGCCTCTCTTGTCTACCGGTCCCTGGAGGTCGAGAGGTTTCCTTCCCGTCAGAAGCTCGACGAGGACCACCCCGAAGCTGTACACGTCGCTTTTCTCGCTGAATTGGTAGGTCTGCAGGTACTCGGGATCGAGGTACCCCCAGGTCCCCTGAACCACGCTGGCGATCTCCGCTTCATCCACAGGTGCGAAATCAGAAGCCCCGAAATCGGAGATCTTTGCTCTGTGGTTCTCCTCTAGCAGTATGTTAGAGGTCTTGACGTCCTTGTGAAGAATTGGAGGGGAAGCGTAGGAGTGCAGGTATGCCAGCGCTTCTGCGACCTCTGTGGCGATCCTCAGCCTGACCCCCAGGGAGATCGTTGTCCTCTCATTCCGGCGATGAATGACGCTAAACAGCGTACCTCCGGGGACGAACTCGTAGACGAGCATGGGAACTTCCACTTCTACGCAGCAACCCAGAATCTTCACCACGTTGACGTGGTTGATTTGGGAGAGGATGGCCATCTCCCGTGCGAACTCCTTGCTCTCCCTCTCGTCCATCATTTTGGATTTCTTGATGGCCACCAGGGTGTCATCTTCCATCCTTCCCAGGTAGACCACGCCGTGGCCTCCTCGCCCGATGATCTGGTCGTCAGCGAAGCCAGACGTGGCCTTGGCGAGATCCTCTTCCGTGAATATCCTGAACGTATTTCCCGGCTGGGAAGAGATATACTGCTGCAGTAGCGGGCCGCCGTTGTGCTCGAACATCTTCTGTCTGAATTCGGCAACCTTCCTCATCTGATCGGCGAGGTTTCTTCTCTGACATCCCCAGCAGGTAAAGGCGCTTGCAGACAGAAGAACGAGCAAGCCGCCGCCGACCCCTGCAAAAGCTAGATCTCAGTGAGGATATGCTCCAAAATGAATGGAAATGAGACCGTCGCTCGGAAGAGTGAAAGGATTCTCCTGACCGAGTCCCAACTTCACAGGCAACGACATGTCGCCGCTCCTTGATTTGCATTCGTAGCTTCCGTCTGTGTTGTCGCAGTACTCGCCGGGTGAACATGGGTTTCGCTCGCATTCGTTAATATCTGCATTCGCATGGATACGACAAGTCCCAGCGGGGAAATATGAGTCAAATAGGATAATCAAACCATTCGGCACTTGAACCGTTGATCACAGGGACCGCCGAAATCGTACCTTCGCATTCCCCCGTGAAATGGAGGTTCAATCGGTAGCCCTCTGGACACGTGCACTCGTACCCGCCCACCGTGTTGGCGCAGGTTGCGTTCGATGGGCAGGCATCCGGGCTTTGGGCGCATTCGTCGATATCTACATGGCATCATAGGAGAGAAAAGAAGAACGTTCATATACATTTAAGGCCGAACCCAGGACTAGTTGTTATACTAAACTATCGCTAAAATCCCTCCTCTTTCGGCTGATAACCGAAGCAATTGATCCGTTTATTGACCATACCATGACAGCCTCTTGGGAGGTAGGGATTGCCCTGGTAGCCCGTTGAGCACTGGCAGAGATATCCGGCGCCATTGTTCGACTTGATGCAGTGGCTGTTGTCGCTGCGGCACGCGTAAGGGACGGTCCGGTTCTTCTTGGCTTCCTCGCATGTTTGACCGCCGATGGACCAGTCGAGAACGATGGGCAGAGTTTGTGTTTCTAATCTATCAGAGCTCAGATCAGAGACACTGAAAGTGTATTGGCCCTGCTCAGCCAGGAAAATGAACCCACAATGGTTGAAATCCATGGAATAATTGTATCCGTAGTAGCTACTCATATCAGTGGTATAGTTATTGATGCCCCTGGGAATTGAGACCTCGCAGCAGCCCAAGCCCGAGCAGCTGCTGCCATTCGGTATGTCCCTGAAGCTTTCCAAGCTCTCGCAGTAGGACATGCAGCCACCGGAGTAGCGCGTGCCGTATTGGTCCCATATGTAAGCATCCGTGTCGCACCCGACGACGACGAACTTGTTCCGGGTGTGCGAGAACGTAAACGGTAGTTTGGCAACATCAACCTGGGGGAAGGAGTAATTATTGTTTCCTCTTGTATCATAGCAGTCGAAGCCAGTCGAACCCTTGATTCGCAGCTCGCCGGTTACGGAGATGTTGACAATCTCATAAACGCTGTCGCTCAAGAAGGCCGTGGAATTGTCCTCGCAGTTGATGCTGAAGTCCCCGTACTCCTTCGCGTAGCAGCCTTCGCCGATGCCGAAGGGGTAGGGGATGTCGATATCACCGCACGTCGCTTTGCAGGAGGGCAGCAGTGTGTCTGGAGCCGCCTTTGCCTTGGAGGCTGTGGTGAGGAAGGCGAACAGTAGGAATCCGATCACTGACATCTCTATCTCCCTCTTCCCCCCTCTCTCTCTCTCTCTCTCTCTCTCTCTCAGGCGCGCTCTTGCTTGGTCTCTCTCCCCGTAGAACTTGCTACTTTTAAATAACCGGGAAACTCCTTTCCCCGCGAGTGACAGTGACTCTCGACGTCGTCATATGAATAGCAGGGTCAACTGGGGGCCTTATGATTAGGTGCACCAATCCGAATATGTAAAGGCGCCGCCAACGCTGTTGACAGAAATCTAAAGTCTACCATCTACCGGCTTCATCTGAGAATATTGGTGCAACACGTCTCCGGCTCGACCGAGTAAAAGGATGGCCTGAACATCCTCTCCTCCCACCACGTTCCAGGTTGACCGTATCATCGTATACATGTTCATGTCGCACTTGTCATCGTGTACAGACCCATTCTTTACCGCCAGCGATGAGCGTTAGCTTCTGACAGTGAACGCCCAATAACTCGGCTCTTCGACGACCTTTCAACAGAGATCCTGTCGACTTCATTCCTTCGGACTTGGCAAGCCCACACCAACTTGGTGATCTCCCCATCACTGTAGGTCCACAGTGGCTGTATCCAGATATCCCCAAAGCCAATGCGAGGGGCCCCCGACTTCTGGACTACTTCGTCGTGATCCACCGAGGTCAAATGGCAAGTGATCCATCGAGGTCAAATGGCGAGGGGTCACCGACTTCTGGACTACTTCGTCATGATCCACCGAGGTCAAATGGCAAGTGATCCACCGAGGTCAAATGGCGAGGGCCCCCAGACTTCTAGACTACTTCGCCGACAGATCTCCTCATCTCTCTCTCTCTCCCTCTGTCCTTTTGCTCTAATTGCGGTAGAACGATAGTAGGTATCCCACGTGTTTACCTCTTACGTTCCATGGGCGATGACGAAAGCTTTACTAAATGCGAAAAGTAGTACAAGAGAATCACTCCTTAAGAACCCAAAGAACAAATCCTTAATCTTGACCCTTCTAAGATCCCAAGGAACGAATCATTGATCTTGGCCCTCTGATGCACTCACCAACCCAAGAGATCTTCCTTGGAAGCTATCTCCCAAACACTCTCTCTCTCTCTCTATGGTGGAACAAAGGTAGAAGGAGATTGCTGTGTGTTGCTCCGAAAGAGGAGAGGTGACCCTATATTTATAATCACCTCGCAGCCACCTCAGTAACCGTGCCATCAAGAACCTTATGAAATGTGCCAACTGAGGATGTTGAGACTCAAAGATGAACTCTCACTACCTAAGAACTCAAAATATGGAGCGCTCTGAGAATCCATCTGCGGCCAGAAATCTATGGCGACGGACCAAGGCTTGTGGGACCGACTTGTGCTCGATGAATGTCAGCTGACCTTAATTACATGAAATTAGACAGCGAATGGCACCTTACCATCATCACACTCAGAGGATTGCTCGCAAGGGATTCTCTCTTGAGAAATCAATAATGAGAACTAACTTTGTTGCCCACCAAGAAGAAAGTGTTTCACAACAATTGAGTGTACCAAGTCAAGGAAGAATATGACAGCAACAAAAGGTACAAGTTGAGGCTTGTGGTGAAATGGTTTTAGCCTAAGGAAAATATAGGTTACATTGAATTTTTCTCTGCAATTGTGAACCTGTTAACGACATAACAGTGCGAAGTACTGTGGCTACTGAAGATCTTCATCTAGAGTAACTTGACATGAGGACAACCTTCATGGTGATTTGGAGGAAGACATTTATATGATGCAATTGAAAGGGTTTGTTGTTTTTTTGCAAAAAAATCATTCAAGTTGAAGAACAACCTTTCTAGATTGAACAATAACCAAGGCACTAGTACAAGAAATTTGATGATCTAATGATCAAGAATAATTTGATGAGATATAAAACAGATCATTGGTACTAGTTAAAGAAGTTTGAGAATTGTTATAGCATCCTATTATTTTATGCTGATGATATGTCAATTGTAGAAGTTAATATGTAAGAAATCAAGAAGCTAAAAGGAGAATAACTAATTGAATTCACTATGAAGAACTTGGAGATAGCAACACAAATTCTTGAGATGACCAAGTAGATTCACCATTATTCTTGAGATAGAGTTATTGGTTTTTTGAGATTAGCTCACAAAAAAATATGTTTAAAGGGTGTTTTGCAAGTTCAACATGGAAACAACATGTCTTATGAATACCCCTCTAGTTAATCATTTCAACCTTTACATGATCAATTGCTGAAGACATTATCAAAAGCAACAAGACATGGAGGGGATTTCATATATGTTTGTTGTTGACAACTTAATGTGTTATTAGTAGGCTCGTCATAAACATAAGATGAGAATATTAAATGGAAGTCTAATAGATTCCTCATTTTTTGAGAGTCATCTCAGTCATGTCCTTTTTAAGATTAATGGTCTTAAGTTACATGGTTTTGTTGGTTTCAGGGGTGATATGAGAAGAAGAAGCACTAATGGTAATATCTACATTCTGAATGGCACTAAATGGGAGCATTTAATGTGGCAGCCTCGAAAAAGGCAAGCCACAATAAACGACAGGGTTCACATGGCACTCAGCTTGCGCTAAAGCAAACTGAAGATGTTGAGGCTCAAAGATGAACTCTCACTACCTAAGAACTCAAAATATGGAGCTCTGAGAATCCATCTGCGTCCAGCAATCTATAGCGACGGACCAAGGCTTGTGGCACCGACTCGTGCTCGATGAATGTCAGCTGACCTTAACCACATCAAATTAGACAGCAAATGGCACCTTACATCACACTCAGAGGATTGCTCGCAAGAGATGTCTTTCTAAAAGGGATTGACCAGTGACCTTACAGTACCTTCATGAACCCGGATGTAAGTATTGTAATGCGCTGACTTCAGCCGGGTAGAGAAACCCGAATGGCTAGGGTTTCCCCTTCTGTGCGCGGAGCTCCGCCGCCGTGATGAAGAGGCCGTGGAAACCGTAGGGCACCCGTCGCGGTAAGGACACCTCGGCGACCACCTGCAGGTCCGGCGACCTCGCGTCCATCACGAGGAAACTCGACTCCCCCGTGTTCTCGTCGTGCAAGTACGTCACCAGGTACCCATCGTCCTCCTCCTCGCCCTCATCCGGCGCAGGCACGAAGATTGGCTCGCCGCCGAACCTCCGGGGACCGTACATTCGTGACGCGGTCACGCAGTCAACGCCCTTCTTCACCATGTCTAGCTTCATCACCCCAGCCACCATCGGCTGCGGGCTCCCCACGCCGAGGTACGCGTAGCGGTTTCGGCGGCCCAGGTAGCAAGGGTTGATCACGCCGAAGTCGAGGTTTCCTGCAGAAAGTGGGGTCCGGGACACGGCCCCGGTCCTGAGGTCGATCCTAACCATCTCCACACAGCAGTGAACCAGCTCCATCCTGTCCAGCGCATGCTCCAGGGACAGCACGTTGGGCGCCACCAGTACCACGGTGTCGCCGCCGTCATCCTCCCACGCGTTGATGGTGTGCACCGGATTGAATCCGGGCACGTCGAACCACCTAATGTCACTGTCTGACGCCGCGTACCGCGGTAGTATACCGACCCTGGGCACCTTCCTAGCGTCGGTACCAAAGGGAAACCCACTACCGAGCACCATCTGTAACGTCTCCATTACGATCTGCATGTCGCAGAAGATGGCATACTTCTCGGTGATGGCGAAGTCGTGGAGGTAGGAGGGGTGCCTGACGGAGAAGATGGGCACGTCCGGCTGCTTCTTTCCTTCGGCGTCGAAACGGAAGTAGGTGACGAAGGGAGGTACCGGGCCGCAACGGAATGCGAAAACCTCGCCGGTGATGGGGTCCTTCTTGGGATGGGCTGTCATGCCCATGGAGAGTTTGCCCCCGAAGTCCCACCTGCCGATGGTGATCACGTCGCCAGATGGGGAGAGATGAATGGCGTAGGGGAGATCCGCCTCTCCGAGGGCGAAGAGCCGACCGCCGAAATAGCCGAGGGCGATATTTGCGAGCCCGATAGCTGCGGAGAGATCCATCTTTCCCGTGATCACGCGGGCTACGACCGCGGCGCGACGAACGAGGCCATTGACGCCGTTCATGCCCGAGAAGATGTTAGGGAGGACATTCCTGCCGGCCTCCCGCTCCAACAGGTACCTGCAGGTTTGTACATAACGGCTACAAAAAGTAGCAGGGGCAGTGTCATCACTACCTGCGGAGAGGTGAAGGCAGTGAAGCATGCCGTCGCCGTCGAAGATGTGGTGCGTCCCGCCAGGGAGGTGCTGAGGGTTCGGCCCATTGCGGACGTAGGCGCCGCCGCGGAGGGCGAGGGGGATTCTTCCCCTGACGACGGGCGAAGGTGTGGGGGGCAGCTCGCCGACGGGGGCCCAGTTGTGGGCGAGGACGTAGCGGGGGTTGACGGAGGGGCGGTGGGCGGCGGGGTCGATGAAATTGTTGATGATGGCATTGAAGGTTTTTCTGAGGGAGTTAAGGAAGGATGGCTTGGGCGTCTCTTCGATCGGCCTCCTGAGGACGTCGGTGGGGGTGGCCTCCTTGCCCTGAGGCGATAAGGGCGAAGACGAAGAAGGCCGGACAGTTGTGGCGATGCTCTCAGGGGGAGAACCCTTCTTGTTGAGAACTGCGGAGGTGCGGCGCAGGTGACGACTCATAGGAAGGATATTGTCGGCGGACTGGACGTTGTGGGAAGAGGTGATGGCGGCAGTGGAGAGGAAGATTGGCAGGGCGTCCATTGCGGTGGGATCTTTCACTTATTCCCTGATCACAGGACGTTGCCCCCTTCCCCAGCGGGCTCACCGACTGAGAACCGCAGTGGGGGTATGGCTGGCTATTTATAGACATTCTTGCTGCCCACAGTAGAAGCGCTGAGGGATATCCGTCCGAGCGCGATGTAAGGAGACGGCGAAGCCGCGGTAGGCGCGACTTCACCCCGGGATCGCGTCGCTCTGGCTCATCAGCAGGCAACGTCAAGGATCGACATTTACTGTACCCTTCTCACTCATCGCGCATGCACCCAACTCGGTCTTACTTCTCGTACCCCTCACGATAGAGACTTTCGATCGATCACGAGAGAAACGTTCGATGAGCTGACGTCCCAGCACTTCGTCAAACATAGGTTGGGTAAAAATCGCAGTCCTAGAATATTTTAGGTGACCGGAGGGGATGCGGCTCCATCATGTTCTTGTAATCGCATGGAATCTCTATGTAATCGGGATGAACTGTAGCGTCCCATCGGCGTCTCGTAATTTGCTCATGGAACCTCATTGTAACGTGATGAATAGTGACTGACGCCCGCAATTTGCTGATGTAGGTGAACATGGCCAGCGGGAGCGGTCCACCATGAGGAGTTCCATCAGATAATTTGCATTATGGACAAAAGAATGTTATAATATCATTTGAGATAACTTGAACCATAAGCAACTAGCATAGCATAGAGAAGTCAAGTTTGATGACGAGCCTAAAGTTATTTCGATCATTTTTGGATCATGCTCTAGAATATTCTTAAACTCAAGCACCTTATATCCATAAACTTATTTACTCCAAGTTCGGTAGCAGTATGCTGCTGAAAATGTAGTGATGATCCAAGGAAACTATACCAATATGATCATTGGGATGAAACAAATTATGCGCTTATATTAAAAATATCCATAATGCTATATTGCGTCCATTCATAATGCCTTCAAGTAACCACTCACAAGTCAATGTAGTTGATTAATAGGTTAACCCCATTGAGTGAGTAAATAAATATCTAATCACATGTCTAACCAAAATAAATTAAGAAGAATTTCAAAAAATGGTATATTTTGGATGATGACATTGAGTTGAGGTACGTTCATAAATTAAATGAAGAAGAAGATGATGTGATCTTAATTCCTACATTCTCTTCTTCTTTGATGCTAACTAGATGTGGAAGGTGTAGCTGCTTCAATATGGTTAAGGATGATCACTAATGATTTGAAAATAATTCCTATAACTTATACCCTTCATCACTAATAAGAAAGATCTTATCATTTCTGGAAGCAATTTATACAAAAAATCTCAATAAAACTATTAAATTCATAGAGGTCACAATTAATCATGCTTAACTAATTATTCACTAGAAAGACTTTATATTTACACAAAAATTAAATAGAAAAATGTATCTTTTTGTATTATCATTCAATAGTTATACTTCAAAAAAGTAAGAAATCTAAATGAAGAGAAAATTAATATGTGATTCTGTTAAAACATAATTGATGTGACTTAATCGTTGTACAATAAATCAAGTAAATTTAAAATTTATAAAAACTTTAAATATTAATTTTTATTTTTTTAAAAGACTTAACATGAATATATCATTTACAATTTAAAAAAATAATCAGAATATAGTGGAAATTTTTTACATCAATAATGGATTAAGATAATACCACATAAAAGTTCAGAATTTTTTCAAATATTTTTTTATGATTTTAGACTAAAAGATGAAGATAAATATATTTAAAAATGTATAAAAAATGAAAATTTGGGTGCACACATGAGAATGACATCAATGTCACAATGAGCATGATTTAGACAAAAAATAAAATTTCACTTACTAATTCTTACATAAAAGTTACAAAAAATTTAATTGATCAAATTAAAATTTGTAAAAGTAAAAGAATCTTAGTTGACCAAGTAATATTTTGAAATCTTGAATCATATAAAATTTCACTAATTTAAATAAGAATTCAATTTAAAGTATGAAATATAGAGTTCCAACATCATGGTAGTGATCATTAGAATTCAAAGTAGTATGGAGGATTTTTGTGCAACATTCATAGCCTCAAAATCTCTTATTGGGCATTCAAGAAATGAATAGTCTTTGAATCCTCTTGTGATGTTCAGAAATTGATGAAATAAGTCAATGAATCATCTTTAATAGTTACACTTAGTGATGTAAAAAATCAGTAGTTGTCGGTTCTCTAGTGGCTGTCACCCACTAGAGATGAGTTCAATAGAGGTAGAGGGTGACTTAGCTTCACTTTTAGGTTCAAGCAGCAAAACGAGACTCTTCATCACATATGATACACTATAAGGAGATGGTGACTTGTCTCTAAGTAAATCGTCCTCTTCTTGATGATAGCTCGTCTATTGATCAATTGAAAATAATTTTCTGAAAGAATCTATGTTTTTTATATTCTAAATCCTTAGTCAGTTCCTAATGGTAATTCACAAATAACATTGATGAAATTTTGATCTCGAGCAATTCTAGTGGCTGAAGTTAACCAACGTTCTACAAAAAAGTCAAAATTTAATTAGATAAAAACATGAATTTTGGGTTTGGTGAAATTCAAACTCTCATCAATCACTTGGCTGTGTGAAAGAGAGAACACAAGTTACCCACATACCCTTGACCTAGTGACATCATGAAAATATTTCTTCTTTATAAGTTAGGGGTATTATAGGTATAAAAATATTAAAACCTACAAGTGACTATTAGTGTCAAGTTAGTCTCATATTGGCTATCTTTTCATATTTGGGGCACATATAGATCAATACATCCTTCTATCTTCAATATCCTCTCTCACATGCCTATGTTGTACAATCAATCCTTGCCCCATGCCCAGCTAGCCACCAATGACATGAAAGGGGAGTGATGCACAATGCTCCGATTGGTCTTTAGCCACTTGAGCCTCTAGCTCATGGCTCCACCTAATTGTGCTTCTAACCCACATGTAGATCAAGCTAAATAATGGTCCCTTAACTATGCCTCATACCCATGTGTGGGCTTGGTTGTTTAATTGGTCCCACCTTTTTAATATTTATTTATTTATTTTTGTCATAAAATTTTTCTTCTTCTTCATTAACTTATTTAGTCATCTAGATGGGAAAAACAATCTCATCTTCGTCATCAAATGATTCAACTGACTTAAAAGTGTCTTTATTTCAATTTTTAAAAAACCTTTTATTTCTAGACATATTAATTTTGTGAGTTGAAAAAAAAAAATTAAATCATTTGATTCCATAAAATTTTTCTCTTGTGACTTTAATAATCCAATCATCTATCATAATTTTGATAGTTTATGATTTAATTCCTGAAGAGCCTAGTATGGAGGGAGAGAGGATGGGTGCTCATCATCCAGGTGATGATTTAGAGTTGCGGGTTTCTGGGTATGCCTACAACGCAGGTCTCTGGGGACCACTTCACGCGAGCTTCTATTGACTTCATTCTTTCGGACTTTGCAAGCCCATGACAAAAGCCCCCACATCAACTTGTGGATTCCAAAAGCTTGGGAATCTATTGAGTGTTGGACAGCTTTGTCGTAACTAGGGAAGACCCACCGAGGTTGAGTGTTCAACAAAGAACGATTGATCTCCTTGATGAAAAGATTAGGGGTGCAGAGTTGTGCGTATAGTAATGAACCTCACTGCTTATCCAAATCCCAGCTCTATTGAATTTAATCGACACATCCTTAGACAAAATTATCCTTCTGGAAGTTATATTATAAATCTAGTGGCAACAAAAGATGGGGCATTTTGTACTTTCTTCCTAAAACCCTATCGATTTCTTAGCTTCATTGCCACAGATGCTATAACATATACTACTCACGAGCAACACAATCTAGCACCCAACTCCCCACTCACTAGTGAATGCTAATTTAGGTAAGATCATAGGAAGAACAAGGAACGCACCAGGTTGACATTGTTTAGAGAAATCTCTTGCGTCTATAGTCACACATAGATCAAGCTTACTTTCAAAGATCACTTGTCACAGCCGTCTTACGCCAAAACACTTTCACGTAACCTAGTTACATGGGGTGATGACCCCTCTAGATTCCTTGCAAACGCACTGTGCAGTTGGATTTGTGTACTCTCTGAAGAGCTCATTAAAGTTCAGTAAGGCCCGATAAGATTCTAATCTTCACAACTCCAACAATCTCTCACATTTATGTTGATCTTCAAGCATAGTTAAGCTGTTCTTGATCTTGTGTGATGCCTCTAATCAACTAACTTTGAGGACGAATTGAGGCCATAAATAGCCTCAATTTTTCCGTGATGACTATCCTCATCAATATGTTCAATGTATTTTCAATCCACTGATAGTTTCAAGTACCAAAATTCCATCCTCTATCAAGCTATGCTTAAATTTATACCTTAGTTATATATTTTGTATCCTTGAGTAAAATGTTGAATCCTTGATTAGGTGCATGGCACTATGACTATTAGAACAAACATACAATAAGGAAATTTTTCGGTCAAGCCATTTCCTTACCTGCAATTATAATGACAACATACTTGTTTCAATTGTTGAGAGAGTATATCTTCTATAATTGGGAAACCTAGCTCACAATAGTGCCATTCAGAATGTAGATATTACCTATAGTGCTTCTTCTTCTCATATCACCCCTAAAACCAACAAAACCTTGTAACTTAAGACCATTAATCTTAAAAAAGGACATGATTGAGGTGCCTCTCAAAAAATGAGGAGTTTATGACGAGCCTACTAATTACTCTCACTATATGAGCAATATCTAGATTAGTGTTAAACTGTAATATACATCAAGCTGTCAACAACAAACATATATGAAATCCCCTCCATGTCTTGTTACTTTTGATAATGTCTTCAGCAATTGATCATGTAAAGGTTGAAATGATTAACTAGAGGGGTATTCATAAGACATGTTGTTTCCATGTTGAACTTGTAAAACACCCTTTCAACATATTTTTTTGTGAACTAATCTCAAAAAACCAATAACTCTATCTCAAGAATAATGGTGAATCCACTTGGTCATCTCAAGAATTTGTGTTGCTATCTCCAAGTTCTTCATAGTGAATTCACTTGGTTATTCTCCTTTTAGCTTCTTGATTTTTTACATATTAACTTCTACAATCGACATATCATCAGCATAAAATAATAGGATGCTATATCAACTCTCAAACTTCTTGAACTAGTACCAATGATCTGTTTTATATCTCATCAAATTATTCTTGATCATTAGATCATCAAATTTCTTATACTAGTGCTTTGGTTATTGTTCAATCTATAAAGGCTGTTCCTCAACTTGAATGATTTTTTTGCCGCAAACAATAAACCCTTTCAATTGCATCATATAAATGTCTTCCTCCAAATCACCATGAAGGTTGTCCTCATGTCAAGTTACTCTAGATGAAGATCTTTAGTAGCCACACTACTTCACACTTTTATGTCGTTAATAGGTTCACAATTGTAGAGAAAAATTCAATGTAATCTATGCTTTCCTTAGGCTAAAACCATTTCACCACAAGCCTCAACTTGTACCTTTTGTTGTTGTCATATTCTTCCTTGACTTGGTACACTCAATTGTTGTGAAACACTTTCTTCTTGGTAGGCAACAAAGTTAGTTCTCATTATTGATTTTTCAAGAGAGAATCCAATTCAGCTTGTTTTGTTAGTTCCCACTTCAATGATTATATGAGTGATGTCTACACCTCCTATATTTTCAATTTAATTCTAATTTCCAGAACTAGTTTCAACCATCATAGGTTAATTTTCCTTTGAAATGTCTTCAAGCTTTGTGTACTCTATGCAATCTTCTTTTGAGATGATTTGTCTTTATACAAAACCATTTTGTTGAATATAAACACTCCTGTTCAACAAGACATTTTTGTTTTGGTCATTTCAAAACTAGTAGTCAAACATATTAGCTCCATATCCAACAAAATAACACTTCCTGAGTTTTTTATCTACCTTGTCCCTATTTTAAATATCCTCATGCATGTTAAGAAATCTGAATTTTAAGATACGAGATACCTACCTTCTTTTTGGTACAACACTCTTTTACTAGTTGATCATCTTAGGGCACTAATGGCCTTTGTTAATCAAATGAGCTGTTGTGTTAACAACATCACCCCTAAAGAATTTTGACAGTCTAACATGTAACTTTATGCTCCTTGCTCATTCATTCAAAATTTTATTCATTGACTTAACAACACCATTTTTCTGTGGCATATTTGAAAATTGTCTTCACCATTCGTAATTTTTTGAATTCTTAGTTGTCATACTCACCTCCATTGTTAAATTAGAGACATTTAATTTTAAGTCTACACTCAAGCTTGACTTTTTTTTTCTATTTTTAAAAGATCATTAAATCTTATTTTTATTTTTCAAAAAAAGAAAACTAATACCTTTTGAGTTGAGTCATTAATTAGACATTGTATCTTGAGCCTCTAGGTTAGGGAATAAGAGAAGGTGAGCATGAACCAACTCGTACCTTTTAGTTTTAATTCTTCAAAGCTTTCTAGGAAGAAGCATTTTTCTCAAAGATATTAGTCAAAATGTAGTCTTTGGAAAAACCAAATTCAATTGAGGTCTTGTAACTTCTATATTGGCATTAACCCTTTTATTCCTATTTTTCTTATATGTCCTAATATATAGTGCCAAATCTTATTTTCCAATATAGAATCTGCCATTACCACACAATCTTGATTGCTGGTCATCATATATAACGCACAAATTTTTATAGCTTTTATAGTTACCTTTTCTCCTTTTGTGATTTTCTATGAGCCATTCACAAAGTATGTTGCATAACCTTCGCTATCTACTATCCAACTGAGATCAAGTTCATCTTCAATCCTAGAACATACTTCACATTCAGTAACTTCTAAATAGTCTCATTTGGAAGTTATCATTTGGATCGTGTATTTGCTAACAATACCCAAAGACTCACAATTAGCAGCATATATCTTGACATAATTTCCAACATAGTTGCTAACTTACCCAAGTCCAAACTCTAACAACAAAGTTGCATGAGGTGGAATAGAATGAGGCACTCAAGTCTAAAATCTAAAACTCCATCAAACTATCTACACTCAAAACAAAAGCATCTTTAATCTCTCTTGTTGTGAGTTTTTCAGAATTACCATCATTGCTCTACTCTGATTGACATCTAACTTGATGTGTCCCACTTTTCTACATTTTTTTAGCATTTGTTGTTCTAGATTTATTCTTCCTCTTAGCTTGCTCTTACCACATTGCCAATTTTCTTTTTATGCTCTTGCCTTAACTTTGACACTCAAGGTAGAGTTAGATGTTTGCCCTAGTTCTCGTACAAATATCCTTGCTTAAAGTTAGATCATAGACTTAATCTCATTTTAATTTCTTTGAACCTGAAGAACTACTCACAATAGTCACCAAGGCACCTCAACTCTTGAGCAAGGAAGATAAAATAATTAATTCTATCATTTCATCATAGAAATTACTCTCCATAAAAAAATTTAATTATCAAATTAGACTCATTAATGTGATGGAACACAAGAGATGTTATATTAAATATAATTCGTTTGATGCCAATGGCTTCTTGTACATATCCAAGACTGCGGCCGTAAGACTTGTTGTAGTCTTCTCATTCATAATATTGAATGCAACATTCCTGGCCAATGTCAAACAAACCCCCTAAGAGCTTGTTTGTCTATTAGTTCCCAACATCTTGGAACATATCATCCGACTTCAAACAATGTATTAGTAGATGGAGCTTCTTTTGGAATAGATAACCCTCTATTTGCATCTTCCAAAATTCACGCTCCCTTCCATCAAACTTGTTGATTTGACCTTTCCTTCATCTCAAGTCATATCTCCCACTCTCTCTCTCAAATTGAGTCCACCTTGGACAAGTGCTCATGCTTGAGACCACTTGAAAGCTGAGGTTTTGATACTTGCTGTTGGGGATCAAAGTGTCCTCATATCCCCTTGTTGCATAGCAAAAATCTGATGTGAAAGAAAACACAAGAGAGGGAGAGGCAGAGAATGGTTAGGACAAGGAACACACCAGATTAAAGCCTATTAAAACCCCTTAAAGTCCAATAGGTCATCAACCTCCCACAACTCTAACAAAGGCCATGGCAAGACCCCACTAGGCTATGATATGTTAGAATTTGAATCGCTTTCTTGTGAGATTCTCCACCAGGACTATGCCAAAGCTGTGAATGTCACCTCTCTGTGAATTGTTAGGATTGTATGAACTCTAGGTCTAGATAATCCAAAGAATCTTGGACCATGGTTGCAACCACAATTGCATCTGCTAGGGTTGTCGCAGAAGCTCCAAAGTCAGAGACTTTCAGCTTTTCGTCTAGCTGTATGTTGGCGGTCTTGACATCCTTGTGAAATGTAGGGGGTGAAGCATAGGAGTGAAGGTAAGCCAAGGCTTTGACAACTTCTATGATGCTCTTGAGTAGGTCCCTAAGGAGATGAGTATACTTCGTTGCTGGCCCTGGCCGTGGATGAAGTCGAAGAGAGTACTGCTGGGGGCGTACTCTTAAACCATCATGAGAACCTCCACTTCTAGACAGCATCCGGCGATCTTCACATCATTGATGTGGTTGATTGAGAGAGAATCATAATCTCCCTCACAAACTTGTCCTTCTCCCTCTCGTCCATTTTCTTGGACCTCTTGATGGCGACCGCTTTGTCATTCTCCAGATTCCCCTCATAGACTACATTGTGCTCCCTGGCCAATGATCATGTCCTCCTCGAAGTCATCGGTGGCCATCGCCAGCTCTTCTTCAGCAAAAATCCTGAAGGTTGTTCCTGTTTGAGAGGAGACGCACTCCAGCAATGGTGGGCCTCCATTGTGCTCGAACATTTTCATTTTGAGCTCCTGAATCTTCTTTCATTGGTCAGTGACGTGACTCAGTCGTTGTATATTAAATCACGCAAATATTAAATTTATAAAACTAGAAAATATGAATTTTTAGATATTTAGAAGTATTTCTGAATAAATATATCAATTATAATTTAATAAAACTTCTAAAAATAGCGGTAATTTTCCAGGTCGATCACAGGGATGTAATATAATATCTGGTAATTATTCAGAATTTTTCTCAATGAATACTATTTTCTATGATTTTTACACTAGGAAATGAAAAGGAAATATATTTAAAAATTCACAAAAAAGGGAAATAAGGGTGCGGGCGTCAGGATGACGTAGCGCTCGGCGAATGTGAATCGGGTGGAAATAGAGTTCCGCCCGGCGATTCTTACGTAAGCGATTACAGACGATTTAATTAATCAAATTAAGATCTGTAAAAGTCGGAAGAATCGTAATTGAACAAGGTATATTTTGGTAAATTAAAATCACAAAAACCATCACTAAATGAAGCGTAAAGTAAGTTGAAAGCAGGAAAACAGAGTTCTGACGTCGCGACGGCGATGCGTTGACGATGCACCGGAATCCTGAGCGTTCGGGAGGATCGTCGTGCAGTATCCACGGCCTCGAAGTCTCTCTTTGGGCAAAGACGACGTGGGCAATCTCTAGATCTTCTCGCGAAGTCTAGAAATTAATGAAATGGGTCGCCGAGTCGTCTCCGGCGGCTGTCACCTGGCAGAGCAGAAAAACGGCGACTTTGCGGCTCTCCGGCGGCTATCACCCGACGGAGAGGAGCTGGATGGAGGTGGGGCGCGTGTCAGAGAGCTTCATCCTCAGGTCCACGCAGCAAGAGGAGGCTCTTCATCGCATCTAGTACGCTCTCAGGAGGTGGCGACTTATCTCTCGGCAGATCGTCCTCTTCCCGACGACGGCTAGTTCGTCGATCAATCGGAGATGATTTACTCGATAGATTCGCGATCCTTTTATCGCGAATCGTTCAGTAATTTTAGTAGCAATGCTCCGCGAATCATGTTGACGAGATTTTCGCCGATGATCCAGCGATTCTGGTTGCTTAATCCTTCACCGACGATCTGCAGGAAAGTCGTGATAATCAGATAAAAATATATGAATTTTGACTCTGGGAGGATTCGAACCCGCGCCGGTTGTCCGCCCCTTCTAAGGAAGGTGTGACGCGGGTTTAGTCCCACATCAATTGTGCGCCGATTTTTCAGGCGAATATATAGTAATGTTAGCTTTCTAAGCGAAGTCCCTTCTCTCACGTGTACGACCACTCCTTGCCCTACAGCCGGCTGGCCGCCGGTGACGTGGAAGGGGAGTGGCGCACACGTGCCCCTATCGGTCCAAGCCGCTCGAGCCCCTGCTCGCGCCCACACCCCGACTGAGCTTCCGACCCGCTTCCGGGCCCGGCTGGCCGGCGGGTCCCCCCCATTTTGCAATATTTTAGTTTTATTTCTTTTTCTTCATTTATCTCAAAAGTAAGACTGTAAAAATCATATAAATTCGTATAAAATCACATAATTACCCAAAAATCACATTAATCAACTGAAAACAACTTTTCATACTTTAACACAAATATAAGTCTATTTATCATGAGTTAAGGCTAAAACTATATTATTTACTAATTATTAACTCATGATAATGAAGACTTATCAGTCAGCAAGGTTTTTTTCTCTGGACGCCGCATCACGAACACGTGATTGTCACCAAGAGAAAGAGTATGTTGACTCCAAAGCTTGTTGGACAGAGAAAATGATGAGCTGTTCCATAGAACTAACAATGTAAAGCAATAAAAGAGACCGACGGAGGCAGTTTTCCCCTCCTACACCTAATGCGAGAGACCCTGTCACGCTGTCCTTCGTTGATGTGCCTGTGCTGTTACACAATAGACCCACAATGAGAAAATGTGACTGTGAGTTATGTACGATTTATTTTATGACGATTTTGGCACCAAACTCTCAGAAATCACACTTACCATCGCATCTTGAGGCGCTGCGATTAAATTCGTTCCTCTTTGGACACGCAATCGTAGCTTGCCTGAGTGTTACTACATTGTGCCTCGGATGGACGAATATTGAAATTATTCTTGCATTCGTCAATATCTATATGAGATCTCATGTAGGCCTAAGAATAATGTTTTTAATCATCGAAGAGGTTATAAATAACCTAATGTAGGCCTAAGAACGATTAGAGAAGAAAATGAAGTTAACTTGAGATTTTACATCATCGCTCCGCAAGGAGAGGGCGTGAGGGTTATTTATCCATATCACTGCCGCCATCATCTATCGCCATCGCCGTCCTCTGCCACCTCCCTCCGCCACCTCCATCCACCATCGTCCATCCTCAACTGCCCTCCTGTTGCAATCATCTTCCGTCTCCGTTGATCGCTTTCGCTGCCGTTATCGACCACTTCTATCCCGTCCACAGTCACCGCTTTCCGCTGCCGCCTTCCTCCACCACCTGCATCCGCTATCGTCCGTCCTCAACTGCCATCCTTGCGCCACCGACATTCGCTGCCACTGCTCATCCTCCCCACTCCGCCCATTCCGCCGCCGCCCGATGCACCCTTTAGGGTCAAATGGCCCATTTCCGCCTGGCCCCAACCAGCTCGGCCGCCTGGTTCACACCAGCCCGTCTCGCCAGTTAAAATCATTCTAGACCATCGGGTCCGCACCAGACCGCCTCACAAGTCCAGGCCATTTCGGACCGCCGGGTTTGCGCCAGCCCTTCTCACCGAACCAAACCCTTCCGGACTGGCTGGTCCACGTCAACCTGCCGCACCTGGTTCAAGCCAGTCCACCCAGTCAAGCATGTCGACCCAATCAATGGTCAACATCTAGTCAACTATCCACAACTGAGGTCCACCTTCAACGTGTTACTCGACCACTCAGTAGCCCTTTCCGGTGAGAAGGTTATTTATAAATCCTCTTTCTTTCTAACTTGAGTATTTTTTTAGTTAGTATATTATCATGCCAAAAATGTCATAGAGTGATCCCTAAGAAGATCCATGCATTTCTATAGCTGGTGGTTAGTGCAGAGCAAGAATCCACTTGATATGCATCTAGCCGATATATTGATAGTAGAGTACCCTAATCTCAGAGATTTCTTAATCGCGTCGATCCATTTGATCTCTTAATCTTGTCAGAGACACTAGACCTTACTCTAGTCTTCCCTGTAAGATTCAGAACTCCAATGTGAGAGTCAAGTCTAGGCTACTCGTCTAGAGTAGTTTAGAATTTTTTTACCCCATCCGACATCGCATGCAGCATGCCTTGAAGAGGCTTGCAGATGGATATTCATCCGCTGGAGAATCTCAGCCCGCTCTCACTCTGAAGCAAAGTGTCAGTCTCGCAGGCTGATCGAATGGTGAAACTATTCCTCTTCTTCTCGGGTTCTCAGGCTTGACGCGTCATAGCAGTCGTGGCCTATGGAGTTCTGGTTCCAGATTTCACCATCCAAGGAGATGCCGACGACCTCAATTTTGCCTGTGCCCAAGAATACCTTCGTGTGGGTGAATGTATCGTTGTAGACACTAAGGTATCTGGCGTTAGTGTCTTCGAAGTAGCATCCCCAGCAGACGCCAAAAGCGTAGAGAGTGTCCAGGTGGTCACAGTTGGCTCTGCAGGAGGGATGGACCGTATTCAGACCAAGCGCTCCTGTGAGAATGCACCGCATCAACAGAAATACAAGCACGGCCATCTCTCTCTCCATTACTCCCTCTCTCTCACCCGCTCTCGCTCTTGCTCTCACTCTCTCTTAGAGATTAAATGTTTTCTTCTTGTGACACGTATCTGTAGCAGCTGAAATCCAATCACACCCATTACTGGCCCCCATCGTCCTCTCTCTCTCTCTCTCTCTCACGCAAGCACACACACACTTGCACGCATGCACACAGACAGATTGAAGATCCTCTCCTTCTAACAAACAACAGAAAAGTTAGGCATCTCGTTCTCTCGGTTTCGTCAAAGTGTCCACACTGTCACAAACTTCGCAGGCACCTGGTTTGACGAAGAAAAGCTGGACCACATCCGACACCACTCACAGATTGTCCATGTCGAGTGGTGAGAATGTTTGAACCCATCTGAAGCCAGCAACGTTCTTGAGAGAGTGTTTATCATATTATAATTCTTGTAAAGATTTTTTGTAATTTCATGGGTGTGCATAAACCCTACCTTTCAAAAATCGAAGCATTCGGTTTTTCCCAATCTCCCCTCTTCTCCAGCGCCGCCAGCTCTCCTCGAAGATGAGCCACAGTTGTGGCCGCCTCACCTCGTCTCTCCTCTCACCTCGTCGCCCTACAACATATCTTGTTGCAGCTGACTCCTCCAGCCACTGAATCGTCTTCACCGGTCATACCTGGCTGCAAACTAGCCTCGGAAGTTTCTCCCTCATGGCAGCACATTTCCTTCTTCTCGACTCGACATAGTCCCGGCTCATTCCTCTTCAGCTTCTGACAGCGAAAACACAACAAAGAAAGTCCTGGTTGGCCAGTTCATCATTGGGCCATTGAATGGCGTTCCTTTAGACTGAAGTCAATGCTAGGTTGATAACAACACTATCTCGCGGAAGATTACACCATAGAGACACATACCGATAGTTTTGAGGAAAGTAAGCCCCCACGAATCTACTTACTGCGAGCCTTTGGTTGACATCGATGATCATTTATCAGGGATGATCCCCATAAGGTTAAGATATGAAACTCAATACTACCTGCTATGGATGAAATGCAGCATTACGTGTAACTGTGAAGAACAGAACTGTGTACAGTCGCGGTGTTGGAAGGAGATTACGTCGGAGACTTCTCCTTGTTTCTGGGCTAGGCACTTGAGGGATTATCCTTTAGGTGTCTTATAACAATGGAGCCGTCGAACGAAGTTGCTCTTTAGAGCTCTCTTAACAATGGTGCAAATTCATCTTACTTCAAGGTATTTCATGAGATGTCGGCGCTAGGGTTTCTTGCCTTCTTGTTTCCTTCATCAGTTCTCCCTTTTAAGAGACAGGGTTTTATAGTTTGCCCCCGCCGAAATACACCTGACAATTCACTTCCAACACTTTTTTCCACTTGTTCCTCTCGCCATCCCCAATCCATTACTTCTGTTTTACATATCACTTGAGCTTATCGATGCTCTCTTGCTTACCCAGCAGAAAAGAAAGTTGGAGCTTCTCAAGCCCATCAGTTGAATAACCAGCATGATTTCTTCTCTTACTCGATTTTCTCCATCCTACAGCAGACACTCCCCCAAGCTCTCCACTGTGAAGCCACGTACTCCAGGGTATTCATGCACTCCCAACATCTCTCCTAGATCCTTGCTGAAGTCTTGGGACCACGAATCCTCTCCAAGCTGCTGAGCCCCCTTCATGGTCGCTCACGTACGCTCCTCATTTGATAATTATATGCGAATAGAACGTTCATTAATTTTTAGGGTTGTGAGTGGTTGATCCATGGAAGCAAACGGCCGTTCATGGTCCCCTTTGGATACACAGGTGACCCACTTCCGGACAACAATCTGTGTGGCCCTTCTTCTCGTGGTGCTCCTCTCCAGCAGTGTGTATCTATAGTTGCCAGAATGATGTTCAGGAATGGACAACCAGGGGAAATAAAATTATGGTTCTTCTCGTCAAAATTGTGTCAATTATTGCTATTTTGGCTAAAAAGAGCCCTCTCTCTCTCTCTCTCTCTCCTCTCTATCTGTCTATCTCTCTATATGTATACTATCTATCTATCACTCTATTTTTACCTCTCTATCTCTTTCTATATATATTATCTATCTATCACTCTCCCTTTACCTCTCTATCTCTCTGTATATATACTATTTATCTATCATTCTCTCCCTCTCTACCTCTCTATCTCTCTCTATATATATTATTTATGTATCACTCTCTCTCTTTCTCTCTACCTCTTTATATATACTCTCTATTTATCACTCTCTCTCTCTCTCTCTCACTCTTATCTATCTATCTATCTATCTCTCTCTAGATATAGACTATCTATTTCTCTCCCTCTCCATCTATCCATCTCTCTCTAGATATATACTATCTATCTATCACTTTCTCTATCTATCCATCTCTCTCTAAATATATACTATCTATCTATCACTCTCACTCCCTCTTATCTCCTGGTAAGAAACGTTGCTCCCGAGAATGGGGGCGGCCACGGTGCCGCGATTCAACAGGTTGATAGGGAGGTACGGGAACGAAGGGCGCCTTCTGGAGGCCCGCGCACTGTTCGACGAAATGCCAGAGAGGAACGTATACACCTGGAACGCCATGATCTGCGGGTACGCGAGGAACGGGGACCTCGCCGGCGCGAGGGCCCTCTTCGATGCCGCGCCCGAACGGGACGCCGTCACCTACAACACCATGATCGCCGCCTACGGCGCGCGGGGGGGAAGCGGCGCCGCCCCTGCCGCGGCGGAGATATTCACCGAGATGCGGCAGAGCGGGGGAGAAGCCCGCGCCGACGAGTTCACCCTCACCGCGATGTTGAAGCTCGCGGCGGGGCTGGGGGACGTCACCCTCTCCCGGCAGCTCCACGCCGGCGCCGTCAAGGCCGGTGCAGACGCCGACGGCTACGGCGCCGCCGCCCTCATTGACGCCTACTCCAAGTGCGGCGGCCGCTTTGAGGAGGCCCTCCTGCAGGCGGCCCCCGGCGGCGGCGAAGCAGCGGCGGCGAAGAACGCCGCCCTGGCGGCGCTCTGCCGGCAAGGGGAGATGGAGGCGGCCTTTGAACTCTTCTTCTCCGGCGGCGGTCACGCCGCCTCCCCACCAGTGGAGATTGTCGCGTGGAACACCCTGATAGCAGGCTGCGTCAAGAACGGCCTCCCCAAGCTTGCCCTCCATTTGTTCGACGAAATGTCCCAAGGAGGAATCCCCTGGAACGAGCACACCCTGGTCAGCATCCTCAGAGCATGCTCCGCTCTGAGGAGCCTTAGCCAGGGAAAGCAAGCCCACGCTTGGGCCATCAAGAAGGAGGACCTCGGCCGGAATCCGCACGTCGGCGCCGCCGTCGTCGACTTCTACCGCCACTGCGGCGAGCTGAGCTCCGCCGAGGCCGTCCATTCCGCCAGCTGCCGGCGCAACCCCTTCGCGACGGCGTCGATGGTCGCCGGCTTCGCTGGCGCCGGCCGCCTGGGGGATGCCCGGCGGCTCTACGACTCCATTCCTGCTGCCGTCCCTGCCGCCAAGAATCCGGCGGCGCTGACCGCCCTCCTCTCTGCCTACTTCCGGCGAGGGCTCTTCGATCAAGCGGGCGAGCTTCTGCGTGATGCCTGTTCGTCGTCTTCAACCTTGGACGAGTCGCTGTTCGTGAACCTGCTCGCGGCGTGCGCCGACCAGGCGGAGCTCGGCCGTGGGAAGGAGCTCCACGGCCGTATGGTCAGGGCAGGGTTCTGCCCAGCGGAGGGACGGGCTGGTGGCGCTCTGGTTGACATGTACGCCAAGTGCGGCGAGATCGGCGGCGCCGCCAGGGTTTTCAAGCGGGTGCCCCATAAGGACCTCGTGCTCTGCAACACGATGCTCGCCGGGCTCGCCCGCCATGGCCGGGCCCTCGAAGCTCTGCAACTCTTCAAGGCGATCACGGCGGAGCTGCGGCCGGATGGGGCAACGTTCACGGCGGTGCTGTCCGCCTGCGGGCACGCGGGGCTGGTGGACGCCGGCGAGGCGGTCTTCGCCAGCATGGCGGAGGTGCACGGGGTGTCGCCGGAGCTGGGGCATTACTGCTGCATGGTGGATCTGTACGGGCGGGCGGGAAGGGTGAAGGAGGCGGTGGAGATGGTGGGAAGGCTGCCGTTCAGGCCGGACGCGGTCCTGTGGGGGGCTCTGCTGGACGCCTGCCGGCGGCGGCACGGCGGCGCCGCCGGGGCGAGGGAGGTGGGTGAGAAGCTCCTCGCGGCGGCGGGCGGCAGCGACGGAGCGCGGTACGTTCAGGTGGCCAACGCATTCGCCGCGGAGGGCGAATGGGCTGAGGTGGAGAGAATCAGGAGGCAGATGAGGGCCAGGCGAGCCAGGAGGGCGCACGGCGGCGGTCGAAGCTGGGTCCACGTCGGCGGCGCCGCCGCCCCCTGCTGCTTCGCCTCCGGCGACCGCTTCCACCCACACGGCAGCGCCATCTACGAAACCCTCGCCGTCCTCCACGGCGAGATGGCCGCGGCCCATGAAGAAGAACAAGAAGAAGATCTAGCCAAGAAGTGAAGATAACTCATCGGCGGCGCTAATAACAAAACGTAATCTTAGATTACAAACTAGTGCGCCGTCACCAGAGCTTCTTCGTCGTCGTCCGCAATATCATCGTGCTCTCGTGGGGGGGCTCCGTCGAGGGCGGGGAGGTCGGAGCTGGAGGAGAAGGTGGCCCAGCGCCGCCTCTCGGCGAGTTTCAGGAAGGGGTGGAGAAGGAAGCCGAAGAAGACGGCGGCGAGGCTCACCACCATGACCTTGAGGGAGGAGAGGGCGAGGACGACGCAGATGAGCACCGTCGGCGGGAGGAGCATCAGCACGCAGCCGGTCGTCCCCAAGGGGACCTTGTAGGGCCGCGACGCCGCCGGCTGCTCGACCCGGAGCTTGACGAAGGCGACAAACTCCATGATCATGCCGAAGCAGTAGAGGAAGTTCTCCGCCGCGATGATTTCCTGGAAGCTCAGCCAGGAGAGCAGCGCCACGCCCGAGGCGGAGAAGAGGATGCCCACGAGCGGCGCACCGTAGGGCGACCGTCGCGCGAAGAACTCCGGCAGCATCCCCCGCTCCGCCATCCCCAGAAGCTGGAAGGAGTCGCTGCTCATCTCCGCCACGAACATGCCCATGTTGGACAGCGCCGCCGCCGCCTGCACCCACCACGCCAGCCACGCGCCGCCGATGATCTTCGCCACCTCGGAGAAGTACCCGTCCGTCCAGAGCTCCCTGTCCAGCGGCACCGCGCCGGTGCCGGCGAGCAGGGGGAAGAAGTAGGCCAGCACCACCAGGATCAGGGCGAAGAAAAGCGCCCTGGGGAGGGTCCGCTTGGGTTCCTGCACCTCCCCGGCGAGGGTGCTGATGGAGTCCCAATAGTTGAGGTTCCAGAAGAGGGTGTTGAGGTAGAGGTTCCAGTCGACCCCGCTGCGCAGGTCCGGCGGCGGCGCCAGCCACCGGGAGGGCTCCAGCCGGGGGATCGACAGGAGCCCCATGACGGCGAAGGGGAGGATGGAGAAGACGCCGAGGAAGACGGCGACCCCTCCAACGATGGTCAGCCCCCTGTAGTTCAGGTATGTCAGCGCCGCCGTGAGCGCTAGGACGGAGATGGACCTGGCGGCACCGCCGCCGGCGACGGCGGGGATGCTGGACTTGAGGTAGTCGAGGAAGAGGACGGGGTAGAGGGCGTTGTCGATGACGCCGCTGAGCCACTTCATCCAGCCCTGCTGGAAGCCCCAGAAGGGGCCGAGGGCGGAGGAGACCCAGACGACGTAGCCGCCGTTCTCCGGAAACATGGTGCCCATCTCGGCGGTGATGAGGGCCTCGGGGACGCTCCAGATGAGGGGGAAGAGGAGGAAGCCGAGGAGGGCCAGGAAGGGCCCGGCCGCCTGGACGCTATCCTCCACGCCGAAGGGCCCCCCGGAGACCTCGTAGAAGATGAGGAACACCAGCGGCAGGACGGAGACCTTGCGGAAGGGCTGCTGCTCCGCCGGAGACCCTCCTCCGAGCCCCTGGTACTTGGGACCCCCCATGCGAACTCAAATGGAATGGAGGAGCTTCTTCTTCTTCTTCTTCTTCTTCTTCTTCTTCTTCTTCTTCTTCTGCTGCAAGGAGAAATTTGTGGAAAAGCTAGTGTGAAACGAGAATAGAGGGGGAAGAGTCTTCTTCAACAGGTTAATGGATGAGCAGCAGGGTTTGGTGTTTCTTCTTCTGGAGAAGAGACAGCGTGCATGCAGGAATATCTGATGACGGGAGGAGCTAGCTACAGCAGGAAGGCCCTCTTCGGACAAATGTGGGCGGTATGAGGGACTCCTGTTCTTGCTGGGATGCAATTGGAGAAGACGCACAGAACTGTTAATGGAAATTGTTTCAGGGTTTGATTTCCTCAAAAGAGTGATCGATGGAGCTTACGATGATCACAAAAATACAGAAACAAAATAATCAAAAGAAGGTCGGCCAATCGAAATGACGCAACAAAGAAGACAGAAAATCGCAGATGTTGGTCAATCGAATATTTGGAGAAGTTCGCCCGGAAGATTTCGGTAAGAGATGGCATGATGGACACAAACCATACGCTCCTCGCCTACATAACCGATGGTATTCGCAGGCCACAGGACAGAAAGAAGAGAGAAATTCCTCGATAAAGCAAAGAACCAGACGGAAGAAGGTGAGCATTACAATCCTTCCGATACAATCAATGCTCCTTTCTCAGGATCAAATCGCTGTTTCTGGTCGACGGGAAAGAAACCCGCCAAATCCAGCACAGAAATAACACCCTGGCTCGCGCGGTACAATCCACAGCCATAAAACGCCCTCCAGACTGAGAGGGATCGGAGAGGATGGGAGGGGAAAGCAACAATTCCACTGAACAGTGCATGAGAGAGAACCTTACCCTATTAGGCAACATTAAAGCAAACCTACTGGAAACGGCCGATAAGGGACAGGAAGGTGGAGGGGAGATCACTGGCTTCGACGACACGCGTATACCCCCGCCACTGTGATTGATTTAGATGCCAAATCAAGTAAGAAACCTTTTACCGGAGAGCACCCTCCCCCCACCCCACCGACGATCAAAAAGGGCCGGAGCAGGTCCTTCTCCGACAAACGGAGGAGAAGACCATCACTGGGAACAGGAGAGGTGGAGGTGGCGTGTTCTTACCTTCTCCGGCAGAGGAGTGCGAGGAGCAGCGGTGGAAATCTACTCCTCCGGCCGAATCCGCCGTCCTCAGAGCCCCAATCGGCGATCAACAAGCGGAGGTTACCGTGCCGAAACGGAGGAGAAGATCATCACCGGGGACAGGAGAGGTGGAGGTGCCGCCTTCTTACTCCCTCCGGCAGAGGAGCGCGAGGGGCAGCGCCGGCGGAAGCTTCCTCCTCCGGCCGAATCCGTCGTCCTCAGAGCCCTGCCCTCTGTTCGCTACTGCCCCAGCGGGCTGGATCCGGTGCCTTCCCCACAGTTTCTCGTCGCCGGAAGAGAGTGGGCGCCGTAGGTGTGTGTGGAACGCTCATACCGGGCCGGGAAGGACCGGACGGCGGCGGATCTGGCGGCGCCGCCGGTGGCGGACGATCTCGTCCGGGAGGAGGGGGGACGGCGGGGATGGGCTGGGCAGCGCGGTGGAGAAGGAAATATGGGCTTATAAGTTTCCGGTCGGGTTGGGTTATCCAGGTTGAGAAACGATCCACTGTCCTTCCGGCGCATTATAAAGAAGCCTGAAGAAAGCGATACCTGTCCCGAGTGTCCCACCTTTCACCCCGACCAAAGCCTCTCGGAACACGGTAACGCGACGGTGCAGGTGAACAGTGCGCCCGGGAACCGAAATATTTCGCACGTTTAGAGGTTGCCACGTCAGCTATCTGTCAAAGATACCCTCATCCTAATGAATAATAGCAGCTGTGAATAATGGGCCTGTACACACGGAAGCCCATTCTATGAGCATCTGTTATGGGCCTTGATGATCTATTGGGCACAGAAGAGGTCACCCCCATTCCTGCTAGAACCTTTTTTTGCATGTCTCGAGACCCAGTAATACTGGAAAATAACCCTCTCTCTCTCTCTCTCTCTCTCTCTCTCTCTCTCTCTCTCTATCTCCCCTCCCCATATATCCATTAATATCTATAGATATATAAATAAATATTTCAAAATAGTTGCACCTTCAATGAGTTGTAGAGTAGAAAATCTAAATAAAACATTTTTAATGAAATAAAAGAAAATAAATGAGTAAAAAGCCTGTATTGAGAGAGAAAACTTCTGAGTGAAGAGCCGAAAGGCACCCCGAGTGCAGGCCAAGTCCCCCAACCTCACCTCACTGCTAGCCAGATTTGAGAGAAAGGCTTGAGGCAAATGAGTGGAGCTCTTGGAAGTGGAAGTTGCTCCATCGAACTATGCTGATTACAAGGTGTTGAGAACAACAAGGGATCAAAGGGGGAGAGAAGGACCCCGGTGCTCAGCAATGTGCCAAGAGAGGGCAGTCTGTGCCTTGTTAGATACTGTAATGCGCATTAATACGTAGGGACAAATGATGCTCATGCACCTTCAAGAGGTCACCCACTTGGCGATTGATCATCGAAGGAGACTCGTCTCGATATTTCAAGCAATCTCCCCAGATCATCTCAGCTGGACACTGCATGTGCGTGGCACATGCCTCAACGTCTGCAGTCTGCACGCATGCACGCCGCCGCATGTCATGGGACTGCACATAGTTCTGCATGCCCTTGCATGGCCTTGGTCACTCCCTAGGCAGTCACGATTATGCACTGAAGCAATGTAAGATTTCTTTTCTTTTTTTTTTAGTTAAGGTGATCATTCTGAACCTTGGATTCCTTTTCCTCAATTTGACGTCTATTTTCATCTCATTGACGCCTGAGGGGTGAGAATTGACATCTATTTTCATGTATTTTCATCTTATTTTCATCTAAAGTGATTGACATTTATTTTCTCTTATTTTTAGATTTGAATTTGAGAACCTAAAACATTTCACATGTTTCGCATGTATGCGCATTTCTAATTAAAGGATGCCACGTCATCAAATCAGCTAATGTCCCTGTACACAGATGTGGCATAGAAGAACCCCATTCCTGCTACAACCTCTTGCTGCATGTTTGTGCCATGGATCTCGAGAACCACCTCTAATCAAGCCTTATATTGATCTATAAAGCCATCAGGAAAGTACTTAAGAGTGAAGACCCATGTATATCCTGCAACCATAACATTTGAGGGTAAGTCTACAAGATCTCAAGTTTTCTTAGAAAGTAGAGTGGGCATCTCCTCTTTCATAAGCGGGCCGGAGGCGGGGGTTGGGTGGCAGCTCCAACCTGGGCTGCTGCAAAGTCGACATCCCTGTTGGCTTCGAAATCATCCCCAGGACATTCAATAACTACAGTCGCTGCTGGAAGGTCAACTGTTATGGCGACTCGTTCCTTTCCGAGGCGGCAAGAAACTCGTCCACTACGGGCCGACCATGATCTTAGACTAGTTCTTAGGGAACCTCGCAGGGTCGAGTAGCAGCCCGGCAAGGTGAGGAGGAGGGCAGGTATGGTGTGCTCATGGACTCGAGATGTAACATCATCGAAACAAACGGTGGAATCCAGACAAAAGTTCATCTCGTTTATCACGGAAGTAGCCGTAAATCAGTGCGTTCTCGATTTAATCTTCCTGTTTTTTTTCCTGGTCTTGGTATTTTCTGTGTTTCTGCGATATTGGGCTCCACGACTGATAGAAGCGAATGATTTCAATGAAACTTCTACTTTGGCCCATCACAATGAAGGGTGAAAGAAAGACCTATTGGTTCAACAAGGTTATGTAAAGGCATTACAACACGGAGGCCAGTCGAAGAATTTGCCTCCTATTATTCGGCATGCTAAGGTCAACGATTCCATCAGTCAAGATCCACCCTTTTGAAGTCTTCAGCTGCCTGAAATCTCTCGGCTAACCTGATAAACAAAGAATCCGTATTCTTAAGGTTGAAAGTTCCAGTAGATTGTCAGAAATGAATTCTTAATGAAAAACAAAGATTAGATATGCAATGGTATGCTATCGTGTCTATTCCCAAACACACGCCAGTTGAGATCTGAGCATGCTGCAAAGGTGTAGATCAATGGATGCGCCGATTCATGCCTCTTTAATACCAAACAGGAGAATTTCGGCTATGAGGTCACATCTAGGGCCCTAATTCCGGTATTTGATTTAGATATCTTCCTTTTTTTTTTAATAAAGCCCATAAAAAGTTAAAGAGAGGAAACGGTAAGGGCTTAAAATCGTAATAAATTCTTCTGGGGAGAGCCTGAAAAAATGATGAAGATGATCCTCATTGGAAACCTTATGCAAATTGCTCTGAAAATATTTTTCAATCATAACTATTTTATAGCATGTCTAGTTTTCATCAGATAATAATAGAATTGACGAGACAAGGATGGCTAACGGTTGACCATTGAATGCTTCCAATCACGTTAAATACTGCGTCATGAGAAGCAATAAAAAAAAAATCAAGTCATGTCTAATATAGAAGAATTGTTCGATAACTAACTAGAGATTCAACGGGACTCGGATCAACTCAGCGAAACATCCAGGTCCGATTCATGCTACACAGATACCCTTTTTGCATTGGCTCTGAGGAATCACTCTGCTTGCACGGCATAATTCGTCTATGAGACCAAGGTTTAAGATGGTGTGACCTACCTAAAAACCTCAGGAGTCACTGTTTCTTATCGACAAGTGCACGATGGGTCGATGCATGAACCAAGAAATTTAACATGAAATTCTGATTTTTCTTATTTCTCAAATACGGACCCTTGCATGTAAAGCACTTTGTCAAAGTTGCACCCCTTTCTCTCTCCCTCTCTCTCCACCCACCCTATGACGAGATACTTCACAACTATTGGATACAGATGCCTGTGTATAGGGACAAGTAGATTGAGACCTGAGCATTTCCGTAACGTTGATCGACTGGTGCTGTTAGGCTATGCATACATATACAAATGTCTAGGCATCTGATGTATGAGTGACGACTAGGATTACGGTATCATTACTCTGAAAATTATATATTTTTACATAAATATATATATATATATATATATACATATCGTATTCGGTATTTAATAAATATTCTATTTGATTATGAGTCAACGGTTATCTCGAACTGGCCGTGTGTCAAGGAATCTGGTTGTGGGACTGTTTCAACCAATGTTAGCCGCCAGTCCGTCTCTATCAGGATAAGGGAAGTAGAGGTCAGGAGGTCCCTCCCGTTAATATGTGGGTTTTACAGATAAGTGTATTTGCATCGGTAACGGAAGGAGGGAGGGAGAGGAAACAGAGATAGCGGAGAGGCAGGGAGACAGAGAGAGTGAGAGAGCAATAGATATGTCGGCGATCGGATTCCTCCTGTTCGTCTTTCGCACCACAGCCTCTACGGGGAGGGCCACTGCGAGTACACTGCTGCCCTCCTGTACAGTTAAGCGCGGTGATACGGACATCATCTCCTACACGTTTGGCAGAAGACTGCTTGTCGACATCTCCGTGACTGGCGAGCTCCTAAGCAGAGGTTCGATCGGCTACGACTCCTATGCTCGGAGAGGGGAAACAAAATTATAGCTTCTAACAGTGGGTTCATCGACGATGGCTCTGTCGAGTTGCGTAAATGATGGCTCTGTCGATGATGGAATGTGCGATGTGAACATCTACGCGATGATTCGGTCAGCCTGGAAACGTGGCGGAAGGAGAGAATACTCGGGCCATCCTTTTACTCAGTCAGACGAGAGACTTCTGGCACCGATAGTCTCAGATGAAGCCTGTAGATCGATGCCATGGATTTCTACCATCAGCGTGGGTGAGGATCACAGGGGCCTCCAGTTGACCCCGGCATTCATCTAACGACGGCAGCCGATGGGAAGGGCGTTTTTTCGGTCATTTAAAACAGAGAGTTCTATGGCGAGAGAGAGAGGTAGCGATAGCAAGCGAGGATACAGACAGACAGTCAGGAATATGTCGGTGATCGTATTCCTCCTGTTCGTCTTCCTTACCACAACCACTACGGGGACGGTCACTGCGAGCACACTGCTGCCCTCCTGCAAAGCCAAGTGCGGTGATGTCGACATCCCCTACCCGTTCGGCATCGGTGACGGCTGCTACGCAAAAGAGTACGGAGACTTCAGGATCAACTGCTGGGGCAATTCCGCGGCCTTCTTGAGCGACAGCGTTTATGAGATTGTCGACATCTCCGTGACCGGTGAGCTGCGGATCAAGGGTTCGACCGGCTTCGACTGCTATGATCGGAGCGGAGAACGTACATACTACTTCCCGTCGGTTAATCTCAGCAATCTACCGTTTACATTCTCTCACACCCGGAACAAGTTCGTCGTCATCGGGTGCGACACGAATGCTTACATATGGGACCAATACGACACGCGCTACTCCGGTGGCTGCATGTCCTACTGCGAGAGCCTCGACAGCTTCAAGGGCATGCCGAATGGCAGCAGCTGCTCAGGCTTAGGCTGCTGCGATGTTTCAATTCCCAGGGGCATCAAGAGCTACATCACGGGGATAACTACCTATTACAGCTACAAGTATTCCATGGATTTCAACCACTGTGGGTTCATATTCCTGGCTCAGCAGGGTCAATACACATTCAGTGTCTCTGATCTGAACTCTACTAGGTTAGAATTACAAACTCGGCCCATCGTTCTCGACTGGTCCATCGGCGGTCAGACCTGCGAGGAAGCCAAGAAGAACCGGACCGTCCCGTACGCCTGCCGCAGCGATAACAGCGAGTGCATCGAATCCAATAATGCGGTAGGATACCTCTGCAACTGCTCGAAGGGATACCAGGGCAATCCCTACCTCCCAAGGGGCTGCCAAGGTATGATCAAGACGCCGCATTGCTTCGATTAATTTATCTGTTATTCTTGAGTCCGGCCATCAATGTATGTGATCGATCTTCTTGAATCTCCGATGATGCAATGTAGATATCAATGAATGCGACCGAAGCCCAAATGTTTGCCCATCGAACGCAACTTGCGACAACACGCGGGGCGGGTATGACTGCAAGTGCCAATCGGGCTACCGATTAAATATCAATTTCCCAGGGGGATGCGAAGGTAAGACTTCCGCGATCACTAAGTGATTCGTTCTAATATATGGGGGGATGACAAATCTCTCGAAAAGTCAACCACCGAAAGGTGGGATCATTCTAACTGTCTCTTCTATCCCCCTTGCAACTTGTCCTATCCATGAGAATGTAGATATTGACGAATGCGAGCGGAACCCATGTCCACCCGGCGAGTACTGCACAAACACGAAGGGAAGCTACGAATGCAAATCAAGGAGTGGCGACATATCGTTGGCTTCTAAGTTGGGTCTCGGTCAGGAGAATCGTTTCCGTCTTCCATGCCATGGTCTCATTTCCTTTAATCATGTAGCGTGCCGTCACTAATTTCTAGCTTCTGCAGGACTCGGCAGCGGCCTACTCGTTCTTCTGTCTGCAAGCGCCTTCACCTGCTGGGGATGCCAGAGAAGAAAACTTGCCGATCAGAGAAAAAAGGTTGCCGAATTCAGACAGAGGACGTTTGAGCACAACGGCGGCCCGTTGCTGCAGCAGTATACCTCCTCTCATCCGGGAAACACGTTCAGGATATTTACGGAAGAGGATCTCGCCAAGGCCACGTCTGGCTTCGCTGACGACCAGATCATCGGGCGAGGAGGCCACGGCGTGGTCTACCTGGGAAGGATGGAAGATGACACCCTGGTGGCCATCAAGAAATCCAAAATGATGGACGAGAGGGAGAGCAAGGAGTTCGCCCGGGAGATGGCCATCCTATCGCAAATCAACCACGTCAACGTGGTCAAGATTCTGGGTTGCTGCGTAGAAGTGGAAGTCCCCATGCTGGTCTACGAATTCGTCCCTGGAGGTACGCTATTTGACGTCATCCATCGGCGGAACGAGAGGGCACCAATCTCCTTGGAGGTCAGTCTGAGGATCGCCACAGAGGTTGCAGATGCCCTGGCTTACCTGCACTCCTACGCATCCCCTCCAATTCTTCACAAGGACGTCAAAACGTCTAACATACTGCTAGACGAGAACTACAGAGCCAAGATCTCCGATTTCGGGGCTTCTTGCTTCGCACCGGTGGATGAAACAGAGATCGCGACCGTGGTTCAGGGGACCTGCGGGTACCTCGATCCCGAGTACCTCCAGACCTACCAATTCAGCGAGAAAAGCGATGTGTACAGCTTCGGGGTGGTCCTCGTTGAGCTTCTGACGCGAAGAAAGCCACTCCACCTCCAGGGTCCGGTAGACGAGAGAGGCCTCGCCGTAAGCTTCGTCTCCTTGTTGAGCCAAGGCAAGCTGGAGAAAATTTTGGACGCCCAGCTGTTGGCCGAAGGTGACGCAGAGAGGGTGAGGGAGATCGGTGAGCTCGCAGGTCGCTGTTTAAGCGTAAAGGGAGCAGATCGTCCCAGCATGAAAGAGGTTTCAATGGCTCTGCACTTGCTGCGGTCATCTGATGAGCACCCCTGGATTCCTCAGCACACTCCGGAGGAGGTGGAGAGACTGTTAGACCGCGAGCAGGCGACCGCGTATGACAGCGCCGATGTGGTCAACAGCTATTTGTGCCGGAAGAACCATACTATCCTCGAGATAGAGGCAGGTCGATGAGAATGTCTTAGGGATAAGAATAGAGGTAATGCTTTAGTTTTTGGATCTTGATCTTGTAAAATGCATGTTAGCTTTGTTTGCAAAACTATAACGGAGATTAAGGTACAAGATTTTCTTTATGTCATGTGTTCTGAACGAACGTAAGTGATTTCTCAACAGCTAACGCGGCCTTGAGGATATAAATTCCAGACTAATGGGTGCTAAACTGTCACTCAATTTCAGATTCTACTCAAGGATAGGCATTGTAATTAAGGAACAAGAGATCAAAGATGAAGACAGCGCCAATTTGATGATTACTCAGAGGCCTATTTTGAGATAATAGGGGAAACGCTAACCTTCATTCAATTAACAAGTCAGATATCAGGTTGGCCGCTTATGGTAGTAATCCTATAAGAAGACCGGTAATTCAGACATACTTAGGGCTAAGTCCAGCTGCATTTTATATATTAAGAAATTTCTGTCACGTTTTTGGATGTTTAGGTAAAGAACACTACGTTTCTGTCAAAAACCATGTCAAAATCTAAACTAATGACCTAAGCGTGAAGGGAGCGGATCGTCCCACCATGAAAGAGTTTCGATGGCCCTCCACTAGTTGGGCCCTGCCTACGAGCACCCCTGGGTTCCTCAGCACACTCCGGAGGAGGCGGAGAGTCTGCTAGATCACCAGCAGGCGACGGCGTATGACAGTGCCGATGTTGCCAGCTGCTATTTCGGCCGGAAGAACACATATTATCCTTGAAAGAGAGGCAGATCGATGAGCAAACCTTAGGCGTTAAAAAGCAGTAGGGATCATCGGAGATAATGGTTGAGTCTTGGATTGTGATCTCTAAGGTCCGTGTTAGCTTTCTCTGCGGAAATATAATGGGGATAAACATAGAATATTTTCTTTATGTCATGGGTTCTGCAAACGTATGTGACTAAACAGCTGATGGGGGCTTGAGGATTTAACTGAGTGATCAATCGGTGCTAAGCTGTCACTGAATTCCAGATTCTGCGCCTGGGCAGACATTGTAATTCAGGAACGAAAGATGAAAGATGAAGAAAGCCCACTAACCTTCATTGAATTTACAAGTCAGATATCAGGTTGACTCTCTATGATAAACATGTTTAGGACTAAGTCCTGGATATTGTCTATTAAGAATTACATCCGTCACTTTTTTGGACATTTAGTTGCATTTAGTCACATTTTTTTGTGTTCAGATTATATCTTTGCTGTTCTAGCCAGAAGTTGAGGCAAACCCATATGGATTGAGAATACCTATTCATTAACCCTTTAAACGGGCCCGTTGTTTACCTCATCAAGCTAGAGGACCAACATTAATCTCTCCACAGTTTGAATTATATTCAAAAAAGAGATGGCATACAACACAAGAATTTTATTACATATATTTCAATGTTGTTTCCATGTTTAACTTTATATATTAAAAAAAAGGTGATTTATTTAATTTTTTAAGAGGAAATAACTTTAAATGAATGTATGACAATAAAAGAGAATTAGATTGGATACAGGTGGAGCCCACACCTCTAAAGAAGAACATTCATATAGTACAAAACATCCTTTCACTTTCAAAACATAACTCATAATGGTATATAGTTGAAACGAGATGCTACAGAGGAAAACATGACTCAATTGTCATGGGTAATTCAATGCTTAGCATTAAAACTTTAGTCCAGATATTTGATCTAAATATTATTAAGTAAAAGTTTTATTCATAGCTGATTATCTTCAAGAGGTGTTACTTATAATATAACCAAAAGAAATTCAAATACTTTAAATTTAGGGTTTCATCTGACTGCTAAAAATAATAGAAGGTAAAACGAGAAAACTTGATCCAAAAGAGTTGATTCTCGTTTATTTGTCATGTAGAAAACAGCAATGCGACTGGATTTCGTCTATTTAGATTGGAAATTCGTCCTTTATATGCCTACAAGTACAATGTTATTTTTCTCTTAAAGAGAAGGTAAACCCCCTTCTTTGAGAAACCTCAAGTTAATAAATCATTGTTTATTTAGAACATAACCTAAGCGAACGAGAATCGTGTGTGCGTGTGAGAGAGGAGAGAGAGAGAGAGAGAGACAAATAGAGAGAGCGAAGAGCGATGGCTGCTCTTGGATTCCAGCAACTGCTGCTGCTTCTGGTGTTATCGACACGAGCAATAGAAGCAGCGGCAGTTGAGTCCCTCCTGCGGCTTCTTCAACGAGCAAGAGGACTTCAACAGATGGCTCAACGGGGGCTTCGACTGGTTCTTGGGGAACCTCGCAGGTCCGCGTAGCAGCCCGGCAAGGTGAGGAGGAGCAGGCATGGTTTGCTCATGGACTCGAGATGTAACCTTATAGGATCAAAGGGTGGAATCCAAAGAAAAGCTCGTCTCTTTTCTCACGGAAGTAGCCGTAAATCAGTGTGTTCTCGATTTGATCTTCCTGTGTTTCTGCGATATTGGGCTCCACAAGTGGTAGACGCGAATGAATTCAATGAAACCGCTGACTTTGGCCCATCACAACGAAGGGTGAAAGAAAGATCTACTTGTTCGACAAGGTTTTCTAAAGGGATTACAACCATCCCAGACGGCGTGGTGCAGCTGCTCAAATGTGTCTCTGTCTCCTTTGCTCTGAACTTTGCTGCATTACATGCGTTGACCTTGGACGAATTTGACATCTACAGGCGTCATCGTGGGTGGGGGGGGGGTGGCCGCTGTCGCCAGAGTCAGCTGTTGGGTGGATGCCGGAGAAGATAGCCCCTGAGATAAACAGCGAAAAGGTCGCAGAGTGAGAGAAGGAGAACAAGGAGTTCGTGAGAGAGATGACCACCCTTTCCCAAAGAAAGAAAAAAGAGGAAGGAACGAAGAAAGGAAGATTGAGATATCATAATAATTATAGAAATTAAACAAAGTTTTTCCATCGAATATATGGCTCATTAGCCATTTATTTGTCAAGGTATCCTAGCCATATTACCATGTCTCTCTCTCTCCCAACCCAGTTTCCCCTGATCTGACCACTTTCAGGTTCTAACCATGGAAAGTAATTGATCTCAAGCAAAAGCATCATATGAGATGAAGGGGGTACACATCAAGTCATCGTGTTCCTTCTGGATCTGGCCTGTGATACCATGCCCCTACCTGAATATGAAACAGCTAAGAAAGCGCAGACCTTGAAGGGTAGAGATACCCCCTTTGAAGAAAGTTCCCACTTCTTCTCAGTCTTGTGATGTAGGGAAAGAAACAGCAGCATCATTTCCATGAAGAACTGGATACATACCCAGGTTACCTGGGTTGGAAATGGCCTAGTTTAATGAAATGAATTAGGTAAGGTAATCCTCTGAGGTGAATTGACCAATATGCTGGCAAATTATCCCATCAATGGCCGATGGCATTCATTAAGAAAAGGGGAGTTGGTCTCTATTTAGGCAGTTCTTTCCAACACCATAAGTGGTATGATCCTGGCATCAAAATCATCTGCGAGCAGTGTCTGTGAGAGGACGAATTATGAAGTCCGGGCAAAACACTACGTGTCTCTCAGAAACAAAAAAAATAAAAATCGAAACTAATGAGCGTTCTGACAGATAATCCAGCAAGTATTCAGCTACGACATTGCCGGATCCCCACATCTGTTGAGGGGTCTAATTGATCCAGATTGATTGCATTAGAACACAATGGGCAGTGAAGAAGCAAATCTAGATCGATGAAATGTCACCATGGAATCGCAGCAAGGACTGATGCAGCAGAAATGTGATGGCCTACAACTGGAATTAATATGATGCAAGGACTCATATTTTGTTTGTTTTTCATAGTATAATGTTTGCTGTGGCATGCTGAGAGAGCCGGTATCTCCATTTATTTTAAGAACTGCAGCAATGATCGACTTTTGACATTCGATATGAGTTCCTCGAAATTCAAGAGATCAATTAATAATGATTTTCATGATCTTCCATGTTTTATCTCTTCAACTTTTCTCGAGCAGAATAAAAATCAAAAGCCATACAGGAAGCTCCAAAGTAACCAAAGCTTGAATACTTCTGATTCACACATGTCGGGGCTGCTGCTGATGTTAAATCTAGGACTAAACTTCGGAGTTTACGATGTTTTTAGCATATAATTTGTGATTATGCTGATCAAGCAAGCAAAACCAAACTGGCGAGGAAGAGACTTCCACTGAAATCACAACAGATTGATTATAAAATACTCACCTCTGGATCAATTCCACGGTACGGCAGAACCTTTCTCACACCTAGCAAGAATAAAAGGATTATGACACATTCCGGAACGATAGCCACGAAATTGTCCTCTCGTTGCGCATTTCTAGTCTAGAAGAACCGACGATTTCTCCGAGAAAAATACCAGTCAAAAAAACCAGAAATAAATACGGAAGAAAATCATAGATCAGCTATGCACGGTACGATTAGCAGGTAGATTCAAAAGGCACCTCCAGGCCGTCGGCGAGGAGTGATCTTTCTCCATCAGTCGTCGCCGTAGGCGCGGAATCGGTAGCGCTCCTCGTAGGGCCCGTCGAAGAAGAGATCGGCCTCGAACCACTTAGGGTAGCGGATAAGATCCCCTTCCACGAATCGCATGTACCGCTGACCGCCGAAGGCAGCGCCGCCTTCCGGCACCACCCGCACCTCCCCCTTCACCACGTACACCTGCTGGTCAACGTGCCAGTCCCACGGGAGCAGGCACTTCCCCGTCCTCCACGTCGACCACCGCTCCACCCCGAGTTCCTCCAGGCGCTGCTTGCTCACCCCCCGCTCGACCCGCACGTTGTAGATCTCCTCCAGCGGCCTCCCGAGCTTCGCCTCCATCCGCGTCCCGGTGACCCTGAGGTGCCGCTCCGCCGCTCCCCGGGAGGCGCCGCCGGGGACGGCGATGATCCCTGCGGCGGAGGCGGCAACGGCAGCCATTTCACAGCTTCTTCTCGAGCGCTGGCGACACCTTATCCCCTTCGTTGGAGACAACGGAATGGGGTTTAAGAGCCGTGCTCAAAAACCCGGATCGGACGTTTTGAACCGGTTATGGCTTTCTGTCCGGCCAGGTTGATCCGAACCGGGCTCCCCACCCCCCTTTCTTTACAATCGTCGCGGTTTTTATTTTTTAAGAAAGAATTAATTGTCTTTTAATCGTATGTTTCACCCTTCATAATTTATTTAATTCACAATCTAAGCATAATTTATTTATATCGCATGTCAACCTAAATATTCTCGTCAACCTAAATACTCTCTCCTCTCTCTCTCTCTCTCTCTCTCTCTCTCTCTCTCTCGATCGATGTATATATAGATTAGCCTAATCCCTTCACAACATAAGCATGCGTATAGTCAAGGATCTGTTTTTTTCTCGCATGTCAACCTAAATGCTCTCTCTCTCTCTCTCTCTCTCTCTCTAGATTAGGCCTCTTAAATGACTGGCACATAAAATCTGATCTAACAGGCCTAGAACCCATATAACCCTCTGACTCATCATCCATAGACAGGGTCAAACTCTGCTAGCCAACATTCAAGACTGTTTATAGTGTTGACTTTTTTGGCTTTTGTGAGCTTCAACAATCCGTGGCAGAGAAGATCTACTGCCGATTTTGTCCGTTTGCACGGAAAGAGATGGGTTGACTTGGTTCTGACACATTCTGAAGAACGCATAAATTTATATGTATTTAGAAATAAATCTCGATTGGTCAACCCACATGCATTCAACTGCCTTGAAAGTTCCAAATTCCTCCCATTTTAAATCCAATCGAGCAAATTGCGGGCGATGAAGATGAAGCTTATCATCTACAACTGAACGACGTGAGCAGAGAGGGAGCGAGAGAGAGAGAGAGAGAGAGAGAGAGAGAGAGAGAGAGAACCTGATCGGCTATCAACAAAGCAGGTTATGAGACAAAAATGAAGAGGGTCGTACATTAGTTACCTTCCTCCTGTCTAGGAGGCCCCACTCTTCCACGGTCAGACCCCTCTGAAATAATCAGCGCCGCCACAGAGGAACCCCACCTCCGGTGTGGTCACATAGACGGCCTGAGAGCAGACCATGGCGATACTTCAGCAGCGGCAGTGCACTGAACAAGGGCCGCCACCCGACCAGACAATCAAGCCCAAGGCCGAGTTGAAGAGCCATCACTCCTCACCAGGTTCCCTAATCAGAGAAATCTCCAGTTAGCAAGGGCAAGCTGCCAACTCCTACGTCATGCGCTGTCAAGCCATGCCTGTCGGCGGTGGTGGCCGGCCGACAGCTTCAAGCAACCGGCTGAAGACGACCTTCATGGGAACACAAGTCACCGTCGGCACCTCCCCGCCGGCCTTGATCAGCCGGGCCAGAGCCTCCCCCCTCTTCCTCCCCCTGTGCCCGGTGGCGGCACCACCGCCACTGCGCCGCCTCCTCTCCGCAGCAATTGAAGACAGCATCCTGACCTTTGGGGCCAACAGACTCCTCTTCCTGGAGAGCTTCCGGTGGATCCTCTCTGCCAGACCGGGCCGATGGCGGGTGACAGCATATGGCTCCTCGAGGCCAGCTTCCTCCACCATGGGAGCCGCCATGGGGAGCAGATTGGGGCGGCGCACCCGCTGCATCACTGTCCTCCGGGCGGTCCTCCAGCCATGGGGACCAACGGCGTCAGCATTGGTGTCAGCCCTGTCGGCACCACCCGGGAGCAGTGAGTCGGTGGAGCCATCTTCAAGCTTCTGAATGTGGACAGGGTGCCCAACGATTGCTTTGCCATTCAGCCTGCTCATCAGCGACACCAGCGGCACCCGCTCCCCCTGGTAGCTCCTCGCCTGCACCTTCAGCTCCACGTTGACCAGCGAAGGCTCCATCCTGACCGCCACCGGCGGTGGCGGCCCATCGGCCTTCCAGCCTGACAAGAGGGTCCCATCGTAGTCATCATCATCATCATCATCATCATCATCATCACCATCATCACCATCATCACCATCATCATCTTCATAGGCGCGGGCGAGCTGGCGACGGTAAAAATCCTGGGCAGAAGCTCTCTCGCGGCCGGGTTTAAAGATGCTCTGAACGTTGGCCTTCTCGTAGACCAACTCAGAGAGGAAATCAGGACAGCTCTCGGGGCTCATGGCGGGCTCGGGCCTCTTAAGAAAGTTCCGGATATTCCGCTTACCCTTCATGTGCCACCGTGAGACCCCCGGGGTGAGTGGAGCTGCAGAGCCGGAGACCGAGGGGCCGAAGCCGTCACTGAGGGTGGAGTCAACATCACCCGGCTGCTCCGAGCTTCTTGATTCGGAAAGGAGCGACCCGTAACCTGAAATGTATATGTGCATATATATATATATACATAGATGCATGTGAGTGACCACTCATATAATTGCATGAATATAAGAGCAGAGGGAGTGGAAGTTAGAGAGAGAGAGAGAGAGAGAGAGAGAGAGAGAGAGAGAGATTTTAACTGAGCCAAAATGAGAAGAACCCTCATAAATATCAATGATTCTTATGAAGAATAAATACACTGGTTTTCGTGTTTTCGTCATGAAAGCCACCAGAGCATAAATCATGAAATCTATGTAAATTATCAAACAAATCAACAGAGAAAGACAATCTAGGGAGATAAAGGAAAAATAATCTAACTTCCTAAGAACAGAAGGGGTTCCCACTAAGTATCAGGCTCATCTCCATCAGGAGGCAGGATTGAAATCGGGTCGTAAAATAATTACTTATTTCACAAATAGATGCCTGCGAGATCAAGAAAATTAATAAAACTAAAATGTTAATTTATGTAAAAATAAATTTAACACAACCCATATGATTTAAGACATGGTAATGGGGATGAGATGTCTCATTTAGGGGCGCTGTGTTAATTCCAAATAAGTAAGAGATCAAAGTACTCAGCTCAAGCTCAAACCTGAAAGAAACACATCATATATCATCAATGATGACAAACCCAAGGTAAGTCAGCTCCATACGTTTTCCATTATTGATCGACAAATAGGTTGATCAGTGGACTTTCAATGCATGTTTGCTAACAAATAAAGTTCTCTCGATGTATTAAAAGAAATTAAAAATAACGCATCTAACCTTGAAGCAAAGTTCCATCATCCTCCATGTCAGCACCCACAAACGTCTTTGCTGAGGAACTAGTCTCGTCGCCTTTAACCAACCCAGATGAGGTCTCTTCGCCGGCCAATGAACTGGACTGAAGAGTTTCTCCATTGTATCCAACCTGAGCTGGAGACATTTGTGCCTGGTCAAAAGAATATTCAGTACGGTCCAAGCAGTCACTGATATCAGCTCGTAAAGGCATGCAGTTACTACTTTTGGCATGACACACTGTTCCAACGTGTTCCTTCTCGTCTTGCCCTGGAAAAGCAGATGCCAATACATGGTCAGCCAGCAATGGCTCAGGGCTTAGCAATTTTGCCCAAGTATGAAGAACTTGAACCAGAGGATGGCGTCTAGCACACCTTTCAACCAGGAATTCCTCCAAAGGATCACCGGGAATTCTTTTCCATCTAATGGGCAAAGGATTTTTAGTGCCACCACCGGGGCCACCCTCAATCCCATCCCCATGGCCAGAATTATGAAGAACATCAAAATAAGTAGTATCACTAAGTAAAGCAGGTTTAGAATTCTCACATGCAATGGGGTTCGAGACCCTCTTCTTTGCTGCTGCAACACGGAGGCCAAGGCCCTGCAGTCCTCTTGTGGACGGGATGGAGTCAGAGTTCTCAGCCTCCCACTTCATCTGCTTGCCACCACTTCCCTCCTCAGAGAGCAAGTCAACTCTCCAGGAATGAGTTTGAGGGACAGAGATGGCAGATTTGCTGCTGCCCATCAGTTCATCATCCATGAGTTCTAATCCAGAAGATGAATGACCACTCAACTCTAAACCAGCGGAGTATCTGTGGCTCAGATTGTGGGCACTCAATCCGTAATTCTGCTTCTCCAGTTCCAGAGCATGTAGGATAGCATCTTCTCGGCGGGCGTACTTCTCTCTCTTTTTCAAAAGAACACCCTGGGAAGCTTCAGCCCTTTCAATACAAGCATCAAATTCCCCACACCGGAAGGCCTTCACACGCTTGGACTTTTCCAAATTATACCAATCCCTGAGAAAATTGAAGAATGTTCAATTGATCGTACCAGAGATTAAACCATGAAGAAAAAAAGGACGAATAAGACAATGTGGCGACAGAATCTTCACCAAATCATTCACGAGTGAAAATATCAATGTAATTTATCAGAGAATAGACGATTCATATCGCCTTTTGAAGCATCATAATGCAGGCATTGTGATGCATTCCCAATTAATGCTTCAACAAGAATAATGAAAATAAAACAATTAATGATTCCAGCTGACCAGAGCCTCATCCATTTTATTATTTTCATCGATATGTTTTGGCTGATAATAGGACTTTAAATATTCATTATAAAGTACAACAGCAGATAAAAGGCACAAAAAAAAGTATCTTATTTCCCATGGTTTAGAGAAGACGAATTTCCACGGCCCAATCCCAATCCTATATCGAAGGTCAAAACCACAGGTCCATACCAGCTGAAAGTCAATTAGGCAAAACCCAAACAATGGCACGGCATTTTCTAACTATTTCTATCAAAGCTGTCTTCTTATCATGGAGAATCGTCTCCCTCCCCAAGACAGATCACAAAGAATGAACTCAATCTGGTTTTCAGCATATTCACTGGACAGGATCCCATTCTTTGGGGAAGTTCAGGGATCACTACGCTCCTGTATTAAACATGGTAATCTTAAGTGCTTACCCAAAAAACTAAAAAAAATGCAGGGACTGAACCACCGATGGATCTAATGGAGCAAGAACTTGACATGGAACACCTTGCCCCTTCCCACGACTTCAACAGAGGATTCGTGTAAAGGTGAGAACACCAGGCAGATCCACCGTAATATATGACCGTATTATGGTTTACAGATCTTATGATAAACATCGCCCTTTGCGAATAAAATGAAGACAATTGTTAGATAATAAAAAAACCAAGTCGGATGGAAGCAAATTAGAACACAAGCGAGAAATAAAAATATAATACTTAACAGTGACAACGTCCTGAATGGGAGCTTTTCACAGTTTTTGTCAAGTTTTTTTCTTCTAGGGGAGGTTTCCCGGTCAGTTTCAGGCGCCATCTGGTAAAACTAAGGTGGGTGGAAACATGAGGTGAGATGCTGTCCACCCCTATGCCTCCAAAGCTCAAGAGCTCGTATGTCAGAAGAGTTGAGGAGGAAATCATAAAAATGGGATTTTTTTCTTCGAATGGCCAACATGAATACAGAAGAAAGAGCATCAGAAGAAAGGCAGATTGAAAGAAGATGAACACTTACACGCTTGCGTCCTCCCTGCCAAGGAGCTTGACGGGGGTCCCAGATCTTGGGGACATGAGGTGGGACGCCGACAGTTCGTCCTGGCCGAGGATCCTCCCCGGCCACCAGGACCCGTTCCTCCGCCGAACCCAAACGATGGTGCCCACGCTGCAGTCCACCCCTGTGCCTCCTCCAGCCCCCTCCAATGTCGCCATTCTCGCTGCACCAGACGCTGAAACCCTAGAAACCCTAGGAACAGCAACGAAACAAAGAGGGAGGATATCCCTGAACAAGAGAACCGACCACCGCCGAGCAGATCAATCGGTGATTCAACCCCCGGCGAGCAAGAGCTCCGATCCGCAACGCCACCGAACGACTGGGGAACCTCCACATCCGCGTCCTCCTCCGATCTTCGCCGATCCGCTGAGCCACAGCAGTAGTTGTTCTCCGAAGGGTTCCATTCAGGCCGCGGGAGATCTCATCCCCTTCCGCCACCTCCTCATCGCCCAATCTTCCTCACTCTCGCTCCACCATTGTTCCCCCTCTCTCCGCTCGCCCTTCTTCTCCCTTCTTCCAAAAACCTCCACCCTCTCAAGTCCTCAGATCCAAAAACCTCCAGCCGCCGGCGAATCTGTGGGAAGGCGACCACTGATCCCGCCGCCCAACCGCCTCCGTCTTCGGTGTCCGATCGGATCGCCGTGTACGAGCCCCGCCACCGCCTGGAGCTAGCTGATGATGGTGATGCACGGTGATCCGGAGTCTCTCTCTCTCTCTCTCTCTCTCTCTCTCTCTCTCTCCCTCTCTCTCCCTCTCCCGTTATCTTCTCTCTCTCTCTTTCTCTCCCTCTCCCGTTATCTTCTCTCTCTCTCTCTCTCTCTTTCTCTCCCTCTCCCGTTATCTTCTCTCTCTCTCTTTCTCTCCCTCTCCCGTTATCTTCTCTCTCTCTCTTTCTCTCCCTCTCCCGTTATCTTCTCTCTCTCTCTCTCTCTCTTTCTCTCCCTCTCCCGTTATCTTCTCTCTCTTTCTCTCCCTCTCGCGTTATCTTTTCTCTCTTTCTCTCCCTCTCACGTTATCTTCTCTCTCTCTCTCTTTCTCCCCCTCTCTTCGCTTTGCTCTCTCTCTATCTCTCTTCTCTCTCTTATCGCCCTGACGTTGACTGGTCAAATCAGAATTATGACGCGATAATTTCCATGGGCCCACAAAAAAAATTGATCTTCAAAAGACGTTTATTAATAAACATTTTAAATATTTACATTTTATAAAATAATTATTACCAAATAATAATAAAAGGAGATTATCTTGTCGGATCCATTACGGTTATAGTAGACCCGGTAACTTAAAAAACAGAAATTTTTGACATAATCCTTGTTGCTTACTCGCATGGACGATCTCAGCCGTTGGATCTTCGTGTGATTTTTTTTCTAAAAAACACTACTGATATCACAACGGCTAGTTGAGGGGGCAAGGGGTTGATATGACCGTTGGAGGGAGGGGCTGTTTCCTCGTCAGCGAGGGAGAGAGATCCTGACCTGTATATATCATGGTGGGTGTCGTCCTCCTTTGGCTCATACCCGGTTCCCTCTCTCTCTAGCGCTCTCTCTGGTACTTACTCTTCTCGCCCCGAGGAGCTCGCTCAAGCATCGACAAAGAGGAGACGAAGCTCTCCTCCTCTCTCTTCTTCGCTTCTGCTCTCCGGCTGTTGTTGGATCGCTCTGCGTTGGTTTCGTTTGCAGATTTGAGCCTGTGGCTGTTTTGTTCTTCATTTTTTTTCCTATTGTGGTGACGATTTTCCTGTGCAGGGATTAGTTTGTTTTTCTTGGTTTTTTTTTTTTGGTGTTTCCTTTTCGTTGATTCGCAGATCTTCGGGAGTGGAGATGACTTCTTCGGAGAGGATGAGCAGCAGCGGCAGGAGCAAGTGCGATCCGATGGACCGGCGCCCCCTCGAGGAAGTTCTAGGATCGAAACTCCTCACCAGACCCCATACCTCCTCCAGGCAATGTGTAAGCATCTGCATCCATTCTTTCTGCGTTCTTAGATCCATTTCCCCGCGATTCATCTCTAGCGCGCCGATCTTTCTCGATATTTCGCATTTATCCTTCGGAATCTGTTCATCAACTTTTCTGGCGGTCTTCCTGTTTACTCTGATTCAACTCCGAAAATCCGCAATGATCTGAGAACATCGATTCTGAGGATATTTGATTCGAGGACGGATACATTGTGGATTTTCCATCCAAGAACCTTGGAGGTTGTTGGAATTTGCAGTGATGTCGCTTGTACGGATTTCAGCGATTAGGTTTTTCGCCTCATTCGGTCCGCAGATCCTTCGGATTTCAGCGATTAGGATTTCATCCAAGAATCCTGACCGCCTTCTTCCCTGAACTGTATATTGTATATGCAGGGCGACCGATTCATTCCCGACAGATCTGCGATGGACTTCGACATGGCCTACTACCTGCTGACAGAAACCAAGAAGGAGAAGGAGAACGCCGCCGCCGTCGCCTCCCCTTCCAAGGAAGCCTACCGGAGGCACCTCGCTGAGACCTTGCTCCCGAACCGGAGTCGAATCCTGGCATTCAAGGCGAAGCCCCCTTCCTCCTCCTCCGCGCAGGAGATCTCCTCCGACCAAGCTCTCTGCAACCAGCAGTCCAAGCCATCGCGGCAGAGGAGATACATCCCGCAATCTGCGGAGCGGACGCTGGACGCCCCTGACATTGTTGACGATTACTACCTCAACCTACTGGACTGGGGGAGCAGCAACGTCCTCGCCATCGCCCTCGGCCCCACCGTCTACCTCTGGGACGCCGCCGATGGATCCACGGCGGAGCTCACCACGGCGGAGGACGATGTCGGGCCAGTGACCAGCGTCAGCTGGGCCCCCGACGGCCGCCACCTCGCTCTCGGCCTGAACAACTCCGAAGTCCAGCTCTGGGACACCACCTCCAATCGTCTGGTAAGTCGCAGTAACCCTTCTTCTTCCTCTGCTACCTGTCCTTCTTCTCCTTCTTCCTCCATACCATTGCTCACTGGTATTGATGCGACTGTGGCAGCTGAGGACTCTGAGAGGGGCTCACCGATCTCGAGTTGGGGCGCTGTCATGGAACAACCATATTCTGACGACGGGGGGGATGGACGGGATGGTGGTGAACAACGACGTGAGGGTGAGATCTCACGTCGTCCACACCTACAGAGGCCACCAGCAGGAGGTCTGCGGCCTGAAATGGTCGGGCTCGGGGCAGCAACTGGCCAGCGGCGGCAACGATAACCTCCTCCACATCTGGGACCTCTCCGCCTCCTCCTCCTCCAGCGGCGGAGCCGCCGCTTCGCGGGCGGCGGTGGGGCAGAACGCGTGGCTGCACCGGTTCGACGACCACATGGCCGCTGTGAAGGCCCTCGCCTGGTGCCCCTTCCAGAGCAACCTGCTCGCCTCCGGCGGCGGCGGCGGCGACCGCTGCATCAAGTTCTGGAACACCCACACCGGCGCCTGCCTCAACTCTGTGGACACCGGCTCCCAGGTGTGCTCCCTGCTGTGGAGCAAGAACGAGAGGGAGCTTCTGAGCTCCCATGGCTTCACCCAGAACCAGCTCACACTCTGGAAGTATCCCTCCATGGTGAAGATGGCGGAGCTCACCGGCCACACCTCCCGCGTCCTCTTCATGGCACAGGTGCGAGAACTCCGCTGCTACTGGTTCTTCCCTCTCCATTCTTCCCCTCTGAGCTTAGCTTGTCTCTGAAAGGATCCTCCAATCCGCCATCTGAAACGAATCCTTGTTCTTCTTGTCAGAGCCCGGATGGGTGTACAGTTGCCTCGGCAGCGGGGGATGAGACGCTGAGGTTCTGGAACGTCTTCGGGACCCCCGAGTCGGCGGCGCAGAAGCCAGCCAAGGCCGCCACCAACCCGGCCCCGTTCTCCAGCTTCAACCACATTAGGTGACGGATGTGGAGGTGGCTGGTTTCTGGGGAGGGGGGAGGGGGGCGCCAAGGAACAACGAAGAACACGAGGTTCTTCTTCCTCTTTCTCTCCCTCTTGCCCAGTCCGAGTTTTCTGCAGATCCATCCACCCACTGTTTTCTGTCCGCTCTTCTCTATTTATTTTTTCCCATCTCGAGAAAAACTGTAGATTTCAAAGCATACAACACCCGAATTTCTCCTTCCGTTTCTTTTTATAGAATCGTTCTCTTCAGACGAATTTTTAAAGATTTTTTTCGGTGTAAATTCAGAGCAGTAATTAATTGCAACCAAGAATTGGGTCTCTTCTCCTCCTTTCCTTTTTTTTTCTTCATTGAAATTTTCCAATGTAATTACTGATTTTTAGTTCTTTTTAAGTTCATCAATAATTATATGCACCAGCAGTTGTGAATCCCGTTGTCCAGTTATTACAAAATTTAATGGATATCATTTCAAAATCCTTCCGCGTCTCCATCCCTTGCTGGTGGGGGGAGGCGGAAGGCGTGGACGTTTTCCCCTCGGGGTTTTACCACGTTAACCGCATGTCTCTCTCTCTCTCTCTCGCTCTCTCGCTCTCTATTTATCCATGCGACGGCCCTCTTCGACGCCGAGCCGGAGCGGGACGCCGTCACTACAACACATGATCGCCGCCTACGCCCGGCAGGAGGGAGGCGGGCTGAGGTCTTCATCGTGATGCGGCAGCGTCGGAGCCCCCGTCGTCAACTTCTACCGCCGCGGCGGCGAGCTGGGCAGCCGTCCACTCCGCGCAACCTGCCGGCACAACAACCCTTCTGTGAAGAAAAATGATAAATTAAATTCAAATAAATAAAAACCTCTATTGAGCGAGAAAACTTATCAGTGAATAGTTGCGCGCTAGAAAAGAAAGAAAGGTTTGAGCCGTGTACATATATATCAAGTGGTCGACACTCGGCATAATATGGACAAATGACACTCATGCCCTTAATATGAGAAGACCATGGAAAAGTCTCACTTGGAGAATGGTCCTCTGAATGCATGAGATGGTCCCTGGGGCAAACCACTATCCATACATATTTCAAGCATATTCATTCTCGTCACTTTGTCTTAGCCACACAACACACCTGACGTGCATGTCACATACCTCAGCTCATGTGCTGTGTGCTCTGCATGCCTTCCAAACGTCACCTATATCCTCCACATGCTGGCTCCTCTGGCACAGTAAGTACCATGCTTATGGATGGCTCCTCTTTTCGTCAATGTCATTTTATATTACTCTGAATGCTCCACCTATGTCGGCGTTATTTTGTCCCACTCTTTCTCTCGAACCAAGCTCCAATATAATATTGTCGAAACCATGATAGATCAAAGGGGAGGAGGAGCTCAACACTCAGTGTTGTGCCAAGATGAGGCAACTTGGCCCTTCTAATATCATGAGAAGAGCCCTTAACATGACGGCAATGCAAGGCACAGGACCAGACCTGTGGTGAGAGTTGTTCAGTGCCGTTGCAGAAGATTATCATCTAGAGTAAGTTAATGTAAAGACAACCTTCATAGTGATTTGGAGGAAGACATCCATATGGTGCAACCAAAAGGGTTTGATATTTGTGGCAAACAAAATCATGAAGCTGAAGAAGAACCCCTATAGACTGAAACAAGAACCGAAGGACTCTCGTACAAGAAATTTGATGACTTAATGATCAAGAATGACTCGAAGAGATGTGAAATAGATCATTGCTATGACTTAAACAAGTTCGAGGGTTGTTATAGCCTCTTATCACTGTATGTTGATGATATGTCGATTGTGGAAGCTAACAAGTCAGAAATCAACAAGGTAAAAACGGAATTAGCAAAAGAATTGACCATAATGAAATTGGAGGCAGCAAAACAGATTATCGAGATGAGAATCAGATGCAACAGAGGTGCTGGTTTATTGAAATTATCTGAAGAAAAATATGTTGAAAAGGTCTTTCGAAATTCCAACATGTGAGCGACAAGTATTGTGAATACCTCTCTTGTTAACTATTTCAAAATTTGAAGGATAAATTACCAAATAAATTATATGAGCAACAAGACATGGAGGGGATTTTATATGCGCCTCTTGCTGTCAGCTTGATGTACGTTATGGTTTACACCAATCTAGATGTTTCTCATAGGTTCATGATAAACCTATGATGAGAATATTAGATGGTGGTCCAATATATTCCTCATTGCATGAAAGGTACCTCATGCATGTCTGTTTATTTTAAGATAAATGATCTTATAGGTCCATGATAAACCTATGATGAGAATATTAGCTGGTGGTCCAATATATTCCTCATTACATGAATGGTACCTCATGCATGTCTGTTTCTTTTAAGATAAATGATCTTAAGTTTCAGGGTTTCTAGGTAAAGAATTGGTTGATGATGTGGACATAAGAAGCAATAACTACTAGTTAGATCTAGACTTTGTGTGGCACTATTATGAGGTAGGTAGGTTCCTCAGTTGTGGAACGATTCTCCTGACCGAGACCCAACTTCAAAGGCAACGATATGTCGCCACTCCTTGATTTGCATTTGTGGCTTCCCTCAGTGTTCTCGCAGTACTCGCCGACTGAACATGGGTTCCTCTGGCATTCGTCAATATCTACATTCTCATGGGTACGATAAGGTTACAAGGGGAAAAAGAAGAGCCAATTAGAATGATCCTACCCTTCGGCAGTTGACTTTTCAAGAGATCTGTCATCCATTAGATATTTTACCGATTCCTCCTTACTTGAACAGTTGATCGCAGGGTTCGCTGAAGTCTTACCTTCGCATCCCCCGGGGGAACCGTGAATTAACTGGTAGCCCTCTTGGCATGTGCAGTTGTACGAGCCCACCGTGTTGGCGCAGGTTGCGTTCGATGGGCAGACATTCGGGCTTTGGACGCATTCGTCGATATCTAGATGCATCGTCGGAGAGTCAAGAAGAAGGACCAAATACATTGTAAGGCCGAACTGAGGACTAATTCATATATTAAACTATCGCTAAAAGCCGTCCACTTTAGGTTCATAACACAAGAAATTCCGGCATACTGATCATACCTTGGCAGCCCCTTGCGAGGTAGGGATTGCCCTGGTAACCCTTCAAGCAGTTGCAGAGGTACCCCACGCCGTTGTTGGACACGATGCACTCGCTGTTGTCGCTGCGGCACGCGTAGGAAATGTTCGGATTCTTCTTGGCTTCCTCGCAGGTTTGATTGCCGATGGACCAGTCGAGAACGATAGGCAGAGTTTCATTCCGTAATCTATTAGACCTCAGATCAGAGACACTGAAAGTGTATTGACCCTGCTGAGCCAGGAATATGAACCCACATCGGTTGAAATCAAAGGAATAGTTGTATTTGTGGAAGGTGCCCATTGTCGTGGAGAAGTGCTTGATGCCTCTGGGAATTGGAACCTCGCAGCAGCCCAAGCCCGAGCAGCTGCTGCCATTCGGCATGCCCTTGAAGCTGTCGAGGGTCGTGCAGTAGGATGTGCAGCCACCGGTGTAGCCCACGCCATCTACGTCCTGGATGAAAGCAAACGTGTCACACCCGATGACAACGAACTTGTTCTGGGTGTGCGAGAACGTAAACGGTAGATCGCCGAGACCAATCGACGAGTTGGAGAATTTATTTTCTCCTCTCCGATCATAGCAGTCGTAGTCGGTCAACCCAGCGATTCGCAGCTCGCCGGCCAAGGCGATGTCCAGAATATCAATATTGCCGGTGCTCAAGTAGGCTGTGGAATCGTCCGTGCAGTTGATGCTGAAGTCCCCGTACTCCTCCGCGTAGCAGCCGTCGCCGATGCCGAACGGGTAGGGGATGTCAATATCACCGCACTTGGCTTTGCAGGAGGGTAGCTGTGTGTTTGCAGTCGCCGTTGCCTTTGAGGCTGCAGTGAGGAAGACGAATAGGATGAAGACGATCACCGACATCTCTCTCTCTCTCTCTTCCTCTCTCTCTCTCTCTCTCTCTCTCTGTGTTTCCCTTTCTCTCCCTCTCTCTGCCTGTCTCCCTCTCTCTCTCTCACCTCTCTCTGTCTCTCACTGTTTCTCTCCCTTTCCCTCTCTCCCTGTCTCTCTCTCTCTCTCCCTTTCCCTCTCTCTGCCTGTCTCTCTCTCTCTCTCTCTTCCTCTCTCTGCCTCTCTCTCTTTCTCCCTCTCCTCCTTTTGCTCTCTCCCTCTCTCCTTCTCTCCATCTCTCTCTGTTTCTCTCTCTCTCTCTCTCCCTCTCTCTTTTTCTGTCTCTCTCCGTCTCTCTGCGTGTCTCTCTCTGTTTCTCTCTCTCTCCCTCTCTCTTGCTCTCTGTCTCTCCCTCTCTTTCTCTGTCTCTCTCCCTCTCTCTTGCTCTCTGTCTCTCGCCCCCTCTCTGCCAGTCTCTCTGTCTCTCCCTCTTGATTTCTGTCTCCCTCCCTCTCTCTCTTTCTCCCCCTCTCCCTCTCTCCCTCTCTCTACCTCTGTCTCTCTCCCCCTCTCCCTCTCTCCCTCTCTCTACCTCCGTCTCTCCCTGTCACTCTCTGTTTCTCTCTCTCTCCCTCTCTCCTGCTTTCTGTCTCTCGCCCTCTCTCTGCCAGTCTCTCTGTCTCTTCCCCTCTCTTCCTCTGTCTCTCTCCCTCTCTCTTTCACTATGTCTCTCTCTCTCTCTCTCTCTCTCTTTCTCTCCCTTTCTCTCTCTGTGTGTCGCTGTGCGACCGAGAGAGAGAGAGAGGATGGACGCTCATCGTCCATGTCATGATTTAGAGCGGCGGGTTTCTGGGTATCCCTACAATCGCAGGTCTCCGGGGACCACTTCACGCGAGCTTCTGTTGACTTCATTTTTCCGGACTCGGCAAGCCCATGCCAACTTGGTGCTCTCGACGTCAATTCAGATGGACGAGAACTCGGTCAAGATACCCCCCCCACGTCAACTTGCGAATTCCAAAAGCCCGGGAATCTATTGAGTGCTGGACAGCTTTATCGTAGCTAGGGAAGACCCGCCGAGGTTGAATGGTCAAAAGGGAACGATCGATCTCGCTGATGGAAAGATTAGGGGTGGAGAGCTGTGCGTATAGTAATGGATCTCACTGCTTACCCAGATCCCAGCTCTACTGAAATTAATCGACACATCCTTCGACGTCATCGCTCTCTTTCCGCTTCAGGGCAGAATTATCCTTCTGGAAGTTATATTACAAATCTAGCGGCCACAAAAGATGGGGCATTTTGAACCTTTCTTCCTAAAACCCTAGTTGACTTCTTAGCTTCATTCAGTAGCTCTACTTCTCACTTTCACAGTCTGGCACCACTCTACTCCACATTCATTAGTGAATGCTAATTTAGGTATGATAATGACAAGAACAAGGAATACACAAGATTTACGTGGTTCATAGAAACCTCGAACATCCACCGTCATATATAGATCAAAGCTTCCATCCAAAGATCATCTCTTACAGTTTTCTGGTGCCAAAACACCTTTGCCTAACCTAATTACATGAGGTGATGATCCCCCTAAACCCTCTGAAAACTCAACATGTTCAAGCTAGACACTCACTGAAAAGCCCATTAAAACCCAGTAAGGCCCAAACAGGATATTAACCAACTCCAATAATCTCCCACTTGGATGTTGATTTTCAGGCATAGTTAAGCTCTTTTCATCAATATGTCGAATGCATTTTTCAATCCACTGATATTTTCATGTGCCAAAACTTTCATCCTCTAACAAGCTAATAAGCTATGCATGCATAAACTAATAACCTCAGTTATATATGCTTCATCGTAGAATAAAACATTCAAGTCTTCATTGCATGTACCACACTCTGACATTATTACAAAACAATACAATATTTTCTTGCTTCGTAGCAAGTTCAACAAGAAAAATGTTTCAATTAAACCATTTCCTTGCTGTAATAACAACATCATACTCTGGTTTACCTGTTCAGAGAACCACAATCTTCCACAACTGAGGAACCTACCTACCTCATAATAGTGCCACACAAAGTCTAGATCTAACTAGTAGTTATTGCTTCTTATGTCCACATCATCAACCAATTCTTTACCTAGAAACCCTGAAACTTAAGATCATTTATCTTAAAATAAACAGACATGCATGAGGTACCTTTCATGTAATGTGGAATATATTGGACCACCAGATAATATTCTCATCATAGGTTTATCATGGGCCTATAAGATCATTTATCTTAAAATAAACAGACATGCTAGGTTAGAGAGAGAGAGAGAGAGAGAAAAAGATAGGTCATGTAACATGCTACCGTCCTCCACTTGACGGAAAAATAGGAAAAATCCGAATATCTTATGCCACCTGGAGAAAACTTGCCTGTTCCATACTGATACAATGTCCTCCACTTGGCTCAATACATCGACCCATCATGCACGTACCGACAGGCTAAGTTGACCTCTCAGGTTCGCGGTCTCCCCTCACGCTCTCTTAAACCTTGGTGATGAGGAGCGAAGAAGCGGGCCAGGCACCAGTGCATCAGCCCAGACACGATAGAGGTGCCCCAACCGGCCTGGTCCTGTCAGCCGGGCCCGACCCATCTGGCCAAAACCGGCCCAGATCAGTCAGCCCCAAACAGGCCCGCACCTACTAGATCCGAACCATTGACTTTAGACCTTTCTAGTCAAATGCAATAGTTACTAATATGTATATTTACGTAAAAGTGCCTCATATCGTACAGATTTAAGTTATATTACATTACACGGTAACGAATAATAATATTTTAAAAATAGAAAAAAATCAAAGCGAACCTACTCACGGATCTTTGACACGTGTTTCCATCACAGCCTTCTAATTCAGCACTCCTTTCCTCGGGAAGTAATCGCAGGTTCATTGGGAAAAATTAAAAACAAAAGACGCACGTGAGGACACGACTGCCTCCCAAGTGACTGCACGGAAGGAGCGGTTAGATCTATGACACGTGTGAAATTGGGATCTGTGCAGATCCGCAACCTCTTCCGTGGCCGCCATCTCACGACAACGGACAGTGTACGTGAAAAGGGTAAAAAAGAATTGCACGTGAGGTTTCTGGTGACGTGGCCAATTGGATGCCTTTCAGAGCGGTGATTAACCGAGAATCCAAACCGTCGGATCAGCGGATCTCGCTCTCTCTCTCGCCACTCCGATTTCTTCCTGCTCTGGTTCCATGTCCCGTCGTGCAGAAGATAGGGCTCTCGTGGACGACAAAAGGATCTCTCGCTCTCGCTGGATCTGCAGGGGCACTGAAGGAACGAGTCCCATTGTTTAGTCTGGTTCCCTCCTCTCGCCTCCGCTCTCCACCGACTCGGTGGAACTCGGGCGGTGAGAGCTCTTCCTCTCCGATCGTCCGTATCTGGTAAACTCTTCAGCGTCGTTTTTGATTCCTCGTCCTCATTCCGTCCCGCTCGCGGTAGATCTGCAATCGCTTCCTTCTCCTCCTCTTCCGGCGTTCAGGTTCCGCTCGTCGGGGGGAGGAACTCTGTGGAGTCCGCTCTTCGTCTGCGACCATGCGGGTGGCGGTGGTGGGGGGGGGTATCAGCGGGCTGGCGGCAGCCTACACGCTGGCCGTCGCCGGTGACGTGGAGGTGGTCCTCTACGAGGGGGAGGAATACCTCGGTGGCCACTCCAGGACCGTCGCCGCCGACGGTGTCGACGTGGACCTCGGCTTCATGGTCTTCAACCGAGTAGGACCTCTCCCTCCCTCTCTCTCGCTCTCTTCTCCCGCCCTGTGGATTCTCTGCAATCAGTCACCGGCAGCATGAGGCCTCTTCTCAGTGCTGCGCGACGGTTTTGGCGGGGCCTATTACCGGCGGCAGTGCCGCTTACGGCGGGGCTTGGCCTTGCAGGTGACCTACCCGAACATGCTGGAGTTCTTTGAGACGCTGGGGGTGGAGATGGAGGCGTCGGACATGTCCTTCTCCGTGAGCCTGGACGCCGGCAAGGGCTGCGAGTGGGGCAGCCGCAATGGCCTCTCTGGCCTCTTCGCCCAGAAGAGCAACGCTGCCAACCCATACTTCTGGCGAATGATCCGCGAGATCCTCAAGTTCAAAGACGACGTCCTCCGGTAACCCCTTCCTCCCTCCCTCCCTCCCTCCACCTACTCACGGCAAGAGAGAGAGAGGGAGGATAAGCTGACGTGGAGTTGACTATGTTGTGGGGTCTGACTTTTCAGGACTAAGTAATGAGGTTAGGGGGGGGTTACTGTAACTATTATGAGAGTCGACTGTGGGGGAACAGGAGTAACGCAGATGGAAAAGCCTGGGGCCGGGCCGGGCCGAGCCGAGCCGGTCCGGGCCAGTTTTTTTAAGCCCGAAGAAGGGCCGTTACAATAATATAAATTAGTGTGCAGGCGGAAGTGGAGAGAAACCGGGAACGAGCGGGGGGATAGGTGGTGGTGGAAGATCCTCCGAGAGGGGTTGCCCTCTCCATCCGTCCACCCCAGTGCTGGCGAGCATCGCAGGGGGAGAGATCAATCACTTCCGTGTTCTATCCGATCGTCTGCTCAGTAGATTTCCACAAGTTTTTGGTCTTTTGCCAAGTCTCTAGCAGCTCGGGGCGTCGCCTGTCATTGTATGTGGAGTGATCAATGGCGATCTCCCGCCGAGTGGAGCCGACGTCTCTGATGGATCATTCCGTTGACCTGACTAGAACGCCGTGGTTCGGCGTTCTCCACTGGTCTGTGCGAGCGGAGTTTAGATTATGGGTCTTCCATCACACTCTCCGCTAACGGTCGCTATGTTACTCGTGGAAGATTACGAAGACAAATACCGAGCTTAAATGTTTCACAGTAACTCTTATTATTCTCTGTGCATGACGATCTCAGATCGCGGTTACCACAGGTAGTATTTATGTCTTTTGGCTCCATCTCGGTCCATACCCACTTTAGAATGCTTGTAAGAAGCAGGGCAAGGGCATGGAATGGAAGGGTATGTAGGTTCCTGAGAGAGGTTTAGAATACGGTAGAGTTCACAGCTCACTCTAGAGACCAAACGACCAGGAGCACTTACTGACTCAATAGTCAGTCTGTACATGTTCTCATCTATGATACTTTCTCTTCTAAATAGCTTCAAGATTGAACTCGCCAGTTTATCTGCACCGGAAATGATGTAAAATTTACCCTTAATAACACTAGAAATCATATCGGACAAATTGACGATAATTTTTGTTTGTCTAAATCCGTTACCCTTGTCTTCTGACTGCGTCTAATGCAATTTTTCCTTTCAATATGAAGGTATCTTGAGGATCTGGAGAACAATCCAGATATGGATCGCAACGAAACGTTGGGGGAATTTGTCAAATCACGCGGTTATTCTGACTTGTTTCAAAGAGCATATCTTGTAAGATTAATGAAATTAATCTACTGCTTTTGCTTTGTTTCAATTTTAGTTTTTCAATGGTTATATGTCTTCCAGGTTCCAATTTGTTCATCGATCTGGTCTTGTCCTTCAGAAGGAGTAATGACTTTTTCAGCATTTTCTGTGCTCTCATTCTGCCGTAACCATCATTTACTTCAGGTAATCTCCTCATTATCCATGATGTATCACTACGCTTGGAGTAACTTGAAATCGGCAAAAACTTCCGGTTGGGGTACTTGTTCTAAGAAACAAGTACCCCGATTGGCAACCCCGGCTGTCACATTCTTTTGAAAATCGGTATCGCCATTAGAACTAGGTGTATATAGTCACACGGAGTAGAACTACATGTCCGATAAGATATGTCACATTGGCAAGAAATTCTCTTAGAACAAGTACCCCGATTGGCAACCCCTGCTGTCACATTCTTTTGAAAATCGGTATCGCCATTAGAATTAGGTGTATATAGTCACACGGAGTAGAACTACATGTCCGATTAGATATGTCACAGTGGCAAAAAATTCTCCAATGAGCTTAGTAACCTGTTTGTATTCACCATACATAAGTAAGGCACTCGCCACCAAAAAAAAAAATGCACTCGTCTCGCATTATCAGAGAGCCAAGATTGTCACGAATACTTGTAGTCTTGTCTTTAGTAGATTCTAAGGTTTTATGCATAATGTGCGGTTCCTGGAAAAAAGAGTCTTCGTTCAGTGTATATTTGATGATCATTGGTTGGGTCTACTCTGCACAGGTTTTTGGTCGGCCACAATGGCTGACAGTGAAGGGGCGTTCCCAGAACTATGTCAGTAAGGTAAGTAGTTGGTTTTCTGGCGTCATAAAGGCTTTTTATTCTAATTTTTTTCCTGATGAGAGAAGCTCGTGTGCTTTAAGATTATTAATAATTACCTTACGCAATAACAGGTTAGGAGAGAACTGGAGCGTAGACATTGTCAAATAAGATTAGGGTCTGTGGTTGAATCTGTTTCATCTATTGATGGAGGTAAGCACGAAGCATGTTACTCAAGTGACAATCTTGTAATTCTATAAGATCTTCCATCTCTTTTTAGCGATCACCTTAATACTTGAGGTGCACATCCCCAAAGTCCAGTAAGCCTAAGGTTGTTGGGCTAGAAGTGGGTTAAAAGTCCTGTTTGGAAGCCTACCAGTCACCTGCTTTAATTTTTTTCACAATTCCGTGTATGATATGCGGACAAGAAACCTGAATTGTTAGATCATTAAAGCAGGATTACGTGACAATTTTGTTTTTGACTTGTATTTTTTGCATTCCTGGTTGTACATACTCTTAGATGGAATTGAGTGAACATGCTTTTCCCTTGGGGTTTATTTGATACAAGAAAAACAGATTTTTTTAATTCGCTGATAATGGTTTGTGTTTATGTCATTTGCTATATTTCAGATAATGTTTATTCGACATTCAAGTGAAAATCATGTCTCTCGTTAAGATTTTAATTGTGGCTCATTGAGAAGTTAAAAAATTGTGGATTACAGCTGAAATTGTATTTTGTGTTACCTAATATTCCTTCATATGAATTTATCATGGGCTAAAATTGCAAGATTTAACGCTGTTCCAGGTTGCTCTGTTTTGTGTGCCGATGGATCAGAAGATGTTTATGATGGATGCATATTATGCGGTCATGCACCAGATGCCTTAAAACTTTTAGGAAAACAAGCAACTTACGAAGAAACGAGGGTACTTGGTGCTTTTCAGTACGTTTACAGGTAATTAATATTCTCTGTATCTGAATGTGGCTTTGTGTTCTATGCTCCTATTATGTTCTTCTGAGTCTTGTAGTCATAGAAAAAAAGTTCTCAATGAATTTTAGGAAATTAGACAGTTGATCACTCAGTGGGACACGATATGTTGTAAGTATTATTTCACCTGAAATTCAACTACATAAGACCTCCGTCAATTTTAGACAACGTTCATATTCTTCTGTATTGATCTTTATTCAGTTGTCCAAATGTATTTACAGTTGAGTATTATCGATCTAAACACTATTAACTATTCTTCAATCTGAACTTCAAATGCATAAGACAGCTCAAGAATTTTTTTAAAACATGCTCAGATTCCCGTATGTTAATCTTATTCTTGATCTGATTGTATTTTCTTAAATCCCACTGGTGAATCTAAGAAATTGGCATTGGATACAGAATTTTCTATTGTGATATTTTATCAGTGATGAGATGGTCCTATTAATTCTAGTTAGTGAGAAGTTCGACATCCACTTAAGTTCCTTATCCCTTTCCCTTTTCGTGTTCCACTACGGAATGCAGAAGGGTTTTTCGCTTTGATTTCATAAAGAAATTAACACCAGTTTTTGCAGCATCTGATCTACAACATGTCAGTAGAATTATCTTCTCGTAAACAGGTTCATATGCAAAATATTTATTTCAATCTTGGTTTGATCTTACTGAGAAACCTTTTTCTTGTACTATTTTTTGTTTTAAACAACGGATTCTCTCCCATGGCGTGCATCAACTCTACAGTTCTCTATGCATCTCTCTCTCTCTTATTTTCCTCGTCCTCCATCACAATCTTCCATAATAAAACCTTATAAAGAGGTAGAGGTTTTAATTTCTTCCACAGTTTTTTTAGAAATCTGGTATGATGATTTGACGTGCACCACGCATCCATGTTTGATTTAGTTAAACAACTGCAGTCACATAATCCATGGATGTTACTTTCTATTTCCTTTTCTGATATGCTGGTATTCATATAACTTCTTGCTCTGTGGTGACGTGTCTCTCAGTGATATATTTCTACATCATGACAAAAGTCTCATGCCCCGTAACCAGTCAGCATGGAGTTCTTGGAATTTTCTTGGAGATACAAACCGTGGCGTATGTCTTACATATTGGCTAAATCTGCTTCAGGTTTGTAACATGTCAAAAGATTTTGCAACTCATACAACAGAGATTTAACCCATATTCTCTATCCGAAATTTTTTCTTCCTTTACAATCTCTCTTTTATGACGGATTGGTTGGTTGCAATAACAGAATCTCGACACAGATCAAACATTCCTAGTGACTCTAAATCCTCCTTATAACCCAGCGAATGTCATCCTGAAGTGGAGGACAAGCCATCCAGTTCCATCAGTGGCTGCTTCAAAAGCTTCACTTGAACTTGAAGGAATTCAAGGCACCCGGAAAATATGGTTTTCTGGAGCGTATCAGGGTGAGTAGTCTCTTTTGTGAGGTCTGCTGAAAAATATGGTTTGTTGATTTTTTGAATTTTTATTTGAATCTTCCTTTTATTCAAGGCGAGAAATAATGCACCTAGAAGATGTTTTCCAATTTTTTCATTACATTATCTAATTCGAATGAAGCCGTTTTTCGAGAATTGATGTACACATCTTATTTGCTCTTCATTTATTTTAGTTGCATGTTTGGCTAACTTTATGCTGTCTTAGCGTGCAAGAAATTATGCTTCAGTTCTTGGTCTTCTTTTCTTTGCGGAAGAAAAATTCTCGGAATTTAAAACTCACGAGTATTCCTCTCTTTCAGGGTATGGGTTTCACGAGGATGGACTGAAGGTGAGAACTCGTGACTCATTTATGGAGCCCTTGTGTCTATGTTAAAACTGCTTTAAAGAGAACTGCAATATTTTTTTAGATTTGCTATCATTTACCATGTGGGTTCCCATTGTATGAGAGTAGTGGCATCATACCATCTAAGCCTATGTTGAATTCTGTCATAAAATCCTAAGATTTCCTTTATGTTATCGTGACAGATCCCACTGTGCTTCTTCACGTCTTCCATTTCACCTTCATCTCGTTCAAACTTCCAGACGGGTCCTACTGAAATTTTAAAATAGAGCAAAAGATAAGACTGCCATGACCTGGCAAGCACGTGCGCTTCTGTCGTCCTAGGTTTAGTGTTTATATCTTGGCTACATACCCCTTTTGGTTTGACGGCCACTTTCACCACCAACCACTGTTGGGTCTTTCCCTAGCCACACTGGCCTGTTGGCCACAGATGGTGGGCCCGAAGTAGCAACCAATGCTCCCCAAGAGACATCCCATCCCTCACTCGGGGGCAGACGTGCCTGTGTAGAAGTTCCATACTTGTCTGAAAGTAATAGAGTATTTTTAAATTGTTTTCCTTAACCAGCCTGCTACACGTAATCCTGGCTAGATACACAGGCCCAATATGCATTTTTCACCGACAATTACGAAGAACCATACAGGGCAGCTATTTTCGCCCCACTGCAACTACTAGGCAAAAAACTCTTTGCGGTTTGGTATTGTAGGAGGATGGAATTTTTGTCACATGTTATATACTGATAGTTTTGCTTGTTGTGTCACATCAGATAATTAGATGACATAAAAATATTAAAAACCACATTTGCATCTGTCACTCGCAATACACAAAAGAGTATACCTACCTGAAGGTATTCAACATGATTAAATCAATAGTTCACAAATTAATAGAAAGTAATGTGACGGAATTTATTTTAAAATATATGTAAATACAGTCCCCATAATCCAGTTTGCCTCAGAGATGTTATTATGTAAAATCAAACGATTTTTTTGCTGTTTCCCAGTCACATTAAAATGTGAAGATTGAAAAACTTTATGGTCGTAAAACATTTATTGCGCTGAATCGATTCCTGATTGATTTTTTCATTTGTTTTAAACTAAAATTTCGTGAATGCTTGGGTACATGACAGTCTTGTTCCTGCTGTAGGCTGGGATAGCCGCTGCACATGGCATTCTTAGGAAGGATTGTACCATTTTGGAGAACAACAAGCATATGGTACCTTCGCTCATGGAAAGTGGAGCACGCTTCTTTGTAACTAAATTCCTTACGCATTACGTCAATGCAGGTTGTTTAGTGTAAGTCTATTTACCCCATAAACCTTTCTGTCAAAGCATCTAGCGAACCCTTTGATCTCTCGCTTTTGGTGTTTGCTCATGAGCCGCTTTGACGAAAATTTAGTCTCCTGCCTTGATTGAGTTGGGGAACGGAATGAAATATTAATTATATTCATGCAGCGCAGAGATCACAACTGCGGTAGTATATGATTCTATAATTGTGATAATTCGCTTGTTCAATATTTTTAGCAATCAACACCTTCCTCGATGAAGTAGAAATCCAAACATTATCTCCACTTGTTATGCGGGTATTTTCAAAACTTCGTAGCATGTTACTGAAAAAATAAAGCATAGTCCGACGGTTCAATATTTTGCTTATTCCTCAATAACAGAGAACTCCCTGAGAAAACAATCATAGATATAATTAGTTTTTGGAGCTCAGTTCGAGCTTGATCCTGATCTGCTCTGGATTTTGATCAAACTTTTATGGTTTTCGGGAAAGAACTTAATCTGGGTTAAAAATAGGCAGGGTATTGATAAAATTTCATGCAATTCTGAATTCTTGTTCATTAATCTCTGCATTCTCCGGACGGGCATATGAATTCTTGTCTTTCCCACTTTCGAGGATGAGATATTTTTATAACCAAGACGACTTCATGACAATAGAAGGTGGAGCACTAGGGCGGGCATCATAGGTTATAGCCAAGACTGTCGATGGCGGACAGATGAGCATTTGGTTTCCCTTTTTCTTCTCCCTCTTCCCCTCCTCGCCTTCTACTGGCAAGCTATTGGCGTGGCTTTACTCTTTCCTTTCTTCCAACTGGACGAACTACTCCTAGTGAGATCTGCTAGTCAACTTCAAACCAAGGACAAGACCAGTCCTTCTCGGCTGATTGATTCCGATTAGGAAGTTTTAAGCGGTGATTATTCGAGCCTGTTTTTGGAATATTCTTAGCTCCTGCGTATATCTTTGGTTACCCATTACGAAGGGATAATCTTTCTGTTTTTGCAAGTATTAGGTTCAAAAAGTATTAGTCTGCTATCTTGATCTAAGAAAAAAAAGAAACAGGAAAAAGAAAGCATTCGTCTTGTAGCTGTTAAGAGAAACTGAACTGATGTATTCTATCAAACATGTTCAATTCATGGAAACTGACAGATTGTTGGAAGATGGTGGGACCATGTTTTCTTTCCAAGGAACTAGCAGTGAAAATAGCAAGAAATCTGTCCTGAGAATACACAGCCCCTTGTTCTACTGGAAGGTATGCTTCTTGTGTCATTTCCTATTTCACATTGTCAACGCCCTATTTTTAACTAGTTGACAGAGAAGGGTTTGGAACGTTAATTTGTTTTCTTTTACTGAATGGCAGATAACTACGGAGGCAGACTTGGGTCTTGCGGATTCATACATAAATGGCTATTTTTCTTTCGTGGACAAGCAAGAGGGTCTTCTAAATCTTTTTCTGGTAAATGAATCTGAAATCATGCATATTTTTTTTACCTTTTTTATCCACATATAATATATTTTTTAACGTATTCTTTATTAAATCCATTTCTTCAGATATTGATTGACAACAGGGACCTAAAGAGCTCATCAAAGAAACCGATTTACAAGAGGTTTTCTCAGCAGACCTCTTACTATGAATAACATATTAGGAAAAATAGCAAACCACAGAAAGTCAAGATATTGAGGATATTTTGGAATGTGGAACAGGGGATGGTGGACGCCGTTATTCTTCACAGCCGCCATCGGATCGGCACGATATTTTCTTCGTCACATTTCGAGACAGAACACCCTGACACAGGCCCGCCGTAATATCTCTCAGCATTATGATCTGGTCAGATCCCCAAACTTTTTTACTTTTTTTAAAGCATATTATTGCTCATTAATTCCGCCCAATATACTGAAAGAGCATGTATGCACCCAACGCCCATTTACTATTTATACACATCGATCGCAGTGGAAGAAAATCTTCTGACATGCAGAGTCAACCACAAGATTTACTTGTTTTGATATTGTCTTGGCATCATCTTTCTTCTTCTCCTTGTACTTTTCATAAGGCCCATTACACACAAGAATGAACACTCTTAATGGAAACCCTAGACATTAGATGCTGGTAGATGGTAGATCTGTCACAGCATGGAGGGTAACCAGAAATAGTATTTTCTTCTCCTCCAGAGCAACGACTTCTTCGCTTTGTTCCTGGATGACACGATGACGTATTCCTGTGCGATCTACGAGGTATGCGCGTTCTCGACACAGCTCTCTCTGACGATCGATGAGCACTCAATTCGATCTCACACGGAGATTGGTTTTCTAGAGAGAGAATGAAGACCTGAGAGATGCACAGCTGCGAAAGATCTCTCTCCTGATCGAAAAGGTCTGGTGGTTATGTTCTCCGAATGATACGATACCAAGTCGTATCCCCCATTCATCTGCTTCATCTTCATCGTAACAGGCTCGGGTGAACAGCGGCCATGACGTTCTTGAGATCGGGTGCGGGTGGGCGAGCTTCGCCATACAACTGGTCAAGCAGACTGGCTGTAGATACACGGGTATAACCCTGTCCGAGGAGCAGCTGAAATTCGCCAAGAAGAGAGTGAAGGAAGCTGGGCTCGAGGTCCGACGCACCCCTTGCCAGTAGGTAGGGACAAGCAGGAGTTCCTCCTGATCCCGGTCTAACTCTTTCGATCTTCCAGGACCGCATGACGTTTCTGCTGTGCGACTATCGCCAGCTACCCAGCGGGCGAAAGTACGACCGGATTGTGTCCTGGTGAGCGAGCTTCTTCTGACCCACGCCTCCAGAGACTGCTTTGAGGTCAACTATTGGTCTCACTGGGTGGCACCTATCTCTGCAGCGAGATGCTGGAGGCGGTCGGCCATGAATACATGGAGGAGTTCTTCGGCTGCTGCGAGTCCGTCCTGGCCAAAGACGGCCTCTTTGTTCTTCAGGTCAGTGACACCAGCCGCGCAGCCCGTCCTCTTTCGCAGTTCACAATCTCCGCCGACCGCCGTCTCTTCCAAAACGCAGTTCATATCGATACCGGATGAGCGGTACGACGAGTACAGGAGAAGCTCTGATTTCATCAAGGAGTACATCTTCCCCGGAGGCTGCCTTCCTTCTCTGAGCAGAGTCACCTCAGCCATGGCCGCGTCCTCCAGACTCTGGTGAGCGCCGCCATCTCTCTCTCTCTCTCTCTCTCACACACACACACACACACACACACTCATGAGACTCGTGCCGGCGTGCGCAGCATGGAGCATCTCGAAAACATCGGCGTACATTACTACCGAACCCTGCTGGACTGGAGAGATAATTTCATGGAGAAGAGGAGGTAACCCGCCCACCCGGTTTCACCTCTTGGTCGATATTTCTGGTGCAGAAAACAGCTACCCATTTTCGGAAACTGGAGTTTTTACTATTTGCAGGAAGATCCTCGAACTGGGTTTCGACGAGAGATTCATACGCACGTGGGAGTACTACTTCATCTACTGCGCCGCCGGCTTCAAGTCGCGCACCCTCGGCAACTACCAGGTAGACCACCCCGACCCCCGCCGCCATCTCTTCTCCTCTTCTCTTGAGTTGACCTCTCTACTGTCTGGCTTGCAATGGGTTGGTGCAGATCGTGTTCTCTCGGCCGGGCAACGTCAAGGCATTCGACGATCCCGCCGACTGAGGCCGCCGAGCGGCTGGCTGGTCCCTGAGGGAACTCGATTTCTGAACACACGTTGACTGATGTGTGGGCCGTTGACTATTACGTTGATAGTTGACCGATGGAGACGGTTGACTAATTCTGAAAAAAAAAGTGAAGAGTCAGCCGGGCTGCTGGGCCGCGGGGAGATGTCTGCGGCCAGTTGAGGCGGGGGCAAGACAAGGTCACTGGAAGTTGGGGGGCGATGGTGGGAGAAACCTGGGGTTCGCTGGGCCAAGCTCGAGGCCCGTTAGGACGGCGGCGCCGAGGAGTGGCGCGCCGGCGAAGAAGGTAGCGTAGAAAAGCCTACGTGATATTACAAAATAACCCTCACAGATTTAAAAATCGTAAATGTACCCTCTAACAGTAGTTGCCCCCGACTTCTGACGCGAAGCCCACGCCACTTCCAGGGACCGGTAGACGAGAGACGCCTCGTCGTGAGTTTCGCTTCCTTGGTGAGCTTTAAGACTAGCTGGAGAACATTTCTGGACCGGCAGATGTCGGCGCGGGGAGGTTCGGAGAGGCTGAGGGAGATCACCTGCGAGCTCAGCAAAGGGGCGGCGGATCGTCTGACCATGACAGAGGCGTCGATGGCTTTTGCACTTGCTGGGCCCATCCGGCGAGCGTCTCTGCGTTCCTCAGCGCGCTACGGAGGAGGCGGAGAGTCTACTAAACCGCGAGCAGTCGATGGCGTGTGACAGCGCCGACGCGGCCAGTCGTCCTCGAGGTAGAGGCAGGTCGATGAGTGTCTTAGAGATAATAAATGCACAAGGAACATTACAGGTGCCGGTCAAATTTTGTTTCTTGTTGTCGTAGAGTGCGTGTTAGCTTTGTGTGTGGAAATATAACCGAGAATTAACAAGAGATGTTCTGGATCTTTATGTTTTGCATAAGCACAAATTACTTACCAACAAAAAACTCGTGGGGTTTATTAGTTGTCAACATGACCTGTTAGGATTTCTAGGCACCACGTGAGTAATTTGATATATTTGAAGGTGCCAAATTGAGATATGTATGTTCTAAATTCCTTACTAATGAATCATTTCTTAGTAGTCCACAAGAATGGAGACAATTTGAACATTAAGGAAATCCTAACCAAACACTCAATTGTTCTCTACTCATGTTTCATACTGTTCTAATGTTGTCTGATTCTATAATTTTAACATTCAGATTATAATCTGGTGCCTTGGGAATCAATAAAAAACCTGCCCACCATTAGGGATTAAGAGATTTATTTAGAAAAAGGAGAGAAGACTGACATGGGTGTTTTGATGACGGAAGAGCTGTAGTGATAATTTCATCAGAACTCTTTGAAAACATAATGAAATCCTACAAAAGTAGTACATTGCATGACTGTCACTCACATGAGGACCTCAATCATGTAGCGAAAAGAAAATGAAGGAGAAACCATTAGACTTACTACAAATTCAAACAAGTGTACTAGAAATCTCTCTTCTCCCATTTGTCACTTGAAATATCTCTAGAGCCAAAGATAAATTGACTAAATAAAAACTTATGCATGGAAAAGCAAACAATGAAACTTATTTCAATATTTGGCTCTTGCCCAAAGACTTCAGGAATCATGAGCAACTTTTTCAAGCTGAAACATGTAGTGAACTGAAAGAGAAATGAAGACTATGCGTAATTGAAATCTTGGTTGATAAAGTAAAGACTGAGGGTGATTAATCTCTCTACCCTCCTTATTCATTGTTTGTTAGGGCATATATATAGGCCCCAATTGGTACAAAACTTGAAGACAATGCAGCAGAGTTCCCTCTAATGAGATGCTAACCTTTTCTTAATCACTATCATTTGTGCCTTGATGAAGCTTATAACAGCATTGTGGTATGACCTGGCAACATTGCTAACTGTTGGTAAGTCAGTCTTGATTGTTATGAGTCATCTTCAGTGATTTGTTGATGTCGCATTCATTGTCCTAGTTTTTCTCTCTCCTCAGACCCTCTATCTTTCTTCATGTAAATAGAAGCTTCTGGATTAAGGGTGGGTGCGGTGCTTATTAAAAATCGTCATCCAATGGTTTTTAAAAAAAACCTTATTTCTTAGAAATAAGTTAAAATCAATTTATAAACGAGAACTAATAGCTATGGTATTAGCCCTTATACAGTGGAAGCATTATCTTATGGGTTTCTCAATTGTCTTCAACATAGAAAAAATTAGTATTAAATATCTCCCTGTGCCAAATTCTATCTAAATAGTAGAAATGCTAAGCAAAGATTATGTGATTCAATTTTACAATCAAATATAAGGCACATACACCATAGGGTAACAGATCCTCTCTCAAGAATTCCAAAACCCCTTCTACGATAGGTAACCATCATTCTCATCTCATCGTCCTTTGATTACAGCAAATTGGCAGCTGAAATGAGAGTATGAAAAACTTGCTAAAATCAAACAGTTTTCCATTGGATCAGCCAAAGGCCTTAAATACAAACTATGTCATGGCATTCTATCCTACAAGGGTTGATTAGTTATATCCAAGAAATATAGTCTGATTCCACTTATCATCTGAGAATATCAAGACTGCTGTAGGTTAAGAAGGCATCAACTTGTGTTCTTATGAACATATAAATACATAGGTTAAGAATTTTGCATCAACTTGTCTCAAGAATTATGTCTAGAAATGTTTATCGTGCCAATGCAAAAAATGTGAACTAGCCATGCATGTAGGTTAACTCAAGCCCCTTTTGATGGCACCAGAAATAATATTGTTTCCGTAAAGTAGAGATCCAGAAACAGGTTCACGAATACCATCAATATCTACTGGAGGAGCAGCAATGAAGTCAATAATAAATACAGAAGTTGCAGTCAATAGGGTAAGTTCTACTTAGGGCAACACAGGTTGTGCCATATCATAATTTTTCATTGCATAGAAAAGAAAAATTAAAGCACGATAATTCTATTATTTCTAGAAATACATAGAGAAGATACCTGCTCGGTATCTATTATTTGTGTTCTGGGGTTTACATTTACATATAGTACATATATACATAATTGTTGTTATGATTGAAAATCAAAAAGGATTGATTTATGTATATTATATACTATATTACTTATACTAATATAATATAATAATTATTATATTTTATTAGATTATTAGGTTTTATTAAAAATATATTGATATTTTTTTATATTATTATATAATAATTCTTAACCTAATTTGGGATGATATCCCAATAAACTTTTTTGAAAATCTTTCATGCCAATTAACTTCAGATAAATTTGATAGTAAGGTATAGGTTGAGCAAATATGCTCATTTCATTCCCTTTATATGCCCCTATATAGTAGAATCCTCGTAGAGGAATTGCTCATCCATGTCATCAAGTTACATGGTACATTAATCATTTTACTTCGAAAATAATTATTTTGCTCATAAGGCACTTCTCAAAGGCTTAACACTGCATTTCACCCCAAAAACTAACAGTCAATCGAATGTCATCAATAGGGTTGGAACACTTGTAGGAGAAGTCTAGGGAGAGCTGGGGATAATCTCAAACTCACCCTAGACTCTTTCTATGCTTCCTCTGGAATCACTTCCTTGTCATTCCCCTTCATTCCTTTTCCTATTTCAGTCTATTTTTTGCTTTAAGTTTCTAAGCATCGTCTCTACATTCTTGTTAATCTTAAGCTACTGTCGTGGGACTCCTCTCAACAACTTCACTCTCCTGGGACTACTAGTACGTCAAGATAGTGGTCTGGTCATCTTTAATTCAATACTATTTTATGATTTTCTAGAAATCGGCCATGCTTCAACGGATGAGATATGATTTGGATGAGGTTGACACATGCTTCAATGGACGGGATTTGATTTGGAGATGATGGGATTGAGCAGAAGCTAGTAGGTGCTGACACGTGGCGCTAATAGAGATGAGATCGGAAGCCATTGAGGGCATCCACACGATCAATTATGGATGGAGCCTACTGATTGTGAGTGCACTGTATCTCAACAATAAAAAGATCCTACGGCTATAACATAATCCCTAGATCCAACATCTCAAATCAGCCCGTGATGAAATTAACTTCCATTTCATCTTGGCTAAAAGGACGTGATAACCCCTACTCACTTACAACCCTAGATCTGATGATCCAGAATAAATTAGGGCACAAAAATTGGTAGATCAGCCCTACACATGTATCTCAATATCCTGGGTAACTCTCATGAATTTAAGCTACCGTTTGGAGGGGAGAGGACCCAAACCTTGGATGCCCTGACGTTCAGCCAGCTTGCATGAAATAACATTAAAGTTCTGCATCATTCATGATTTGTTGTTGTTGATTCAAGTGTTGGTATGTATTTTTGATCATAGGGAAAGCTTCATTGAAGAGAAAACCGCATGGCCTTGGCAAAATATAAAGATTTGATGTAAAGTTTCTTAGATCTATTATGTTTTGCGAGTGAACAGCAAATCTAGGTAGTTGTAGCCTTAGAATGGATATAATTAAAAAAATTATTTAATTTTCTAATCATACAATAAGTTTCTCACTCTCTATTTCCATCATGCATCTTTGAATTTCCCTTTCTCCACACTTAAAAAATTACATAATATCTCTCTTATTTTTCCTCTATTCATCATCCTTTTCCTTCTCTTCATTATATTTCAACAAATCACCTATTTCTCATTTCTTGTGGATCGACTTGGACATCCTAATTAGATTTTAGTTGGTTTCAATTCAGAACTTTGAGTCCAACGACATTTAGGAAGAAAATCTAGAACTATCACTAGACAAAAGGGGAAATATAAAAGGATTAATATAGGCCAGCAGATTTCACAGGACATGTTTATTAAAGAGAGCATATAGAATCATAAGAAAAACATCCATGGACAGAAATCAGGTTCGATTGAGTAGTTTAAGAGACCACCTGAAGTAGGATACTAGTCTCTTAATAAGTCAAAAATCGGCTCTATCACCAGGTTAATATCATCCCAATATGCATGAATGGCTATTCCTGTGGACTTGCAGGGACAATAACACAAAGATATATTACATCGCAATTAGTAGAATGATGAGAGCGTTCGGGAGTATCTACAGGTAGAGAGAGAAGTAGATGTTGCTAAGGGACACTCCAATGGTCACCACAAAACTTTCTACTTGTGGAGAGGGGAGTTTAATGTGGATGTAGCTTCGTTGAGTGCGTCAACACCTTCCAACATGTCATGGCTAGGGGGGGTGGGTGGGAACTTGTCTCGGCTTGGGTTGGTCGAGAGGACGCCGTTACTCCCGGTCTGGAGTCTTTTCTCTTCTCCCATTCATCCTGGTCGATACCTCATCGACCTGCATTCGCAACACCGCTTTACTTTATCGCCAGATCCACGACAAGTCAACGCTTTCTGCGATACTACAAGTTTCCATCTCTGCCAACGAACCTGCGGCCTACTCTGCGCCATCACTGACGGAACGGCAACCTTTCCTCGACAACAATAAACCTCTTTTTCCTTCTCCATTTAATTTGTGCATTTAATATGGTCTCTTGCTCTTTGTCTCCTAAGAGACCATAGGATAGCCAGTTATTATCATTTGGCTGATCTTAAACCGTGATAAGAATATTTTCTGACGTGGTAAAATCGAGGTGTCCTATTAGTGGTTTTCTTGAAACTACTAGATCCTTTTCGTTTCAATTGCGGGTGTTTCTTGATAATTTCGAAGTCCTCTCACATTAGATTTAATCCTTGAGGGAATCTGATACATTTTATAGTCTTCACATCATTTCTAATTTCTCCCGCATCAGAACCAATCCATGAAAATGAGCTGGCACTCACGTCCGCACGTTCGTCTCATGTGTGAAGGTAAGCCAAAGTTGAAATTTTTTCATTTTGGTTTGTCTTCAGAAACCACATCAGCTGTCAAGCTTCACCAAGATTGCCACCTGTTCTTTCGGGCTTAGAGTTGAGAGTCTCATGTAAGCTTTTTCATTTCTAGTAAACCCCATCATAACCATCGCCCGTGGACATAGGAGGATAACCTTCAAATCATGTAAATCCTTGTCTCCTCGCAGTGTGGGTTGATCATTTTTCCACCTACTTCCGATCATCCGGATCCAATGGTCATCACTCCATTAGTTGGACTTGTGATTTCTCCTTACAAGGACTTTGACCATGATGTCCGTAGACAAAATTAGGCGAAGCTCAAATGAGAGGATAACCACACATGAAAAGCAGCGCAGTTCATAGCATGTGGCGGGTGATGCTCTTGACCTACGCAAAGCTTAGAGGACGAGGACGTGCTGTCCTCTTTGTCCATGCAGGATTGACTGCAAGGCTTGTCGACTTGGTCGTGCTCACAGTGCCGGGGGGCACCTTCATTGTAGCCGCCTACGGTCTTGGCGTAGCGCTAGTGGGGCACTTGTGAGCAGTTACTTGTCTACTATAAAACGATTGCTCGAGAGAGTTGAGACTGTTCACTTGCGGAAGGGCTGCTGGCCTACTGATTAAAACACTAGTTATATTGTGATGTGAGGAAAATAAATCAAGTCTTACTTCAATGAGTAAATATAAAATTCGGGTCTTCCAATTGGCGAATGTGTGGCAATTGGAAGATGTGGACTACCCTAGTAACACTAGTCACCTTGGCATCGCCAGGGAGATGTGGACTACCCTAGTAACGCTCAGCGCGCTTGCAGAGGTATGCCAAGCTTTAGATTGTTCTTGTTGAGGGATTGAAGAGCTATCCCTGTGCCGGTTTTTGCCCTGCTCGCAGGTCTGGTTTCCTACCAAAAAGTCGAGGACGACGGCCATCTCGTAGTCGACGAGTTTCTGTCACCTCACATGGGAGATGTTGAAGCTGTAGCTGCCCGCCTCTGCCAGGGACGCGTACCCACAACAGTTGGTCCTCCAGCAGCGACTGTAGTTCCTGAAAGTCCTGGGGTTGGCATCGAAGCCGAGGGGGATGCCGACGTTGCAGCAGCCCACATCGGAGCAGTCGGAGTTCCCCCCCCCCCCCCCTAATTTTCTCAGGCTCGGGCAATAGGGTATGCAACCCGCGGGGAAGTAGTCGTGGTTGAAGCCCCGTGTCGCACGCACCCGACAAGCACAAATTTGTGCCGTGTATGCGAGAACGTAAGGAAGCTGAGGGAGACTCGATCCAAAAACGGCGCTTTTTTGGATAAGAGGCCAACGAGACTGATCGTAACACTTGGCATCGATCCTCCTTTCATTTGATCTGGAGCTAGCCGTTCATGGCAGGGGACCTCATCCTGCCAGCTGAGGGGCTCGTGGTTTCGTTCCACGATCTGATGAAGTTCCCATACTCGTTGAAAAACCAACCGTTCCCTATCTGAACGGGTACGGAATGTCTAGCTCCCCACACTTGGACTTGCAGGAGGGACGCACTATGTTCACAACTGCCGCTGCTACTATTGTCTGTGTCGATACCACCAGAAGCAGTAGCGGCTGAAATTGAAAAATAGTCATCGCTGTTCTGTGTTTCTCTCTCTCTTTCTGTCATCGTTTCATATTTTTTTACCACACGTTCTAAATTAACTGGGTCATCTATTATGATTAATGGGTTTGAAGAATTCTCAAAAAAAGCTTGATCGTTTCTCTTAATAGAAACTAACCTCATACTAGCGGGAATGTAAAGAAGACAGCTAATTTTTATTTCTTACATTTCCGATCCAATTACGAGAATTCCATTAGAATTACTGCTCTCTACATAGAAAATAAAACAGAATCAACAATTTTTAGTCCAATTTTTCTCATTTCATTTTCTAATTTTTTAAGCTGTTCGAGGAAACTCTGATGTTACGGTATTTTAAACTTGGTTTTGATTACATTACAAATCACAGATCCTCGGAAACAGACTCGTATGAATAAAACTAGTAGCTAATAAAATTTTACAGCACTGTGTCTGCCTAAAGTTTTGGTGAGGATTGAATTACCCATGGTAATTGAGTCTTGTTTTTTCCGAAAAATTACAGATTTGTTGTACCATATAAACTCATTTCATTAGATATCTAATCTCCACCTGTATCAAATCTAATTCTCTCTGTTCTTTTTCTTTATAGGACTTTCGGGTAAACATTTTTAAATGACTCATCCTTTATCAAAAATAATAAAAGATGAAACCATATTGAGATCAGATTCATAAAACTTAAAGTGTATTCCATTCCATCTTTATTTGAACATTCAAATCGCATAGGTTCGAATATATGGGATGCAACATAACGCACGATTTTTTTGATTCCTTCAGTGATTGTTTGTATATAATATTTCTCCCACAAGTCGTAATCCCTTTTATTTTTTTAGTTTAATTCATTGTATTAACTTTTTATCATTTTTAAATGGAATTTGATGAGTTTGAAACATTGAATTTAAATTCAACATCACTAACATAGTCCATTTCAGACGGGTGCACAGTTAGAAGTTCACAGCATTATTGATGATAAAAGCCTCACCCAGTGGGACAATGTACAACGTAAAAAGTGATGATACCTCTAAAGATAAACCTGAATGCAATGTTCCTCGCTCCCTCGATCCTAGGAGCAGTGAGAGTTCCTAACAGCCACACTTGGCACAATTATAACATGACAAGTGATAAAGAGCTTTCTATGCACGAGGGTAATGGCACAAATATTTCTCCTCTACCTTGAAGATACAAATGAAGGGCCTGTTTCAAGATTGAATTAGCACGTATTCTCAATGCTTACTGACTACTCTCAAGTTCTGAATTGAACAGCAACATAGCAGTATGAATCCAAAATAAGTGTTCCACCGAAACTAAATGTCCGAAAAAGGTTACGAAGGTAATACTTGATAGACAATATGCACTACGACTTTGTTTTAGGAATGTAGGAACTACTGGTCTGCTTATAGGACTATTATCATCAACAGTTAATCTGATATCTGACTTGTCAATGAACACTAGTATGTCGCCAGCTATTTAATAATAAGCCGCTCACTAACCATCATAGTGGCAGAATTTTCATGTTTCATTTTCTTTTCCTACACTACAATATCTACGTTGGCCCAGAATCTGGAATTGAGTGACACTTCAGCACCCATTAACCTCTGAGTTAAATCCTTAAGCCCGTATCAGATGTTTGTTCAAAACACATAACATAAAGAACATTTTCTATTTTATTCTCGATTATATTTCCCCGTACAAAGCTAACGTGCAATTTATGAGAACATCGACTTGACTCTATCTCGAGGGTTGTATGCTTCCGCTGGCTCAAATAGCTTTTCATTGAATGTTGTACGTCCATATCTATGACATATTTTCTTACATAAAAATTATTCTAGTGAGATAAGTCAAAAATATTACTTCAGTAATCTTGATATTCACTAAAATTTATTCATTTTGACTCATTCAAAGGCCCTTAAGTTACCATATGATTATATTTCTGAAGTCATTTGTTACAGAAAATCTACATATTGAGACTTGCGTACAAGATGATGATAGATTGACCACACAGTCATTATTATTGTATATATATCTAAAATATTATAATATTTATATCCCTAATGAGAATTTGAAATAAGATATGACATTTTCTACGGTCTATACTGTCACTTTAATGCTTCTACAGCTTAACTTTTCTGCTAAAATTTATGTCCATATATGTATTAACAATGTTTACTCTTTATTCTCGCCGAGGATATCAGTTACTTAGTTTTAGATTAAATTTATATTTCATATCAAAATAATGTCAAGTTAATCCATAACTCAATAGTCTTCTCCCTCGATGTAAGCTTACGGATTATGCCCGAAGATAATGAGCATGTTCTGATTGCGAGAGAATGTGAATGGCAGATGGGCGAGATAAATTTTCTGGATAAAGTTGTTATTCTTTCTTTTCTAATTATAGCTCGCCGGTCACATAGCTGATGACAAGCATATTATTACCTTGCTCAAGAAGCGTGTTGAAGTGTATGTGCAGTTGATTTAGAGGAAAAAATGGCGGTACTTCAGCGCATGGCCAACTTTTATAACGAAGACGGTAATTTTTTGGTTCGAAACAGGTATCATTTTGTCTGTACGGATTCTCAAGCCTGTTGAGTTTGCACGAAACCTCACCATGGCCAATTGATGAACCCCAATCAGATGTTGAGTAGCCATACACGTTTGTCCAAAACATGACATAACCAATATCTTACATGTTTACATCGGTTATATTTCAGCAATCAAAGATATCGCGCTCAATTATCTCCAATTGTTGAAGCTTCACGATTGCTGCAGACCTTGCCGTCGTCACCCATTGCCCTCGAGGGTTGATGAGAGAAGAAAAAGGATAAAAAGCAACTTCGTTAATCTAACTAGTAACAGGAACAGGTGTTTATAACAAAACAAAAAAATTCGGCAACCGCGGCGTCATCTTCCAGCCTTCCCAGGTACACCACACCGTGGCCTCCACGCCCGATAATCTGGTCGTCAGCGAAGCCAGCTGTGACCTTGGCCAGATCCTCTTGCGTAAATATCCTGAACGTGTTTCCCGGATGAGAAGAGATGCTGCTGGAGCAGCGGGCCACCGTTATGCTCAAACATCCTCCGTTTGAATTCGGCAACCTTCTTTCTCTGATCGGCAAGGTTTCTTCTCTGGCATCCCCAGCAGGTCAGGGCACTTGCAGACAGAAGAACCAATAGGCCGCCGCCGAGCACTGCAGAAGCTAGAAATCAGTGACGGCATGCTCCAAAATTAAAGGAAATGGGACCATCCGACCGACTTTTTCATCGCTTCGTGAGAGAGGCTGATGGGATATTGAAAAATGGCGGTTCCTGGCTGTTGGGACTTGGCGGATCTGACGAACTTATTGAACAAGGCCAGTTTGGGCCTGACCGAAATGGGCCGGTTCAGGTTTAGCGGTTCCTTGGTCCACGAACCGGTTTTGGATGGGGACGAGAAATCGTCCGAAACAAGTGGAGCGGGTGGCGGAAGAAGGGGCGGAAGGCCTGAACAGCAGGGTTGATTCAAGAGCAAGTGTTAATATATTGCCCAAAGCTTTATATGATATGTATAAAATTGGTGATTTACAACCTTTATTTGTGGAGCTACAGTTAGTAGATGGATCAGTCCGACAGCCCTATGGAGTTTTAGAAGATGTTATAGTGAAAATTGAGAGCTGCTATTTCTGGTAGACTTTATAGTTGCTGGTATGAAAATAACAAAAAATATAAGTCATGCCCCAATAACTTTAGGACGTCCCTTTTTGGCCACAGCTGAAGCCACAACAGATTAGGGTAAAAGAGCCATAGAATTAAAATTTAGGCAAGAAAAAATTGGGTTAAAAATTGTAAAATTATTGAAGTATCTTGACCAGTTAGAAGATTTATGAATGATTGACATTGCTGATGTGTGTGAAGAAGAACTTTTCAGCGAAGAGACAGGTCACATGCTTCAGTCCCCCATAGACACCAATAGGAAAAAAGCCTCAGCAGCCCCAACGAGTCCTTCAATCTTGAAGTCACTGCCCACCCACATGAAGTATGTATATCTAGGCTTGCATGATACACTTCTTATCATTATTTCCTCCCTCTTGATAGTAGAGCAAGAGGAGAAATTAGTAAGCATAGTCAAGCAATACAAGCCACCCATTGGATGGACTCTTGCAGACATCCAACGAAGACTTAACCCAAAAATGTTGGAGGTAGTCAAGGCTGAAATAGTGAAGTGGCTAGATGCTGGAATAATTTATGCTATTTTCGACAGCCCATGGATAAGTCCAATTCATGTCGTTCCAAAAAAATCAGGAATTACAGTCTGTGTAAATGATAGGGGAGAGGAGATTCAGACCCGCCTAACTACTAGTTGGAGGGTCTGTATTGATTACAGAAGATTAAATTAGGCCACTAAGAAAAACCACTTTCCTTTGCCATTTATAGATCAAAATTTAGAACGTCTTGCAGGTCAACATTATTTCTGTTTTTTGGACGAATACTTAGAATATAACCAAGTTCCAATATGTCCAGATGACCAAGAGAAGACGACATTTACCTGCCCCTTTGGTATGTACGCCTTCACTAGAATGCCTTTTGGGTTGTGCAATGCGCCGGCCACCTTCCAACAATGTATGAGTGCTATGTTCTCCACATTAGTAGGGGACTGTTTAGAGATATTCATGAATGATTTTTCTGTGTTCGGTCAAACTTTTGATGAATGCTTGATCAATTTAACTAAAATTTTGCAGATTTGTGTGGAGAAGAAGTTGGCTTTGAGTTGGAAAAATCCCATTTCATGGTCACTGAAAGTGTGGTGCTAGGCCACTTGGTCAGCGAGCAAGGATTAGAGGTTGATAAGGCAAAAATTGAGGTGATAGAAAATCTTCCTCTTCCCACTTCTATACATCAGCTACGTGCCTTCTTAGGTCATGCAGGTTTTTATCAAAGATTTATTGAAGGCTTTGCCACTCTTGCTAAACTGCTAACCCAACTCCTAGCTAAAGAGCAAAATTTTGTGATAAATGTTGCAGGGGAATCAACTTTCCTCATCAATAAGCAAGCTCTTATCGAGGCTCCTTTCCTCCAAGATCTTAATTGGACCCATCCTTTTGAGTTAATATGTGATGCTTCTGATTTTGCAGTGGGTGATGTGTTGAGTCAACGAATTGACAAGAAATCAGTCATCGTCTACTATGCTAGTAAGACTCTTGCCAATGCCCAATTAAATTACACTACTACTTAAAAAGAATTATTGGCTATTGTTTTTGCTTTGGAAAAAAATCAATTTTATCTTTTAGGTAGCAAGATTACAATTTACACTGATCACTCCGCCATTAAGTTTTTATTGACAAAGAAAGAAGCTAAACCTAGATTGATCAAATGGGCTTTATTGTTGCAAGAGTTTGATCTAGATATCAAAGATAAAAAGGGAAGTGAAAATTCTGTGGCTGATCACTTGTCTAGACTATGTATACATAATACTATGTCCATTTTAGATGATTTTCCTAATGAGCATTTGTTTACTATGAATACATGCAAAGTACCTTGGTATGCTCATATAGTTAATTACTTGCTAACAGGATAATTACCTCCTAACTGGCCTACAAGTATTAAATGAAAATATTTTAGTGAGCTGAAGTATTACTTTTGGGAAGAACCGAAATTATTTCACCTAGGAGTTGATCAAATCCTCCACATATGTGTTCTGGAGGAAGAACAATTTAATATTTTAACTATGTGTCACTCTTCTACATGTGGAGGACATTTTGCCTCTAAAAAGACAGCTGCAAAAATTGTTCAAAGTGGCTTCTATTGGCCAACTATTTTTTGAGACGTTTATAATTTCTGTAGGTCATGTACAACATATCAAGTTGCTGTGAACATCTCCAAGAGAGATGCAATGCCACTCCAATCAATTCTAGAGGTAGAAAATTTTAATTTATGAGGAATTGATTTATGGGTCCATTTCCTCCTACAAGATATGAATACATTTTTTTGGCTGTGGACTATGTTTCAAAATGGGTAGAAGCCATACATACTAGAACCAACAACCAAAATTGTTCTAAAATTTATTGTTCAGTATATATTCTCTCAATTTGGCTGTCTTATGCAATCATTAGTGATGGGGGATCTCACTTTAAGAATACTCATTTCAGGAGCTTGCTTTAGAAGTATGGTGTCCAACATCAACAAAGTAGAACTCAACAATAGAGAGATTAAAAAGATTTTGAAAAAGATTATTTGGCCTGATGGTAAAGATTAGACAGCAAAATTACCTGATGCCTTATGGGCCTATAGAACAACTTATAAAAACCTCATTGGCATGTCTCCTTATCATTTTATCTATGGTAAATCTTGCCATCTACCGGTTGAATTTGAGCACCATGCTTATTGGGCTATTAAACAACTTAATTTGTCTTTAGATCATGTAGGGAAACATCGTCTTCTTCAAATGCAGAAACTCCAAGAGCTACACAATGAACCTTATGAGAACTCTCACATTTACAAAGCCAAACTCAAAGCTTTTCATGACAACAATTTAAGTTGAAATTTTTTTATGAAAATCAAAAAAATTGGTTATATAACTCATGATTAAAACTATTCCCTAGAAAACTTTGTCTTGTTGAGATGGCCCTTACATTATTGTGCAGATCTCTAATGGTGGAGCTATTTTAATTTCATATCCTAAAATAGGGAAAACCTTCAAGGTTAATGGCCAGCATCACAAACCTTACATTGAGCATGACCAGCCAGCAACTGTGATCTCCATGAGTCTTTCTTAGTCTTCTTATATTAGCAACAATTGCTGACTGTCATTGTAGAAAAATTCTCTTTTATTTTGATTGTTTTCTTTCATTTTTTTTAAGTAGCATCTACTGAGCTGTTTTCTTTTTACTTCTTTCTTTTGTAGAGGTCAATATGTTAAGTTGAAAATGATCATCCTCAACCATCATTATGGGTTTGGTATTCTTCACTCCTCATTCCTTTCCTCTTTCTTTCGAAGTGCATTGAGGACAATGCATCATTCTATTTGGGGGGTGGGTACGATGCTAAAGGTAAGAAATGCACAAGTCTATTATGCTTCCTACTTTTCAAAACTCTCTTAAATCAAAGCACAAACTTTGAAGATTTTATTTTGATGAAGAGGAAAAATAATGCCATGATTATGAACTGTAGTATGGATCAAATTTCATTGATTACTAGCAAAATTTCACGAAGGCATATCTCTATATTAGAATTAGCATAGTAAATTGCATCCCATCTTACCAAATCAAAACATAGTTGAACTGTATTAGAGCTAGCTGAAGTATCTGTGAATCATTGTTCAGTGCTGCATCAAAATGTGAAGTTTGACTGTAGTGTACACTACATGAGCTCAAAAAAAAAAAGGAAAAAAAAAAGAGAGAGAGTTAGAGCAGAGTGAAGCCTCCCAAACAAGAGAGTAGATAAATACTTTTTAGGTGGGAGAAAAGCTGCTTGCTACATGTTAGTGAAAGCACCTTTGCTGATTTCGTGGGGCTTCCACATGTGAGATTAGAATCAGCAAGGCTTGCGACATATCTACATGTCTCTCAACCATGCAAAGTGAAGGCCATAAGACATGGGCAATAAAGAGGTCTTTCCTAATTGTCCCATGGAGATTCCACATGTGAGGCTAGGACAAAAAGAAAAAAAAGCTGTCTACAGAAAAGCTACCTGCATGGATAAAAAATCAGAAAACCAAGCTGGTGGAATTGGAGCTACTAGTCAACTTTTATGCATATAAGCCAAAGCATGACAAAGATTCAAAGAACAAAATGTTAGTTTTGAGACAAAGTAAACTAGTGAGAAATGGAAGTACGGAGGTTCTAATCTCTGTCTAATGAAGACTTAGAGATGCTTAAATATGAAATGAATTAGTTTTTCTTTGAATTTTGTGAAGTGCAGGTTCATGATTATGCAGGTAATGACAAAGATGAATGGAATGAACTCATAGCAACACAATCATTCGTTATCCATTGCTAAGGGACTAGCGATGAGAGAAGTTGGGGGTGTGATAGCACATAAATAGTATGCTAGAATACATTGTGACTTAGTCAATTTTACAGCTCTATGAGATTATTAATGTGCTGTTTACATTAATAAAGATAATTTTCTAGCTTACATTAATACAGCTCTTTTGTGATTTTTCTAATCATTTTCTAGTGTTTTAGGAATTCTTGCCTCAGGTTGTAGCCGCTTCATCAGTGGTTGTGATATAGCAGCTCAATCATCACTTGTAGGAGTGAGGAGGTGGCATTTCGGCAGGAGAAAGATCTGATGGCTCCAGAGAGGGCTCACGAGAAGGAGTCCACCGATCCAATGAAGCATGGGGAGAGCCGAACCTTCGGGCAGTTTCTCGCGCGTGCGCGAGAGGTGAACTAGAGAGGAGGGAGAGGGAACACCACCCTATATTTTCGGAAAACTAATGTTACAAACAACGTTTTGATGAAGGAAGCCTTCGGTGATTCAGCCAGCCCAAAGGGGTTTAGGGTTTTTTGAGCTCCACATCGTGTGAATACAGGTGTGTCCATCCAGAACACTCCTCATATCACCTGAACGAGGTCTCTCATGCTGCTTTGAGTGAACGCTTCTTCCTGGCGGAATTAAGGAAAAAGGAATGGTGGCATCAAGTTAGTTTCGAGATGAAGCAGATTTCGTTTAGTTTAGTTCAGGTAGATTTTAATTAGGAATTAAATAGTAGAAGATACGAACAGTTGATTCCCGTTCTTATGCCAGCCAGATCTGAGAAATCAGATCCGGATTCATCATTCCCTTTTCTTCTCTCCATCCAATCCACGACCCTTCGTTCTCTTTCCCATTCCATCCTTCATTAGCACAAGTATTAAAGAGTAAGCCTCAAATTCCCTGAGGAGACGACCTGACTCGCTGCTATCTATGAATATTTCGTGAATCAGATTAGAACATAATTCATAATATTTTTGATTAAGGAGATTAAAGACTAACGACACTTATAGAAAATCTAACTCATCAGTTTTTAGTTATAAATATTAAATTTGAGTGCTTAAACTAACGACAACTTTGGGCATATCAGTGTGTTTCATAGTCAATAAGTCAATCAATTGCAAATCAGGTGGGTTAACTCTCGTCACTAACCACCAGCTATGAATATAAGAAGACTTATGTATAAATCACACAACGGCAATGTTGCAAGATGAATTACTAAATAAACAAAATGCTCAAACTTGGAAAGAAGAGTAGTTAAAGATAACCTTTTCTCCAGAAGGGGCAACTGAGTAGTGGAGGAGCACAAACTAAAGCTTAGACCCCACTTCTGGAAAGTTAACCTTACGTTGACCCGGTTGTTGACTGTTGACCGGGTGAGCTGGTTAATTGGCAGACGGGCTGGAACCAGAGCGTACGACTGGTGTGGACCAGGTGTCATCGGAGAAGATTGGTGCAACACGTCTCCCGCCCGAGCCAATAAAAGGATGGTATGAGTGTCATGTGCTCCCACCACGTTCCCAGGTTGTTCTTATTATCACGTTGATGCTCACATCGCATTTTCCATCTTTCACAGCGCCAGCGTGAGAGAGAGAGAGAGAGAGAGGGAGGGAAGGAGAGAGAGAAAAGAGGGACGCTCGATGGTAAAAACCAGTACTCAAAGTAAATAGAAGACAGTCCTGGTCATGAGTTAGGGCAGCAGGGATCTGGGAATCCATGACTGTAGCTTCCGACAGCGAAACCCCAATAACTCCCGTTTTCTGGCGACCATTTACCACGAAACTACCAACTGTTGGAAGCGTTGTATTAGGTGCCACACGCGGAATATAATACCAATGCAAGTTGCGCAGCGAAAGCCACTGCGAAGGACGGAGTCAACCCAATGCCTCCACCACGAGCCGCCCCTTTTATCGTCCGCTGGAACCCGTGTCCGAGAAATTGAGACTAGTCAACTCCATTCCTTACTATCCCTATATCATTCAGCCTTGATGTAGCTCTCTTCATATTCCTAGTGACCCTTCAGCATGCACGATTGAACCACCAATGTAGTGCTGCACTGGTGAAGTCCCTACGCCAATTATTAGGGTGATCCATCATTTACGGCTAGGACTACTGGGTTATCTAATCCTATTCGCTCTAGTGGATCACCCTAATCATTGGCAATTTCTTAATCACGTTGATCCTTTTATTTCAAATATTATAGGAAAGCACTCGATCTTACTTTAGTTAACCCTATTAATCCATACAAAATTACAAGTGTAAAGTCTAAATTACTTGTCTAGGGTAGTCAAGTCACTTTCATCATTTTGTCCCGCATCAAAAAATCAGTAACTCTTCAGAGGTTTCGAGGATCATATTTTGGAATTGGACTCTTTTTTAATCCTTTATTCAGGGGTTCCATGTTTTTTGTCCTATTTTTATTCAAGGATACTAGATTGCAACGTCAGTAGCGGAATACTGCAAAATAGTTCTTGGAAGTGTGTAACATAATGCTAAGGTTTGATAGCTGTTTTATTCAATGTGTCACAATAAAGTCTCTTGATAATGAAGACATTGTCCAAGTATAAAAATACTTACAACTGAGATAAGCACGTAGCCATATGGATAATTCTACCGTCCGGCCTCTATCTCCAGTCCGATGTGGCTCACTGTGGTTCCCAAATCACTTGTCGTGTAAGCCATGGGCTCCCTCTCACCCAACAGGCTCTCCGCCTCCTGTGGTAAGCATGGCAGTGCCCAAGGGTGGTCCCGAGAGGTTCTCAGCACATGCAATGCCGTCACCACCTCCTTCATGGTAGGACGATCTGCTCCATTAACACTCAGGCACCGGCATGCAAGCTCGGAAACCTCCAGCAATATCTCCATCTCCTCTTCGCTGCACACCGTACTTTCCAAGATGTCGACCAATCTGTTTCCTCTTAACGCGGACACGAAGGCCCCAGCGAGACTCCTCTTGGTTTCGGTATCTATCGGTTCGAATGGCTTCTTCCCTGTGAGAAGCTCCACCAGGACCATGCCAAAGCTGTAAACGTCACTCTTCTCCGTGAATTGGTAGGACTGTATAACCTCGGGGTCCAGGTAACCCAAGGTACCCTGGACCATGGTTGCGACTGCGAGTCCATCCGCCGGAGCCACCACGGAAGCTCCAAAGTCGGAGACTTTCGCCCTTTGATTCTCGTCCAGCAGTATGTTGGCGGTCTTGACGTCCTTGTGAAGTATAGGTGGTGAAGCATAGGAGTGAAGGTAGGCCAGGGCTTCGGCAACTTCGGCGGCGATCCTGAGTCGGGTCTCTAGGGGGATGAGTGTACCCTGTTGCTGCCCCTTGGGGTGGAGCAAGTCGAAGAGAGTACCGCCGGGAACGTGCTCGTAGACCAGCATGGGAATTTCCACTTCTAGACAGCATCCGACGATCTTCACCACATGGACGTGGTTAATCTGCGAGAGGATCGTCATCTCTCTGACGAACTCGTCCTTCTCTCTCTCGTCCATTTTCTTGGACTTCTTTATGGCGACCGCCTTGTCATTCTCCAGCATACCCCTGTAGACCACGCCGTGTCCTCCCTCGCCGATGACCCTGCCTTTGTTGAAATCATCGGTGGCCATCGATAGCTCTTCTTCGGTGAAAATCCTGAAGGCGTTGGCCGGTTGAGAAGAGAAGTACTCCACCAATAATGGGCCTCCATTTTGCTCGAACATTTTGTTCTTCAGATCCTGAATCTTCTTATCTTGGTTTGCGAGCTTTTTCCTCTGGACGCCCCAGCACAAAGACGTGATTGTTGCCAAGAGAATCAGAAAGCCGACAGCGGAACCTGTGCAAGGACAGCGCAATGACCTCATGTTCCATTGAACTAACAATGTAAAACATAGACTGAGGAAGGCAGTTTTCCTCACCTATGCCCAGCTTGAGAGACAAGGGTACGCTATCCTTCGTCGATGCGCCTTTAGCGGTAGTAGGCCCACCTAGTGAAAAAATGTGGCCAAGAGTTGTATACGGTTCACTTTATGAAGCTTTGAGCATCAGAAGTCACACATACCGTCACATGTTGTGGCGCTGCGATTAAATCGTTGTCCCTCTGGGCACAGACAATCGTAGTCTCCCTGCGTGTTATTGCATTGAGCCTCGCGCGGACAGATAGTTGAATTGTTCTTGCATTCATCAATATCTTTAAGAGACCGGTCGATAGTCTTAGAGTGATGTTTTGTTGGCGAGCGCAGAAGTAAATGCATGAAAATGAAGTTATGGCTGAACAACTCATTGCCCATCTAGCATAAATAGGATGACTCGGTAACCTTCTTCCTCTGAGGTGGGCTAAAACCGGATAAATCTTTAATTGGTTGATACAGAAGTCAACGTAATATTATACAAATCGATCAACCTAGGTATTTAAGTTGGATGACCCAAGGGTAATTAAACAGACAAAGAACAGATGACATTACTGATTGACAAGCTTAGTTTGCAAATTATACAAAGTCGGCAAAACGCTTACCTTTGCATCCCCCAACGACGTAAGGATTGCCCTGGTAGCCCGTTGAGCACTGGCAGAGGTATCCGACGCGATTGTTTGAGTTGTTGCACTGGCTGTTCCTACTGCGGCATGCGTAAGGCATCCCCGGCAGTGGCGTCTTGGCTTGCTCGCAGGTCTGGTTCCCAACGGACCAGTCGAGAACAATTGGGAATGTTCGGTGCCGTAATTTTGTATCGTTCAGATCGGAGATGCTGAAGTTGTACTGACTGTCCTCGGCCACGAACATATAGCCACAGAGATTGAATTCCTTGGAATTGTTGTAGTTGTAATAGGTGCCAATATTCGTTGAGAAGTTCTTGAGGCCCTTGGTAATGGATGCTGAACAGCAGCCCACGCCGGAGCAGCTCCCATTCTCCATGCCTTGCAGATTGGTGCAGTAGGATATGCATCCGCTGGCGCCTCTCTCAGTCTCGAAGAAGGCGGTAGTGTCGCAACCGACGACCCAGAACCTGTTCTTGGTGTGGGAGAAGCTGTACTGGGGTGATCCAATGGTGAAACTGTTCGTCCACTTATCCGTTTTACTGCCTGACTCATTATAGCATTCGTAGCCCATCAAGTTCGTGATCCGGATTTCGCCATTCAAGGAGATGTCTACGACGTCGATATTGCCTTCCCCCAGGAACGCCTTCGGAGGGTCGAACGTTGTGTTGCAGACAATAAGATAATCGGTGTTGGCGTCTTTGAAGTAGCAGCCCTCCCTGACGCCAAAAGGGTAGGGAATACTGAGGTTGCCGCACTTGGTTTCGCAGGAGGGATCTGTTGTGTTCAGACCGAGCGCTGCTGTAAGAAGGAACTGCATTAACAGAAATCCAAGGAGACCCATCTCTCTCTCTCTCTCTCTCTCCTCTATCTCTTTATCTATCTTTCCATCTGTCTCTCGATATTGCTAGCTCTCTCTCGCTGCAGAACTCGATACCTTTAACTACGAGGAAAGGCCCTTTCCACCGGTTCAAGTCGTAAGATGAATGACGCGGACAATAAGAGGCATCATGTTTATGTGGTTCAATCCGATAAAGTCAAGGAACCGCCCACGCTACTCATAGAAATCAAAGTCACCCATCTTCAGCCTTCATCTGAGAGTATTGGTACGACCCGTTTCCGACCAGACCGAGAAAATGGATAGCCCGAGTATTTTCTTCTCCCGCCATGCTTCCAGGTTAACCAAGTAATCAATTCTCTCTCTCTACTCTTTCTCCTCTCTGCTTCTCCCTCTTCTCTCTCTCTCTCTCTCCTCTCTCTTCTCTCTCTCTTCTCTCTCTCTCCCTCTCTCTCTCTTTCTTTCTGTCTCTCCTTCTGTCTCTTCTATATTTCTCTTTCTTTCTCTTTCTCCTCTCTTTCTTTCCTTTTCTCTCTTCCTTCTCTCTCTCTCTCTCTCTCTCTCTCTCCTTCTCTCTCTGTCTCTCTCCTCTCCCTCTCCTTCTCTCTCTCTCTGTCTCTCTCCTCTCCCTCTCCTTCTCTCTCTCTCTGTCTGTCTCTCTCTCTCTCCTTCTCCTCTACTCTCTTTCTCTCTCTTTATCGCTCGCTCGCTTGCTCAGTCTGTTCGACGGTGAGAAAAAGAGAAAAAAGACAAACGGCTGAAACAGACCCTTGACCTATAGGGCGGGCCTATGGGAATCCATCTCTATCTCGTATAAAATTTCCAACAGCGAAAGCCCAATTATTCCGGTGTTTGGGGACCATTTCATGTCAGGTTCCGTTGACTTGAGTTGTTTTGACGTGCCAAGTCGCGCGTAACGTGTGCCCTCGCTAATGTCCAACTTGCCGGACACCCTCAACGTCCCGATGGGAAGGTACCACCAAATTACCAAATGTTGGAAGCGTCGTAATAACTGCCTCGTGCGGAATATAATACCCGAGCAAGTTGCGGACAGCAAGCCGCTGCGACGAACGAAGTCAGCCCAACGTCTCCATCAAGAGCCGCCTCGTTTGACGTCCGCTGGAACCCGTCTCCAAGAAATTGAGAGAGAGAGAGAAATCGAGAATATTATTCTTGGACCTGATCGTTTATGACTAGTCATCTCCACTCCTTGCTGCCCCCCTATATCCTTCATCCCTTGACGCAGCTCTCTTCATATTTCCAGTGATACCTCAACATCCGCGATTGAACGGCCAATCCAGTGTTGCACCGGTGAAGTCGCTTCGCAAAGACTTCTGTCTGGAACCACGGCGAGCTCCTTTCTCCCCACACTGAAACGCTACCCCGCGGCGAGCTCTTCTTCGTTGAATTGCTTACGCTACGGTCAGCTCTTTTCTCCCCCCCTCGGTGAAGCACTATGCTTTCTAAATGCGATGGATGACTGCTCTACTGCAAGTAATCTATGAGGACTCACGCTCTCATTTCCTCCTCTCCCGAAAAGAAATTGGTCCCGCCCGTGCCCCAAATACTAGTAGTCCCCGTTGTTATAAAAAATGACAGCTACCGATAAGACCGAGTAACTCGGAACAATGGAGAGATCGCCCGCTTGGGAAAAATGGCAAGAAACTGATTGCCTAGCAGCGCGCGGAAGAACGAACACAAAATATACGATATCCAAGTAATAAATGGTGTACTAGGAGAAAAAGAGAGAAGAATGGCACCACGTCTGTAATATGGTACGGAAAGGTTAATACACCGCAACCAAAATGGAAAGAAAATATCCAACGTAACTGAGGAAACCAGTACAGAACTTTTCCGGAGGGCACTTTTCAATATCTTTCATACAAAAGGGGTGGGACTGGTCTCGTAACCATAACTAGTACCTAAAATGAAATAAAAGAAAGGGGTAGGAGTCTAGACGGACTTTTCCAGACCAAGATAATCAAGAAAAGTTTATGTTCTTCAAAGCGGGCTCTCTATGGTTCAAGTTCTCAACTTTTTTAATTGTTTCATATTTTAGTAATAAATATGTAAATATATGAGTATAATAATAGTGAAAACTCAATTTTTAGATATCAATAAAAACAAATAGAAGAGAAATCATCAAACTATTAGGAATCCTAATGAGAATATGACTTTCATTAAACACTTTTAAACCATATCTCAATTCTCTCAAGACAACCCACACACTAGAGAGTCAGTAATTGACTCTTATCTCTTTCTATAAACACTTCACCTATAATAAAAAAGAAAGTAGAGACCAAAAAAGAGGAAGATAGTTGATAGAGATAAATAATAAGATTAAGAGAGAGAGAGAGAGAGAGAGAAATCTAGTCATACGTTGTACTCAAAAAGAAGAAATACATGTCTTATTTATAAAAAATAAGAAAACATAACCACCTCCTAAAAAAAGGCATCCTAATCTACATGTAGGTGAGCCCACACATCTAAGAGGTGATAGCTTCAACCTCTTTCATTTTCTCCTCCCTCTCTCCCTGCACAATTCTTGAACGGGTCAAAAGGGATGCAGTGACAACTATCTCTCTCTCCTTGGATAACCCCTAACTAAGCTAGACAAGATGAGGTGACAACCATGTCACCACCCCTAACTCCTTGCATATCTTCCACGTGAGTTAGATGGGAAAAGGTTTTTGACACATCTCTCGAAAAGGTGAGATGGGAAGAGACTCCTTGATCTTTCAAAAGGGTTAACTATGATAGATTGACATTGTCAATGAACTCCACCTTGAAAGTCATCATTACTACATCTAGAATCAACATTTGTCTATACTATAAGTTCTCCACCTTTTGTAAGGTACCTACAATGTGAATCAAATTCAAATAATATTAAAATATTTTCACTATGACAACCTTTGTCAAAATATCCATGGCATTATCTTCCGTGTGAACCTTCTCTAGAGAAATATCTCTAAAATTCACCAACTCATGGATTTTGTCATACCGCATATTAATATGCTTCAACTATACATGATATATTTGATTCTTTGTAAAATAAATAGCACAATGTTGGAAAACTTCACCTTGTCAAATCTCAAGTTCGCTCAATAATTCTTTCAACCACAAGGCCTCATCAGCCACTTAGTAGTTGTCATATACTCCACCTCAATTATAAATAATGCGATAGTAGTTTGAAGTATTAACTTCTAACTCACAAGTCTACCAATCATATTGAAAATATATCTTATTGTAGATCTTCAATGATCTAAATCCTTAACAAAATCTGCATCAACAAAGTCAATAATAGAAATACAATTTTATCGGTCAAAATAAATTTTAAATTTTAAAAAACCCTTAGATATTAGAGATCTACTTCATTACACTTCAATGTTACCTTTCTAGATTGTTCATAAATCTACTAACAAACTCAACTACATGAGTAATATCTAATCTTGTATAGACCATAACATACATGAGAGAGTCAATTGTACTAGCATAAAGAATTTACTTCATTTTAATAATATCTTTTTCAGATATTGGACACTAAGTAGTAGATAATTTGAAATAATTAGTTAAAAAAGTGTCCACTATTTTAGTATTACTCATGTCAAATAGATTTTCCACCTTCGAGAGATAACTACTCTAAGTCCACTATAGGTGATCTAACTCTCGGTCTCTATAGATCTTTATATCAAGAATCTTCTTTACTATACTAAGATTCTTTTTATCAAATTTATTACTTAATAATATTTTCAATCTAATAATCTCATATAAATTCTTCTAAGTAATAAGCATATCATCAAATAAAATATCAAAATAATTAGATAACCATCACTACGAGTCTTCATATAAACATAATAGTCAAAATCACACATTGTATAACCAATCTTCAACATGTAAGAGTCAAACTTCTTGTACCACAATCTCGATGTATGGTTTAACCTATAAAGAGACTTATTTGAGTAAGTTGTCATTCACCAAATAAGTTATCATACCCATAGCTTCTACTAATACTTTTTGGGCAAGTCGACATTCAGTCATAAACATCATGTTCTCTAAAAAATTGTGTGATTCATCAACTCAGCAACACTATTCTTCTATGAAATCTTTTCACCGTATAATAATGTTAAATATCATGATCATTACAAAACTGATCAAATTAAAAATTCTTAAATTTTATATCATTATCAGTCCACAAGACTTTGATCTTACTCTTCTCTAATTCTCCACCTTCACACACCAAATCTTGAACTTCGTAAATACTTCTGATTTATGTTTCAAGAAGAATACTTAGACTTTTATGAAAAAATCATCAACAAAAGTCAGAAAATAATAAGTACCACTCACTGATGTCACATCAATCAGACCACACACATCTGAATGAATATAGTATAGCACATCATCCGTCTCATATTTTACTACCTTGAATGTCACCTTATACTACTTTTCAATGACACAATACTTGTAAAATTTAATTTATAACTTTTTAGACTAAGTAGCAATCATTGTACCTGTAACTTTTACATACATATTTCACTCATATAGCCCAATCGCAAGTGTCATAAAAGAGTGTCATCAATCATTAAATTATCCAATGTCGCAACACAAATTCCACCTACAATAGTACTCTTCTTAAGTTTATAAATATTTACTTGTTGATGTCTTCCTTTCATTATAACGAGGGATTCTTTAATCATCTCGATGATCTCATTCTCATCTTTGAAGCAACATCTATTTGCTTTCAATACTTCAAGCAAAATCAAATTCTAATGCAATGTTAAAACATGAGAAATATTTCTAAGCTCTCAGACCACCCTATCAAATCTTCAAACCTTCACCAAACTAATGCCAAAGACTTTACAAGCCGCATTATTTCTTATAAAACTAACTTTCATTGCACTCACATATGAGTCAAATAAATCAGCATTATGACACATTAAAAACAACTAATATCAAGAATCTATGTGTTTGACAACTCCTCAACTACAATAAGACTAGAATAGACTTCT